CCCTATTCGCCTGATGTTGCTCCCTCAGATTACCACTTGTTCCTGTCTATGCAACACTCTCTTGCAAATCTAAAGTTTAACAATCTTGAAGAAGTCAAGATTTGGGTGTAAGACTACTTTGTGACGCGGGACCCCGAATTTTTCGAATCAGACATCCGAAGTCTACGCAAAAAATGTAAGAACATAGTTGATAATATTGACAAATATCTTTTGGAATAAAGTTGTTTTCTTATTGAATTTTGGGCTGTTCAAATGTTGGTTATAATCCGCAGTTTCTTTTGCAAGTCCCTAATAGAAAAAATAGAATTGATAGGGGATTCCCATACTCTAAAAACTCTTACCTAAACAGAAAACTATTGCATCGAAACGTGAACTGAATGACTCCCGTTGTCGGCACTCGACTTTTCAAGATGTCTTCAGTTGTCGGAATGTAATCGTGTTCTCGTATTCGTTCCAGATTTTGCATGAAACTGAAAATAAATAGTTGAAAAAAAGTCTGGAAAATTTGGAAAATCTAGAAATGGAAAAATGGAAAGAGTTTTTTCACTCACTAAATAGCCGCATCATCAATAGAGATCTCGGGGACTCGATAAAGAGCTTTTTGCACTGATGGATCCATCAACAACCTGTAAATGGAAGATTTTAAAGAAAAAAATTCCTTCTGTCAATCTTGGTTTTACATTGGATACAGTAAAGTCCCTTTAGTTGTCTAATCCATTCAAATGCACTCAACCTCCCAATCCAGTCACCGAGATGACTCGTGATCTCGATCAACTCATTGTTTTTATTCGCCTCATAGTATATACAAATTTGTTGAGCTAGCTCCTGAAAACTTAATGGAAGATGTTTTATTTTTGGTAGAACTCACAAAAGTTTCGGGAATTTGATAGGCTAATCGTTGCACCTCCATCGCTTTCACCAAATCGACACAACCAGAGACGAGATTCTGGAGAAAAAAAGAAAATTTTCAGATTTAACACATTCGTGACGAGATGTTTTTTTGCGTTACTGCCCCAGTGGACGAGGGGTGTCTCGCAAAGCTATTAGCCCCGAAATACACCTCCTATATGTAAAATTTCATGCTCAATCCGAATCTCTAATCAGATTTTGAAAATATTGCTGCCTCAAAAAGATATCGGCTTTTTTTGGCTCGTGAGACAAAACGCCGCATTTCTCTTTCTCCAAGCGCAACCTTATAGTTCTTATAGTTCAAAAATTTCGTCTATGTAATATGTAACGTGGACGGTGGACGTGTTAACACGTTCGGGATAAAGATAAAAATGATTATCATTTTCGAAAAACTCTTCCAGTTAAGCTTACCTGATAAATGATAAACTTTCGAGCCAACTTCTCCGAATCGGAGAAACCCAGAGTGTGGATAATTCTGAAAAATGCAGATAGATACACGGACTAAACTAGATAGAACTTAAGAAAGTACTTAAGAAAGAACTTAAGAAAGCTTCAAATTATTGAAAATAACTATTTTATAACTATTTTTTTAAAGCTATCCTTTGCACAGAACTTGGTTTTTACTTGATATTTAAACTTAAAGTCAACTCACCGAATCTGTTTCAATATCGTGCTCTTCCCGGACTCGCTAGGACCTAAAAATTACTTTTGTTTACTTAGACAAGTACGAAAACCACAAATTCTCTTGTTCTTACTGAGAAAATTCTTCAAAAGCATGCATTAACATTCTTTGACCCACCCAATAACAATAATTTGAGTACTTTCTTCTTCCTTTCCGCGATCATTTTCCTTTGGCTTGCCTTGTTTTTCTCGATTTGTGCCTGAAAAGAGAAAAAAAATCAAGGAAATCGGGTAAATTATTGATTAAATGAATGAAGAGTTTGGTCGTCAATTACTGTGCAAAATTCTATCAATAAAGCACTAGAAGTGGCTATGATTCATGAAGGTTTGGCGCTTTCTCTTTACAAGACAATGGTTAGCTTTAAAAAGAAACGAATTGCATTTACTGAAAAATATCAACAATCAATCAACTCACCTTTACTTTGGCATTAGTGGAACAGGCAGATCCCATCATCAAAACCCATCCATTGCAAATTTACTCAAGTAAAAATGGGGGATTAGTTTGAGGACATTTCCTTTGTCGGATACAAAACTCCGAGACGTAAAGCTTTACGCGGAATTCTCGCCGTCTCCAATTCATTCAGCTGTTTTGTATTGGAGAAACGAGAAGGAGAAGGGCAGCCCTTGGCAACAAATTTTGATATTTGAAGAAGAAAAACGGGAATACAAAAGATATGGATAATGTAGGGAAAAATGACAAAAAGCTGGATGCAAAAAAGATCAACACAGATTTCATCAACACACAGATCACATTTCACCGATGAAATGAGACATTGCTTGGGAATTCGAAGAAAGTGAGTCAAGTCATCAACTCATTTCAAAGGTTCACACGGAGTTACAAAATAAAAAGGATTTATAGAAGAAGGGAACAACACTTTATTCTCGTCAGAAATGGGATCTAAGTAACAAAGGGTACTTTTGGTCAGGTAACAAAGTAACAAAGTTGATCAGGCTCAAACAGAAAAAACAAAGAAGAGAAAGATCTCATTGAGCTGAGCAATTGTTTGCATCATTTAAAGTTTAAGGAGAAAGAGCTATACAGGGTTAATCGTTAAAACCTCTTTGCATAAATGTCAACAAGTACCTATTTTTAAATGCAATAGAAAAACAGTAAAACTTTCAAAGAAAACAACAGCCAAAGACTCATCGCAAATCGACTAACTAGATCTTTGAGATTTGTCGAACTTGATTACTGGATTGCTCATTGTTCAACTGAATGAGACTGAATGAGACTATCGTTATTGTAAAAGGACTCAAAACCAAATCAATAGCAAAAAGAGTAAACTCTGGCAAAAAGAAGTTAAAGAAAAATCTGAAATAAATAGTCGATTTGTGCCGGTCTAACGGTTAAACATCAAAATAAAATGAAAACAGAAGAAAGGGATCGAACCCGAGCAAGAATTCGAATCATTTTGCAGAAAATGAATAGGAGCATCGGAATCAGCGTAAAATTATGCGTCGTATATGGCTCATGTCATTTGATCACCTCAGCCTTGCGACCTTCCTTTGTAAATCAAAACTATTTTATTAATTGATGTTTATAAATTTTTTTCTTTGCATTATTTTGAGATCAAACGTTGCTTCTCTCGTTCCCTTTTGCTATTTACTCTCTCAAAAACAAATCAATGTTTGACGGAGATTAATGAAGCGGAATAAACGAGACGAGTGCGGGTTTTCGACAATAGAAATGAGGCATGATAATTGAATGAATGAATTGGATGAGAAAAATAGGGAAAGAAAGGAAAAAGATGAAAAAGAAAAAGAATCAAAACGAGATCTGCACTCATAAGTGATTGGGAGAGGGAAGGACATGAATGGATGGATGGATGGATGGATTGGATGGATGGATGGATGGATGGATGGATGGCAATCACAGTCTCCTCCTGTTTTGAGGACAAGGGATGGGTAATCATTCCCGCATTCATCACATCATTCATCAAATACGTAAACTTTTTGATTTATTTGATACATAATGTTTACTTAATTGCTGCACTTTACTTTTACTTTTCACCCAACACTAGACAACAATCACCTTAATGATCACCTAATTACGTTGAGCACAAAAAATGACTCCATTTCTGTCTATGACTGACTTTACATCTAAATAATCGGAATCGGAAAAGTGCTGCGGAATAGTCATCATCTTAAAATTGAGCACCAATTTGGGACTCACCATATAAACTGTTTTCAATGTAACTTCAAAATAACTTAGGTATCTCTAAGTTCAAAAATAAGCTGACTGAGATCATTGCAACAACATTTAACAAGTCTTTAACAGTCTTTGTAAGTCAAGTCTTCAAGTGATAAGAATAATCAGCTTATTGTTAGCTAAAGAAGGAAAAGGTAAAGCTTAGCGTTGCCTTTTCATTTTGCCTTTCGATATCATTCGAATACAATTCGAATACAATTTCATCTAAGATCAATTTCTTGTCAGTGAGCGGCTTAAACTTTTCTCAATTTGTCAAATGGATCGAAATTTCCCACGTACGCCGAAGACATCGAATAGTGAATCGGTTACAACCTGTAAATGGGATGATGGTTTGACGGAAATGATCATTTCAACATATGGGGAACTCTTCAAATCATTTACCCAATTCCCTCACATGGTCGGCTTTGTATTTATCTGTGTCTGTTCTCCATCATTTTTCTCTTTTCCCCAATTTTTCCCATAAATTCAATCTACTGATCGCCTTTCGTCACATGTTCCCAATCGCATCAAAAAGCGGGGATTATTGATAACCTATTGCCTGCAACGCATTCCCGATACCCGCACAAAATAGGAATTTTTAGGTTCGATAGATTATTTGTCACAACCAGAAATTAACGTGGAACTTCTAACGTGAAACTACCGTAAACTTGTCTTTCCTTTTATCTAATGATCTATTTTACCGTAAACTTGTCTTTCATTTTATCTAATTATCTATTTATCTAAAGCTTGGCTTTGATTTATTCAATTTATCTATTTTTGTATCCTTCAAATCGACGCAGAATCAAATCAAAAGCATATTCCTGGGATAAAAACCTAGAACCAGTTTACAGATTACATTAGTTTTCAGAAAATTAACACGCTTTAGAAAACAAAACTATTACAGAACTATCATAAAATAACCGGACTTTCCCGCTTCCCCTAGACTCTATTCTTTATCCAAATTGTAGTTATGAACTTTATCATTTCATTTCCTGTTATATTTATCAATTTTTGTATTCTTGTGCTAACTAGACTGTGTTCTGAGCAAATTGCAGCGAATTCAGAGTCCAAGAACTTTCGGAGTTCGGAGTGCAAAAGAGATAAGGAAATAACCAGCGGATATTTAGTCCCCATTCTACCGCCTACTCATTCACTTTGCTAGGAGAACTTGTTCAAGTTCTCAATTTTTTACTTCTTCAAAGTATTATATTCGACAATTTCAATGGTGGCCACTGGCGAGCAATTGATGGAGCGAATCGAACAAATTCAACTTCCCAATCAACCCGAGTCGAGAGGTTTGTGCGGCAAAATAAACAATAAATTTTAAGCCAAAAGTGAAATTGCTTCTATGTGAATTAAATAAAACATGTTAAAGCTTATTTTTAATGATTGTATACTTTGAAATTTGAATCAATACTCTTTTTCAGTTTCGATGAGCTCGGGTATCAGCAGCGTCTCGATGAGCTCAAATCATCAAGTTGAGGTAGGAAACTTTAGAAATTTTAGCTTTTGCTTAAGCTGAAGATGTCACCTAGAACTTAAACTATCAAAAATCTTATCTCCTGTACAATTTTTTTTATTTTACAGACTGTAGAAGAGTCGGTGACCCCATTGAAACAAATGACAGCTTGTTACAAACAGATCATTGCACATGTGGGTGAAGATGTGAATCGACAAGGTGGGGATTGAAAAAAAATAGAAAATAAAATGCTGTACAGAAGATATTCTATTATTTTTATTCATTTAGGCCTTTTGAAGACGCCGGAAAGAGCCGCGAAAGCAATGCTCGACTTCACAAAGGGATACGAGCAGAATCTTGATCGTAAGTCAATTCGAAAAGTTGGCTGAACGAATTTTTATCCAAACTTTGGCATCTTAACATTACGACTTTTCTAGAGCTTCTCAATGAGGCAATTTTCGACGAAGATCACGATGAGGTGGTGATTGTGAAGGATATTGATATGTTCTCTCTTTGTGAACATCATCTTGTTCCGTTTATGGGGAAAGTTCATATTGGTGAGTTGATTACAGGATTACTGTTTACTGTATTCTGTTCTTTTTATCCATTTTTTTAACTCTCAAACCCTATTTCAGCTTATTTACCCAACAAACGAGTACTCGGTTTGTCAAAATTGGCTCGAGTTGTCGACATGTTCAGTAGAAGATTGCAAGGTAAGGAAATAGAATAAAAAAAACAAGAAAAATGCAATAGCATTAAAGCCATTCACCTAGTTGAATACTTTATACAGCTATAAGTGTATTTAGTACAAGAACGCATGACGAAACAGATCGCCACAGCCATTACAGAAGCAGTGCAACCACATGGTGTAGCTGTGGTCATTGAAGCAACGTGAGTTTGCAAACCATTCATAAACCCTGAAGTTTTCAAAGTATTAACAACAAATATAATAAGTTACTCTTTGAAAAAGTCGCTTAATCTTAATCGAACAAATTCAACTCCCCAATCAACTTCAAAAATCAATCAAATTAATCTTCAGTCACATGTGCATGGTGATGAGAGGCGTTCAAAAAGCGAACGCGATGACAACCACATCGTGTATGTTGGGAGAATTCCGAGAGAATCCAAAGACACGCGATGAATTCTTGGCTTTAATTAGAAAATAGAATATCTTTTTGAATATCATTTTTGTAGTTCTCATTTTACTTGGTGCTTTTCTAGACTTTGGCAAATTTAGACAATGACTTTCGTTTTTCGAAACACTTGGTGCTTTTGGAGATTGAGTTTTGTGGCTTTGAAAGCAATTGTTTGGTATTGTTGTTTTGGTTTTAAATTCTAATTTTGTCATTTATTTTTAGTACAGTAAAGTTTATTAGACAATATGCAAAAAAAAAATCCATTTTACGTGTGCTTTTTGAGTTTTCCCCATTCACTTCCGAAAACTGCCCTTATTTATTTTCGTTTGAAACGTGAAATTAGTCGATTTTTGTTCGAGATTAGAGAAATGAAAATAAATATTGCAAATTATAAAAACTAACAAAAAAGAAAAGACTTAAAACAGAACTCCAAACCCAGCCAACTAGGCCGTTAGAACGCAAAAGACAGTGTAGATTTGCTCCCCTAACAGATTTAACACAGTCACTGGGATAAAATAAAATAAAAGCTTAGACAAAGCACGATGAGTTAAGCATTCATTCAAAAACGAAATCTAATCAACACGTTCGAATGAGTGAAAGAAATTCGTCTCTTGTCTTCGGATTGTCTCGAAACTCTCCCAACATACATGACGTGGTCGTTGTCGCGTTCATTTTCTGCACTCCTCTCATCACCATGCACATGTGACTGAATGATTCATTTATTTATTCTATTTACATTTTCATTTAGCAGAAGATTCGATTTTAAATTGATTTTATGTTTAGTTTAAAATTTTGATGAGAGTACCTAGCCTCGATGACTACAGCCACTCCATGTGGTTGTACTGCCTCCGAGATAGCTGTCGCAATTTGCTTCGTCAGACGTTCTTGCACTAAAAAATTTTAGTATCTAAAAAGCTCATAGATTTTGTTCTCCTAACTAGCCTAGCTATAGCATTTTTATTGTTTTGTTAGTCTATTTCCTTACTATTTCCTATTTCCTTCCTGTTTCGTCATGCGTTCTTGTACTAAATACACTTATAGCTGTATAAAGTATTCAACTAAGTGGATGGCTTTAATTGTATTGCATTTGTATTGTTTTTTTTATTCTATTTCCTTACCTTGCAATCTTCTACTGAACATGTCGACAATTCGAGCCAATTTTGACAAACCAAGTACTCGTTTGTTGGGTAAATAAGCTGAAATATGATTTGGTAGTTAAAAAATGGATAAAAAGAACAGAATACAGTAATCAGTAATCCTGTAATCAACTCACCAATATGAACTTTTCCCATAAACGGAACAAGATGATGTTCACAAAGAGAGAACATATCAATATCCTTCACAATCACCAACTCATCATGATCTTCGTCGAAAATTGCCTCATTGAGAAGCTCTAGAAAAGTCGTGATGTTAAGAAACCAAAGTACGAACAGAAATTCGTTCAGCCAACTTTTCGAATTGACTTACGAATTGACAAGATTCTGCTCGTGCATAGACACTTACCATCCAAATTCTGCTCATATCCTTGCGTGAAAGTCAGCATTGCTTTAGCTGCCCGTTCTGGGGTTTTCAAAAGGCCTAGATTTAAGTTCTTTCTAGGATTCGTAGTCTTTAATTACCTTGTCGATCAGCATCTTCACCCACATGCAAGAGAATCTCTCGGTAACATTTGGCGATCCTTTGTTGGGATGAAAGAGGCTGAAAGAGGTTAACGTGCAATCAATAAGCCCCCAAAAGTCTCGGATCTCAAAAAATCTCGTACCTCTGTCGATTTTCGATCATCAATCGTTTGCTCTTGCTCGGACATGTCAGAATTTCGCCTTGAACCCACTCCAGAGCTCATTCCACTCTCTGAAAGTGATGCAAAAGTAGGTTTTTTTTCAATCAAAACGTTTAACAAAACGATAAAACTATGCAACAAAGCTACGAATTTATATTTACAAAAGTCAAACCGTGTTCGGGTGGGCAATGAAGGAGCTCGGTTTGCATGTGGAAATCTCAAAGAAAATTTCTGAACAATGATGTAAAGCGAGAGATCCCTATTCTCTCTCGGAAGATTTCCGATGGGTGGTGGGTGGATGTGATTACCTATGCTTTGGCCCTATGAATGGGCAACATGAGACCAAGGAGATTGAAGAGATTGAGCCTCTTTTTCTATTTCTTTTCTTTGCTTGAGGCTTTCTTTTTTATTCACTGCCCAATTACCTCCTCCTAGACAAATGGAGCTCAGAAAACGGGTTCAGCCGTTTTTTTTTTCTTCTTGTCAGGTTATTCTGGAAGATCGTTGATGTAAAAATTGGGGGTTTGGGGCAAAAATAGTCATGGATATGATGTCATGCATGTGACCGGATGTCAAAATCGATATTGGGAGTTTCGGTTTTGAAACCGAAAGCTTTGGGTATACAAATCGAAACTGAAACTTTTAGTGTATTGTGCCAATGTTAGTGTGGAAACGAGCCTTTGCAGAGACTTTCTCTGTGAAGATGAAAAGTTAATGTCAGAATGCAACTCGTGGCTTGTTTAACTGTAAATACGGTAGCAAGGCTTAAACGTGGCGTTTATGAATTTCCAATCCAGGTAAAAATTCGATAGTTAGCACACCAAATTCTCAATGTTGTGGTTAACTATGAACCATAGCCTTAACATCAGACGCCAACCGATTTTCAACGGTGCTCAATCACAATCCCCGCCTAACTGTAATTGTTTCACGTTTACACTTCTTATAACTGTTTCAATAATTTATAATCCACTTCGGTACTTGTGGTATCCGGGGGGTCTTTCAATATCCGGGGTGGTAAAATTTTAAGATCCGGGGTAAACTTTCAAAAAGCAACCAAATGCCCAAAAATGTTTTTTTTGTTAATATGGCTTTGCCGCTGTTTGCGTCTGGTAACTAAATTTTATAACTATACCAGCAACAAATAAACAAGATGCACGAGTAATGCAAGAACATAAACATAAACCAAACATAATAATTAAATAAATTTGTGAAGTACAACAGTGACTATTTGTAACAGTGACAACGAATACTACTTGTAAAAATCTATCGAATTTACTTCTAGGCCAGGAGGCCAAATATCAACACATAAAACTACCCCAAAAAATGGTTTTGAAGAAAAAAAGTGACCCGCCACCTAAGATAGCATCAACATTTCTAATAATGACAAAAAAAATTTGTAGAAGTTACGTTTTTGATCGAGTATCGCCACGAATAAATTGAATATCTTTACATTTGAAGGGAATTCGCCACCAAATCACTTAAGCGGCTGAATATCTTTAAAAAGGGTCGTATATAAAGTATATAAAATTTTACCACCCCGGATACTCCACAAGTACCTCCATTTCTTTCAAAAAACTCAAAAATAAAACTCTTTAAACCGCGTGAAAAGCAAAATGCTATTCTTGTCTAGAAATTCCCTTAATAAACCCCTATTATTTTTATCTTCATTAAACTCAAAATATTCCATTAAGATTCGTGTTTAGATTAGACTTGACTATCGAGACTTATCGATATCGAGGTTTATTAATATGATCGATACTGAGGGCTTATCGACAATAGTAAAACTCTAGTTGATTCTCGGTCAAATCCTTTTAACTGGGTAATTCGATGCACTGAATATGACTGTCGAGATCCCAGCCCTGGGTTTTACGATTTTTAAAGATTTTGGAAAACCTATCGAGATTTCGATATCGATATCGATAACGATAAGCTCTCGATAGTCAAATCTAGTTTAGACATAAATAATCATTTCGCCAAAAATTTATTCATTTTCTACTTTCAAAAGTTTCCCACTTGTTCAATTTTTGAGCTAATTCAAACGCGTTCATCGCAAAATCACGCATCGCCAACATTTCCTTACGGCTGACGTTTTTAGGCCTGCAAAATTGCCCAACTGGCGCCCTCGTTTCAATGAAATGCGCTTGTATAGTCTATGTTTTTACCTTTTTTACGTCACTTTGTCACTTTTTCTTTTGCTTTTATAATTTATTGTTCAAATTTATTGATTTTTTTTAGAGTAAACCCTTTGCTTGTCAAACGAACAAGTCCTAATGTCGGCCACGGCTGGGGTGTGTCGAAAATTTCTTTGACTTGATGAAAGTTTTGCTTTTAGGAGGACGCGGGCGACCGCAATGTGGAAATCTGGAAGATAAAGAAGCTGATCAAGAATTTGGAACTTGCACGAGGGTTGGTTTGTGGTTTAGCCCTAAAATTAGTGAGATGGTGTGCTAGAATTGAGCTTTTAGTAGCTTAAAGTTGTGTAATTTGCTGTCTTGCGTCTTACTTTTAACACATCAATTACATGAACGGATTTAATTATTTTGTTTAGTAATGGAACTTCAATGATCTCTCTGATCATTCCTCCACGTGATCAAATCCCGCGAGTTGCTCGAATGTTGGCCGATGAGTACGGGACTGCGTCGAACATCAAATCGCGAGTGAATCGACTCTCCGTGCTTGCAGCTATCACATCTGTACAAGGGCGTTTGAAGCTATACACTAAAGGTATGCTTTATTTTGGGCTATTAAAATAAAAGGTTGTACTTTATGTAAGCTCAAACAAGTTGTGGTAGAGTAATTAGATTGTTCTGATCATAATGGATGTTAGGAATCATAAATAATAATTGACAAAGTAGTAGCCGTTGGGCATCATGATACACTTCGTTGGCATACATTAATTTAGTACCACCAAACGGACTTGTTATCTACTGTGGAACGATTTTGACGGATGAGGGTAAAGAAAAGAAAGTCAACATTGATTTCGAGCCGTTCAAGCCCATCAACACCTCACTCTACTTGTGCGACAACAAATTCCACACTGAGGCTCTCCAAGGTATAACTTTTAAAAAGCTTCTAGTATAAGCAAAGATTCTGTTTAATAATAAAGATCTTATTAACTATTTTTAGCTCTCCTTACCGATGATACAAAGTTCGGCTTCATCATTATGGACGGAAACGGGGCTCTCTTCGGAACTCTACAAGGAAATGCTCGAGAAGTCCTTCACAAATTCAACGTCGAGTTGCCAAAGAAGCACGGTAAGGTTTTTGTTGTTACCATGAAATGATTTACAAATTAGGGCGAGGAGGTCAATCAGCGCTTCGATTTGCTCGTCTGCGAATGGAGAAACGACACAATTACGTTAGAAAAGTTGCCGAAATTGCCGTTGAGATGTTCATCAAAAGTGATAAGGTTATTGGATAATGGATTTCGAATGATTTTTGTTCTTTCTAGGTAACTGTTGCTGGACTTGTCCTTGCCGGATCGGCTGATTTCAAGACTGAACTTGGACAATCCGATATGTTTGATCAAGTTTGTGCTCTGTGGTCGTTCTTCTAACTGCTTTATTGTTTAGAGGCTACAAGTGAAAATCATCAAAACAGTCGACATTTCCTATGGAGGCGAGAACGGATTCAATCAAGCGATAGAATTGGCCGCCGACTCGTTGGCAAACGTGAAGTTCATTCAGGAAAAGAAGCTAATCCAATCGTATTTCGATGAGATCAGTCAGGTCGATTAAAAGTTGCATGTTTAATTTATCAATAGCTTTTAGGATACCGGCAAATATGTGTACGGTGTTAAAGACACACTACAAGGACTCGAAATGGGTGCCATTGAAACATTGATATGCTGGGAAAATTTGGATATCATGCGGTTAGTTCTTTTATTCAAGCAAAATAATTTAAGTTTCTCTTTCTAGATACAAACTTCGAAGCAACAGTGGAGATGACAAAGTTCTCAACTTGCGTCCCGAAGAAGAGAAGGACAAGTCGCATTTCATGGACAAAGATACGAACACCGAATTGGAGCTGGTTGAGTCGATGTCTCTACTGGAGTGGCTTGGTTAGTATCTTATTTATTGTGCATGTGCAAGAAATATTAATTTAATGGATTGTTCTTTTACTAACATATAAATTTCTAGCCAACAACTACAAGACTTTCGGAGCGGCTCTCGAAATCGTCACCGACAAGTCACAAGAGGGCGCGCAGTTCGTCCGCGGATTTGGAGGCATTGGGGGTGAGCGTTTGCTTATTGAATATTAGAGGTTTCTTGAACTTTTAAAACTAAATGATTTCTGTCCAATCTGAACAGCTTTCAGCTTTTGTAGACCACGTACTGAACATAATCAAAAAGTATTTAGACAGATCAAACTAATGCTATTTTTCAGGCCTTCTTCGATATCGCGTTGACTTCCAAGCTCAAGAACTGGCTGAAGAGCTCAATGGCATTGACCTCGACGACTATTGACCACGTTCGGTGGCTGCCGGCGATCGGCATTTCTCTCTTTTCTTCTTTTACGACTTGTTTCTTAAAGTTTCTTTCGGCACCATCTCTTCAGCTCTTCCTTTTTCTTTCATCCAAGCTAAATTCTTTTTTGCCGATCGCCACCGCAGCCACCGTTCGCGTTCTTCGGTGCATATCCCTTCGACTGCACTCTGGCCAGTGAGAAACCATTCCACAACAACACGGGGCCATTTTGCAGTACCGGTTTCGCTCACGGGTTCGTTTTTATTGAATTTTTTGTAGCCAAAGGTATTTTATGAATAACAGTTTATCTCTGGCTATCGTTTATTCAAAAAGCTCCTAATTCATGCACATTAATTAATTTTTCATTTTTAGGTAGCTATGGTAGGCGCAGGCTCGATTGCAAGGATACATGTTTATTTTTGTCGAAGCCCTTATTTATTTTTCGTTACTTCACTGTTCTGTTTTTCTGGTTGTCCCATTCCCATGATCGTATTGTCTTCGATTGTTTTTTTCGGTTGTCATCCAATATTTCATTCGCCGATGATGCTCTCAAAGATGGGTTCTTTTTGTTCTTTTTTCATCATTTCCGGACTGTTGAATAAAGTTTTTAAAATTAGAAAAGGTGACGAAAATGCAGGGCAAAAACTCCCAAAACAGTATTTCAGTAAAAATACCAAAAAGATCAAACTCTAGGAGAAAGTTCATTTTATTAATGTGGTGTGTCTGCACACCTGTTATCAAGTTCTCGAAATCTTTTCAGCTCTCTCACAATTTCGTCTCTCTGGTCGCTTTTTGTTAAAATCAATTTCTTGCAAGAAATCATCTCATACGAGCCTTTTTCAATAGAGTTTCTTTAATCAATAGCACTATTTTCGTTGGCCACTTGAACTACAAACATTTGGAAGATTGTTGAAACATTCTTAATTGACCTTTACATTTTCTTTTAAAGTACTTGCGTGTTTACAGTAAACTGATTGTTTCTGTTTAGATATGGGCGAAAACTCGCAATCGGCAACGATGATCATCGTCTCTGGCACGATCGTCGCAGCCCTTTCCGCGGCCGCTCTCTACTATTTTCTCACACGGGGGAAGGTTTGGCTTTTGATGAATTACTTGATTGAGTGGAAAACTACTTTGCTGGCACTGCAAAGTGGCAGAACAAAATTCCATAAAGCTATATCTACATCGTCTTCCATTGACCGCAGTTCTTCAGTTAGTTTTAAAATTTTAGTTGTGATTAGCTTTATAGTTAGTAGATTAAGGACTTGTACAATTGAAAACAAAATAACTAAAATACCGTATTTATTCTAATAGAAGCAATAACGATGGATATTCAGCTTAGTAGACCGAATGCCTTGAGTTTTGAGCCTTTAAGGATATGTAAGACATTTCCTTGAGAAAAATAGCATTCTTTATCATTTGTTTTGCATAAGCAATGGCAATTTTGATAAGTGTTTCTTGCAATTAGGTAGTCAGCCTATTTGGATCTATTGGGCCTAACTTTAATATAACTTAGACTAGGTATTTAAATTCCGTTGAGCTGAAGATAATCTTCACGTTTAAACATTTTTGACGTTTTATATTTTAGTATCTAATCCTTTAGCAAAGAATCATTCTTGCTTAGTTCTTTCTTAGATTATTATTAACATTATTGCTTAATAAGTAGCTTTTCTACGATAGTGACATCTCGGTTGAAGTCGGCGACTCTAACGGTAATGAAATCGAGAATAATGTTTTTTTGACGATTTAATTGTTTTTAATTGATTGTTACACAAAGATTTTCTTTCGACGAACTAATTCATCAATTTTTTTAGCCATTGAAAAATAGATTCGCAGCCTCTAATAGAAGCAATTTTGTGAAATGATTGAAAAATAGAAAAAAATAAAAATGTGCTTCTATTAGAATAAATGAATTTAAAGCTCAAATAAATATTCTGCTTTAGAAGAAGTCCGCGATCACCCTGGTAAGCGAAGAGACGAAATACGCTCTGCCACTTGTCAAGAAAACGATTGTCAGGTAAACAAATGAAATTGTATTTTTGCAACTAAATTCTTGTTGTTTAGCCACGATACCCGCAAATTTCGTTTCGCCCTTCCATCCGATGTTCACATACTTGGGCTCCCGACTGGCCAACACGTGTATCTTTCAGCAAAAGTTGGATATTATTTGCTTAACATTGTTACGATTACTTAACATAGTTAGAATATGATATTTTAAGTGGATTTATAGGTTTATTACGTTTGCCGGTTGGTTATGTTTTTAATTCTTCGCTTTAGGTCGATGGAAAGCTTGTTGTTCGACCCTACACACCGATTAGCAGTGATGATGATAAAGGACATGTCGAATTGATGATTAAGGCCAGTCTGCCCTTTTATTCCAAGTTTAACATTATTTATTTTATTTAGGTTTACTACCGTGATGTGAATCCGAAATTCCCGGATGGTGGAAAAATGAGTCAGCATTTAGAGGCGATGAAAATCGGTGATACGGTGAGATTTCAAAAGATTAATTAGTAACTCTTCTTTCAGATTGATTTCCGAGGTCCAAATGGTCTTATCACCTATCATGGAAATGGCACTTTCAAGGTAGATCTTTATTGTAGCTGCTTATAGAAAATTTTTAGGTTCGTCCCGACAAAAAGACTCAGCCGTCCACCCATTCTTTCCGTCGAGTCAATATGATTGCTGGTGGAACAGGAATCACGCCAATGTTGCAGGCTTGTGAATTTTCAATTGTTTTGAAACTGTTTTCTAAAGATTATTGCCGCCGTTTTGAAAGATTCAACGGATCCCGTGAAACTTGCCTTATTATTTGCCAATCAAACCGAAGAGGATATCCTTTGCAGGTAAACATTTTTTTTTACTATCCATCTAGTTGCGAATAGCCTAAAAGGATTCTGATGAAGTTTTCTCAAAATATGCAAATAGTTCGTAAAACGATCCTTTTTAGGGAAGAATTGGAAGCCTTGGAGTCCGCTTACCCCGATCGATTCCGTCTCTGGTAAACTTTACTTTAATGTGTCTAAAATGTGTTTAAACACCATGCGTTAAGACTTATGAAAGATTAATCTTTTGTATAAATTGACTTTAGGTATACTGTGGATCGACCCCCGGCAAACTGGAAGTACAGCTCAGGATTCATTGACGACAAAATGATTAGCGGTAGATCGTTTTGTCATTGGTCATTAAACATAGCGTTTAGAACATCTCTACGGCCCATCTGATGACACTTGTGTGCTTCTTTGCGGCCCACCACCGATGCTGAACTTTGCCTGCAATCCGAGCTTGGATAAACTTGCTTATCCACCAGATACACGGTTTGCCTTTTGATTCCTATATGCTCAACTATTTTTATATTTTATTTTGTGATTTAACATAGCTTCTATTTTTGTTTGATCGAATCTCTTCGCTGTATTTATACTAGTCTACGCTAGAAAACTTAGTCATTGAATAAATGCTTGTGACCAGTTTTTTTTTCATAAACGACACGATAAATTTCGAGATGATTGCACAAAATGCAAGCAGGTTTGTGAATTCGGCGTTCTTTTGCCTAGCATCACCCAACCCAGTTTTGATCTTTTCAGAAACTTCGAAAAAATCGGCTTAGCTGGTGCAGAAAGGGTAAAAGAGACGAAATGTTGTCGAGTATCTGAACATGGAAAGAGGAGGGGATGTCAAAATGGGTCAGAGAGGAGCGCCACAAAGGGGATTCATTCATCGACCCCCCTCGTTCCCTCAACAGCCTCAGCCATCCCTCCTGGACTGTTCCCCATCAAAAGTTCCATCTAACCATCCTAAACCAGTATTTTATTTTTCTGATTAGTGTGCCATCAGCCATTATCAAATCAAATCGATTCCTGCCTCACTCAGCATTTGAAACCGGCTTTGAGGGATTTCCCTGTAATCCATCCAATTTTTTTTGTCTCGTTTCCCTATTGTTTATGGGAATTCACGATTGGGTGACGAATGTGGTTTCTGATTGCATGGGTTCCGCTTTTTGCCACCGCCATCTACACAGTGACACACAAGTAAGAAAAAGTGGAGATAGATTATACTTTTAACGTACTTTTTTAATTTTTAAATTATTTTAAATTTAATTAAATTTAAAAAAAAAATTTTATTTTTAAATTAAAAAACAACTAGAGATCAAAAAGAAGATCCGTCTGTTAGGACACCTTTGCAAATCGAGGACCCAAATAGAATTGTTCCCGTGAGTGTTTTTCTAGAATTCTCTTTCTTTTTCTAGTTTTTCTAGAATTTTCGAGTGCAGTTGTAACTTCAGGAAGATGACGATAGCGATGAATTCGAAAACGAAGAAGATTTTATGTAAAAATGAAAATGAAAGATAAACAACTTCAAAAACAACTATCACTCTGCCTAAACTACAAAACAACTAGAAACCTAGGTAATAGCTAACAAATGAGGCAGACTTTTACACCCAGAATGATGCCAGTAATAAATTGAGAAAAGGTATGCAAGGTATCACAAAAAAAAAGAAACAAATCAAAGATCACAACGAAAAGACACTTCTGGTACCACTAAGCCTACTTGGTGAAAGACAACTAACCACAGCTTCTCTAAAAAGTCTCATCCGTTAGTCCAATGTGTTGCTTTTCGACGAGCTTTTTGAAGAAGCCGTCTTCAATTCGCATCAACTCGTCGTAAGTACCACTAAAATGTAAAAGTAAACATATTCTTTTAGTAAATTAAACCAACCATTCAGCCACACTTCCTTTTTCAATCACCACAATTTGATCGGCTTTTCGAATCGTCGATAACCTAGAAAAGAAGATTTAAAGAGCATTGTTATTTACTTGATTTTTGTGGATTTGTACTAAACTTGCTAGATGCAAAGTTAAGTTAATTGCACCTTAATTTCAAATAATTTACCTGTGAGCAATGACAAGCACTGTCCTATTCTTCTCTTGGATCAACTTTTGTAGCGAAGTGCGCACGAGAAGCTCACTTCCCGCATCCAATGCCGATGTGGCTTCATCCAACAACATCAACTTTGGGTTCTAAAAGTTATGAATGTCAAGAAAATTGTCTGTTAAACCAACATTGAGCAAAGCCCTTGCAATAGCTATTCTTTGTTTTTGTCCACCACTCAACATTCCCCCGCCTTCTCCCACAATCGTATTGAACTTTCTGTTGGTTGAATTATATGATTGTACCGTCAAAAATGCCTACTTGGGGAACTCGTTGACAAAGTTCATCGCATTTGAAGCCATTGCAGCCTTGTGAATCTAAAATAAATTTATAAAAACAAATGAAGATGCAAAATGACTTGTTCATCGGTGATCTCGTCAGGATTCTCTGCCCCGTATGCAATATTTTCTCTAATTGTCGTCGAGAAGAGTACGGGCTCCTAAAATATTAAATATTTAGGCAAAAAGATTAAATTATTTACAGTTTACTCTTTTCACTAACCTGTCCAACGGTTCCAATTTGTCGACGCCAATGCGACGGATCGATTTCTTTCAAATCCACATCATCAATGATGATTCGTCCATTCGATGGATCATATAACCTAGATTCATTTGTAACTTTCTAGAGTAAAAAGACTACCTCAACAATAAACTGGCAATTGAACTTTTTCCACTTCCAGATGGTCCAACAATAGCTGTGACCTAAACATTGATGTTGGCATAATTGCAAACTATCAAAACCAACCTTTCCTGCGGGTATCGTGAAGCTGAGTCCGTGAAAGAGTTCGTCCCGATCCGGGTAACCAAAAGAAACATCTTCAAAGCTGAAAATATCATAGAATACGTTTAAATATTACAAATTACCGAATATGTTGTTGAACTCCGTCCTTGAGTACTCCGCCGTGCAGAGGGATCGCCGGACGCGCATCTTTCAACTCGAAGAGTCTCGATGAAGCTCCCAATCCCTATTAAATTGTAAGTGACGTACAACTATGATGGATACCTTCATGATTTCCGTGAAAAATCCACTCATGTTGGACAACGATGAAGCACAAAGAATTGCATAAAGGCAAAACGACGAGAGATCACCTAAAATAAACAGTTAAAACTTTTTCTAAAAACCGACCGGTTGCTTGCAAAAAAACTCACCATACGTAAGTAACCCTTGTTGTATAAGAGTGCTTCCATAGAACAAAACGGCTGACATGCTCATGTAGCCAGTGAATTGGAACTAAATTAGAGAATCTGGTGATGATTATCGTAAAATCACTCACCGTTCCATACATACTTCCCTTGGCAATACCCTCACGTCGACTGATCATCCAAATGTCCTGAAAGTTTTGTTCACACTAGTTTGTCGCGGTTCAACTTACTTGTATTTTGTTTCCATAAGCTCCCTCTTCTTTGTTCTCGGCCACCAGCATTCGGACTGTCTTCACGGCTCCCAATCTTTCAGTAGCTACCTAAAATAACTTAATATAAAAGCAATAATTAGATCTGGTATTCAATTATTAGCCATTGAATTATACTACTAAACCAATATGAATTATAATATCCCTTACCTGATTAGCCCCAGCGACAGCTTCTTGCATTTGTAGAGTGTATTTCCTTTGAAGGCGTCCAAAAACGGCGAAAATCCCGACAACGAGCGGAATGACGAGAACCATCATTTTGCATAAAGCAGGTGATGTGTAAACCTGAAAGTACAAACTCTAAATAATATACAAAATGCTCTCTAAAACTATACAACTAAACTTGAACTTGAAAACGTAATCTATTGACATAGGGTTTTAGTGAACCAACCATAAGCGATCCCGAGCCAAGGCAAGTAAGTAGAGCTCTTGCTCCATCGCTGAGATTCATCGAAACCGCGTAGCCAACAATTAAAGCATCCGTCGAAAGTCGAGAAACCATCTCTCCAACCTAGCAAAAAAAAACCAGAATAATGAAGAAGTATCAGAAAGAGCACCAACCCTATTCCGATCAAAGAAAGTCATATCTTGACGAAGAATTGAACGAAAGACAGCTTTGCGCAGATCGTTAATAATAAGTTGACCTAAAGTATCAATGTCTTCCCCTTTTCAAATTTAAAAACGTACCTGCTGTGTGCATACAATAGACACGAGCAACGATGGCGGCTGCCCCGGCAGCTAATGCAGCGATGAGTGCAATAGGATTGTCCTTGAAGAATCTAAAAAGGAAAACGTTTAGGCCTTAACGATATTCTATTAAAATATAATTGCTTTCCTCAAAAAAAATTACCGTGCAAATCGTAGTGTTAGATCGCCTTCCGAATTTCCTTTCTTTGTCTCATCGTGCTCGTCGATGAGCTTGCCAAGAACACGAGGCGTCAAAAGAAACACCGAGCTCGAGACGCCGAGAAACGAGAGACCAACTAAATATTTTAAAAATTAATAAATACGGTACGTAACCCATGCTTCGTAATATAATACTGAATAAAAAAACTTACGCAAAATACGTCCTTTGTAAGGTGCAGCAAGAGAGAAGATTGCTTTCAATTCCTTCCATGTCGTTTGTGTTAACTTCTTTGAGGCTCGTTTTGTGTCGACCGTTGAAAACTAATAATCACTGATCAGATGTAAAAAGAACTTGTCTACCTTTCTTTTAGTAAACTGGACTTTTGACGTTGATTGGAGAACGGATCGAAATGAGGGCCGCGTCGTGCATAAGCTTCGGCTAAATTTAAAGTCTTCCAAGGGAATGTTTTCTTCAAGTTGACATAATAAACATCTAATGCCAAGGCTGAAAGTTGCAAATCTTCTTAAAAAGTTGATTTAATAGCCTACGAATAATAAAATATGCGTTGTAGTTGCCTAGGTTTTGACATATTAAACTTCAATCATTCTCAAAATTCTTACAACACTTTTTCGTCTAGTTTTTTATCAAAACTAAATGATGATGTAATTTACAATCATAAATTTACGTAGAAGACGAGGGAATCGCCAAATATCCGCATCGACAACAGTAGAGGAGTCGATTTGCCACGCTCAACATCGAATTGATCTAAATTTAAAATTGATCAATATAAGATTTGTGAAAGGAATCAAAATGGAGAAAGTAAAACGCGTTGTTGACGAAAAGTGCATAAAAATAAATTTACATCATGGAAAGAGAGAATGTGAGAGAAAGGGAGAAAGGGGTGTTTGAACGGGGGAATCCCCAAGACCGCGAAAAGAAAAACCTTTTCGTGTTGGGATTTTCTTTCGGTGTGATCGGATAGCTTGCATTTTATCCACAACCTGCATCAAATTGTTGGACTGTTGGAATTGCACGCAAATACGGGGGTGGCTACTTCGCGCCAAATTTCTTGCGCAACTAGGTCTTTTGCGCAACTCGCCATAGCTCTCTTCTAAGTGGGCTAATATTTATGATTTTAGTCTCATTTTGTAGATCTCAATAAGTGCAACAAAATGACACCAAAATCATAAAGATTGGCCGACTTAGAAGAAAGTTATGGCGAGTTGCGCAAATGACACAGTTTACTTGCTCTTATAAAATAATTTTTCGTTTAACAATATTCAGTTAAAAAGCTGTAAGTTGACTAAACGATTCAATAAACTTGTTTAAAGATAAATTTCAGTGAAGCTAAATTGTGTTGCATTTTCGGGGTGGATTAATTTCCGCCATTTTATTTGCGCAACTCGCCATAACTTTCTTCTAAGTCGACCAATCTTTATGATTTTGGTGTCATTTTGTTGCACTTATTGAGATCTACAAAATGACACTAAAATCATAAATATTAGCCCACTTAGAAGAAAGTCATGGCGAGTTGCGCAAAAGACCTAGTTGCACAAATGATCCTGCTGCGCAAATAAAATGGCGGAAATTAGCCTACCCCGCATTGTCACTTCATCAAAATGCAAACGATGTGAGAAAAATTTATTCGGCACCATTTTCTTCTCCATTTTGTGCTTTTGATTTAAGATATCTCTCATCTTTCGATGAGAGAACCGTTTTCTTACAGCAATCATCACATAAAACTTGGGTACTCTCAAAGTTTTCCACCCATGACGACTCGAAGAGTGGGGGTAGATGAGAGAAAAATGTCTGAAAAGGATTTGATGGTGAATTGTAGAAGAAAATTTCCAACTTGAGCTTCTTGTGACTCTTCATCTTGTTCAATTGGAAGCGGTTCCACGTAGAAATCTTTTGAAGAAATGAATGAAAATGAGCACTCGTTGTCCAACTGAAATTGGATGAGTGTTATTTTGGAAAACTTGCTCACCAAAATCGGTGTTTTTGGCACTTCATTTTGAGCGAAATCAAGTTTAGCCTCGGCGAATTCGGTGAGAATACCCTGGAAATCGTTTTTAATCATAAAACTTGGATCTTACCGTGTAATAAGTATTGTAGGGTCCAATATAGACATTTGTGGATGATCGCAATATTGGGGATTTCAATGTTAAACAGTAGATTTCGACCTGGTGGCAATCTGGAAAAGGTTGATGTCTGTGGGACCGTAATAACGGGCTGTTCTAATAGTACTGATCTAGTACGGTAGCATTCTTGATAGACTTACCTTGTAGAGAAAGTTGAGCACACGCTACAGCAATCGTGCAATTGTTGAGGTTTTTGAGTAGAACATTACCGGAAACAGGTCCCAGAACAAGCGATGAACACCCAGTGACACTGTCGACAATCACGCTCTGCGACCTAAAAATGGCTTCAGATTGGATTCCCTTTGAAATATTCACTGTAGTACTTTCTATTCTATAACTGTACAGCTCTGTTTCACCTCCACGGTTGAATGATACGCGAGGCTCGTGCGCGAGTGTTTGTGAGTCGGAGGTGAGCGTCTCGATAAACTCCACGACGGAGAACCTGAAAGTAATCTTGAAGCTGTTTGCAACTATGTGTAGTGCTTACAAATTTACTTTCGAATAAAGATTTAAAGCTAAAAGAATTGCCCCTTCCCCACCTCAATTCTATTCCAATCGCTTACAAAAACTTTCCGCCTCGAGCCGGCTCCAAGCGACGTTTTCTTCGAGGCAACCAGAGAGCATAAAGGCTGAAAATTTATAAATTAATTACAAAAATTGAAATATTTTATTGATTTTTATATCTTATTGATTATTCAGGGAATAATATCGTTGTTTATTGATGTTTATTGATACCCGGAACCTAGTTGTTTATTGATGTTTGCAACTATGTTAGTGTTACACAAATACTTTCGAATAAAGATTTAAAGCTAAAAGAAGTGCCCCTTCCCCACCTCAATTCTACTCCAATCGCTTACAAACTATTGATATTGATATTTCCGTTTCTAAACCTTTTCAATTGTAACATCATCGATGGCAAATGGATCAACACAAAGACATAAACTGAGTCTTTCAACCAATGTATCATAGGAAATCTGAAAATTGAAGAATTTGAAAATAAAGATTTAAAATTTTTAAAAAAACTAAACCTTTCTATCATTTTTCCAAGCTTGAGTTGCAACTTTTGAGAAGGGTAATGGAATATCGAAGAGTTGAGGATCCGAGTCGGATTTATCTGAAAGCAAGTCATTGATAAAGGCAAGTTTTGCTCAATTTGTGCATATCATAGAAAAAAAAAGATATTGTTATTTATTCAACTAATTTATTCAACTATTCACAAATCCCACCCATATCCACGAGTCCCTCAAATAAAGCATCCAAGAAGCTCAACGAGTTTGAGAAAGGTGGCATAAAAATTCGATCAAACGGCTCATTCCCTGTTGCCGAAATGTGTAAAACTTCGAGAATTTCTTCTGAAATTCAATTTTCATTGATATCTATAGCTTTCTCTTACTTAAATTATTTTTGATGAACTCAAAGATGACAGTGGATCGATTGCGGTCAGTGAATGGGGTTTCAATCTGAAAGAATCAGAAAATAGATTCACAAATGATTAAATCAACATCAATAACAATGAATGATTGAAAAATTTATACCTGATATTCTTCAAGATTTCGATAGAATTCCTCGACGCCAAGTAAAAGAAGAGACACGGTGAGGGCCGAGATTTGAACCTCGCGCTGAAAAGTGAGTTTAGAGTCTAACAAAAGTCTATTTAAACTTAAATAATACAATTTTTTTTTAAAAGTAAAGTACTCTTTTTTTAAAGTTTCCCATTTCCACCTCTTTATGCGAACTTTTCGCCACCGAGAACAATGCCAGCGTTAACTCTTCGGGTAAATCCAATGAAGCGGCAATGTCGAACCAATCTTCACGACTTAAAGCGAGATATATTTATTAATATTATGTAGATACAAAAAATATCGTTAAATTTAGCATCTTACTGTATTTTCCCATTATTTTCCCTAGCACGAGCCAGACTCGCGAAATCTCTAGCGACAGCGATTCCCGGATTATCGCCATTCGTCGAATCGACTCTATGAGGCAAGAGTGAACTCTGAAATCATAAAATTACTTAATAAATATATTTTCAACCTTTTTTACAAACAACACAAATTTTATATTAAGGAAACCTTTTGTTTTTTATCGAAATCAATCGGCAGACAGAGTCTTAACGTGATTCGCCCGTCGATCCACGCGAAAACGCGCATCATTGAAGAATTCAAAACTAGAATTTACAATTTCAAAGAAATTTACAGAATATATGTGTTACTAGAAAAGTTCATAACAAAATTCAAATTTTTTGACTCGTAGAAAGGTGAATATCTTACCGCTTTGGTTACCGTGACAACGAGGGTGAAAGCGTTTCAAAAAAGATCATGATTTACTTCAACATCCAGATTCTAGATTTAGTAAAGTCAAGAAAAAAAAGTTGTATTATTTGAAATGAAGGTAAAAGATGGAGGTTGCAAAAGCCTTTTTCTTTTCAGACACCAGGCCAATTCTCACATCATTTTACCGAGAAACGTTGCATGAATTTTTCATTGAATGTAAAAGGGCTTACATAATGCTTGAATGAATAACAAAACCAAGTTTATTCAATAAAGATGGCAAAGCGGGTGAAAATGTTTAACAAAAGCTCCAAGAAACAAGAAATAACTTAAAGACAAACAGGAATCACTTTGATGAAAATTGTGGACAAAAAACTAACTTTCACAAAAAAATGAGAGAAAATTCTGAGTAAAAGGGGGAAGGAGGGGTCCTTTTATATGCGTGTAAGCGCGACATTGTTTAGGGTACGGTGTCTTATTAGACGGTGGCACAGATAGTTTAGGGTACGGTGTCTTATTAGACGGTGGCACAGATAGTTTAGGGTACGGTGTCTTATTAGACGGTGGCACAGACTGTTTAGGGTACGGTGTCTTATTAGACACCGTACGCTAAACTGTCTGTGCTTTTTGGTGATTCGTCATCACATCACAAACCATTCATCCATTCCGCCGATTCATCGGTTTCTCGAAAAAGTTTACGCCTTGTTCCCCAATTTTTTCCCAATTTCGGAAGTGATCATTCTTTTTGTCATTACCTGATAAGAAGCTCAATAAAACCCCCAGGTACAGCGTGATTTCTCTACGAATTTTCTGAAGTTCTCAGGCAAAAATGAGTCATTTCGTTTTGCGGATTGTGTTACTGTTCGCTTCGTTGAGTTTTGTTTACTCTTGTCCACCAAATTCCTATGATAGTCAACTCGATGGATGCGTTTATTTGCAAGCTTCTGGTTTGTCGAGATTTTCATTTCAGATTTCAAAATCTTAATTCAATTGCTTATTGGCTGTTTTAGAGGCTTAGATTTTGTAGCATTGCTTTTGGTTGCTAGAATCTGTATTCTTTTATTCTTTTTACTCGATCAATCTTTTAGCTCCATTCGATCTCGCCGAACAAAGTTGTAATCAAAAAGGAGGACATCTCGTCTCAATTCATAACGCTTTTGACAACACTGATGTGTCAAATATTGGAAATGGTAATGCAGAAAGCAGAGATAAAGTTTGACCGACTTGACCGGATTGCTGAAACATTCATAAACTTTGCCACTTTAAAATTCGTTTTCTTTCAGCCGCCGGCTATCAACGTTTCTTTCTGGGTGCTCGTCGATATGCCACCAATCAAACATTCATGAATTCCGATGGATCTCCATTCAATTATCAAGTTTGGGGAGCCGGTTTGAATAAAGAGATTATATTCTAATCAAATTTCTTCTAGGTCAACCATTATCTGATTTCTGTATCGCGATGCAGCCCCAAACTCAGCAATGGTACACAGCGGATTGTGATCAAACATTGCCGTCGATTTGTCTCGTCAAACAAGCACCGACAGGTTGTGCAAAAATATATAGTCAAGTATTATACAAGTTATCGAAAATTCTAAGGTATTACAAGGCATTATAGTATCAAAAAGTTTCAGTCCCACCTGCTTCGCAATGTCAATTCGGATGGAGTTACTTCGCCGGAAGTGGAGCTTGCTACTATGTAAGTTGAATTTAAAAGGATTTTGGCTTAAATAAGTACATTTTTTGGATTATTTAGACATACAATACAATAGTAAACATTTCCGATTCATCTTTCCAGAAAGGAACTGGTAACTTCTCTTTCTACGATGCTCAATCGATTTGCCAAGGGATGAGCTCAAATCTTGCGTCGATTCACTCGATTGATGAAAATAATTTTCTCATAGGTTGAGTTTAAAATGGGATACCAAGTACATACCAAAGTCTTGCCTGACATTCGTATCAGCAAATACATTTTCTAGGTCTAACTCTTGGCTACTCGGGTTCTTCGTGTTCGACGACGTGGGCCAATTGGTATGTGGTATGGATTGGAGGTTTGTGATGGGGAATTTTTAAAAATTGAAAAGATTCTGATAGGTAAAAGATGTGCTTGATAAAAAGTGCAGGGTTCCAATACGGTTCTTTTTAGATCCAATACGGTTCCTTTTAGATCCAATACGGTTCCAATACTGTTCTAATACGGTTCCAATACGGTTCTTTTCAGATCCAATACGGTTCCAATACGGTTCTTTTTAGATCGAATACGGTTCTACGGTTCCAATACTGTTCTTTTTAGATCCAATACGGTTCCAATACTGTTCTAATACGGTTCCAATACGGTTCTTCAGATCCAATACGGTTCTACGGTTCCAATACTGTTCTAATACGGTTCCAATCTTTTTAAAAGATCTTTTTTCTCAGGTGTTTACAATCACGATTGGCAATGGTCGGATGGATCACCGTTTGATTACAAGAGACTTTACGGGCATAGTGATCCCGATTCTGGATCGCTGTCGGTTCGTTTTTGAAGGCAATTTTGACACAATTCTGTATCAATTTCTGCTTTTTTTAGTGCTTTCTGAAGTGATAATTGATATTTCTATTCCCATTTTCATTTCCATTTCCAGCTCACCTCCGAAACCGGTTGTTCCGATTTTACCCAATGGCGAGTGAGAGCCCCAGCAAAAATGCTTCCATATTTTGTGTGCAAAAAGTACCCTGGGTTGTAATTGTTTCGAATCAATTCAAAGAAAATCAATCAAATATTTATTCGACACAAAATAAATAGCAAACTGAATATGGGAAAAATGCAGATAATAGTGTAAAGAAAAGAGAAAATTGGATTTTAAAAAAAATGGTGATAACTGAGATTGCTCATTTCACTAAAATCTATCTAAAACCTCAAAAAATAAAAGGAAATAAAAGGAAATAAAGAGATTTTGAAATTTGGCTCAATTGAGCAAAATTTGCAAAGGCAGTGTTTGGAGAGAGAATTTTTAGAGGGAATAGAAAAAGAAAAAGAAATTCGAAATTCTTGTCCTGAAATTTTCGAGAAAAGCTCATCAGAGGATTGCAAGTTAAAAAAAAGAATAAGAATAAAAAGTTGAATAGTTTGATTTGTCCAATCCAATTTTAGAATCCACTTCAACTTTTATCCTTTTCCACCAGCTCAACAGCCTCATTTTCTTTCTTTCCATGATCAGGCATGTGCTCGGGCATCGGTCGACCACGAGTCTCCGGGATGAAGACTGGAAAAGTAAAAGAATTAGATTAGATTTAGATTAGATTAGATTTAGATTAGATTAGATTTAGATTAGATTAGATTAGATTAGATTAGATTTAGATTAGATTTAGATTTAGAATTTAAATAAATCTAAAGAAGATTTAGAATTTAAATAAATTTAAAGAAGTTTTAGAAATGTATAGCGCTAAAATTCGATCAGCTAAGCCTTCTTTTAGAAAATATTTTTCAACTCACAAGCAAATGAGAGCATCTGAATTGTGGCAAGGATGAGCATGATGACAAGTGGTAATTGAGTCCAAATATCGGTCAAGAGGAATAAGAAAGGAGCCAGGGAGACACCTGAAATCGTTTTTTATACAGATTTTATATTATATGCTAGTGCTTTGTCAAACTCACCAAATCGATTGAACATTTGAATGACAGAGTATCCGATTGTTCGAACAGGAGTCGGCAAGATCTCATTTCCTGTCACTCCAACAACCAAAAACAACTAAAAGAAAGGGAATAGTAAAGAATTGTAAAGAAAATAAGAAGATTTACAATTAAAGATATTAGTTTTGATCAATATACCGTATTTTCTGTAATAGTAGTGCGCACTACTATTTTTTCAACCCCCCCTCCAGCCTGCACTACTATTACAGACTGCACTACTATTATAGACTGCACTACTATTACAGAAAATACGGTAGCTAAATTAGCAGCTAGACAAGTAACCTGTGAAGCCATCGAGGCAGCACCGATCAAAGCATAGCTGTTGAGAGTCTTCAGAAGTGGGATACCTGAAAGATTGACTTGATAACTGAAAGATAACTTGTCTGGTACTACCACTTGTCTTTGTCTAGACTTAAAGAAGGTTTAAACGCAGACAAAGACAAGTTTTTGTTGACTCTTTTTCAACTCACCAGTGACATTTCCAATAATGACAAAAGTGACGGCAGCAATGACAGTAACGAGACAACTTCCATGAATCGCTTTCCGTCCCATCCATGTGAATCGAGGTTCCATCAATGCGAAAACAATGTTGAAGATGTATCTGAAAGAAATAAAGAAATATTAAAAGCCTTCAATAATCCTCTAACCTCAAGCATCCATTCAAAGCTGAATTTGCGTACATCGAACCGGAGAGTTTCTCGATATTGAACAAGATTCCGTACGAGTTGATTGCAGTGAAGTTACTGGAAGTTATAGATACCGTAACTACTGTAATAGTACCCCACCGCCCTCGTACAGTCGCGTAGTCGCAAAAGCTTTTTAGTATTTCATTTTTTTCAAAGCGTCCGTATTTTCAAAAAATGCGTCTTTGGTATCAAAAAATAGCCCTGAATTTCAGCTATTTTTTGATAACTAAGCGCGCATTGTAGCATAAACCAGTGTCGAGAAAAGCGCGTCCAAAGCTAGACTACCCAACACTCCACCCCGTCATTATGGGAATGGGGTACTATTACAGTATTTACGGTAGGTGTCTTTGTCTTAAACGTCTATCTAATCTATCTACCGTAACTACTGTAATAGTACCCCACCCCCCTCGTACAGTCGCGTAGTCGCAAAAAGTTTTTTAGTATTTAATTTTTTTCATAGCGCCCGTACCTTCAAAAAATGTGTCTTTGGTATCAAAAAATAGCCCTGAATTTCATCTATTTTTTGATACCTAAGCGTGCATTGTAGCATAAATCAGTGTCGCGAAAAACGCGTGCAAAGCTAGACTACGCAACACTCCGCACTGTCATTATGGGGGTGGGGTACTATTACAGTATTTACGGTAAGTTAACTTTATATATTTAAAGATAATCTCTACTTATTAGAACTTTATCTCACTTACATGCACATGCAAAGGATCAACGTTGGGATGGCGAGCTCTTTCGATGAGAAAATGTCCCAATACGAGTAGACACTCTTGCCGCCTGTGTTCTTTCGAGCCTAGAAGTTAGAAAATGATATCTTTATCTTTCTCTATCTTTCTTCTTTATCTTTATCTATCTATCTTTAGCAAATCTATTTATCTGACTATGATTGTATCTCAAAACTGACCGCAGCTTCATTCTCGAAGACTCCATTCATCGTCTCCTCGTCGATCTCTTTCCCGTTCACTTTGTAAACCTAGATTTTCTGTTATTATTCAAATTGAAATCAGTTTATTTGTTTAATCAACTCACTCGATACATCACTTGTTTTGCTTCTTCAATTTTCCCCTTTTGCAACAGCCAACGCGGAGATTCGGAGACGAAAAAGCTGAAAATTTTGTGGTTAAGCTTGATAAAACTCGGTTTATCTTTATTTTGGAATTGTTTTTACGAAAAGTAAGGATATCTTCTTGATATCTTCTTTTATATAGAAACTAGATTTAAGCTTTACGCTAAAAGAATAATTCCGGGTGTGGTGAGGACGGCGATCGCGTAGCTCAATCGACGCCATTCTTGAGCCCAATAAGCGACACCGGCATCTAGAAAAGTTGCAGATTTTATTCTTCTAGAATCTTTATATCAACAAGTTACATTGTATAATATCATTTTTTTAATGGAACTCACAAATAACGATATTTGGTGACCATGACAACAACATCGAGATCCACATTCGAGAGGATTTCGGCGAATTCTCAAGGAAAACAACAAGAGCCAAGCTGAAGAAATCTTTGAATATATCATAGTATTATGTTTTTAAAACGTACACAATTTGTCCACCAACGAAGAAACCGCCAAGGACACGAACAATGGTGAATGAGATGAGATCCCATGTCAATGGGGTGATCGCAAAAGCAATCGCCGTCATAATCATCGCCACCAAGAGTGACTGAAAGTATTTAAAAGTTAGTTAAAGTTACTTTACTGTAGGATTGTTCATTCATTCGTTATTCGAAAAAAAAACTGACTTTCTTTCTGCCGAAAATCTCTCCAAATTGCCCGAAAAGTACGGATCCGACGAGCACGCCGAGCATTTGAATCGAGATCACTTGTTTCACTGTCGTCGTTCCACCACATTCATAATGCCACTTAAAAAAGAAATCAGCTCTATGCCTTATTCTATTCCCTTACCTCAACATTAACGGATTTAAATTGATAGGTAAACTCAGGATTTTCACAGTTGTCCTCGTTGAAATCAGTGCAATTCCCGGGTTGACCACCGCACGATTTAAGAGTCGGAGCAGCACCTAGAATTGTTATATTATATTATTATATTGTTATATTGTTATATTGTTATATTGTTATATTATTATATTGTTATATTGTTATATTGTTATATTGTTATATTGCTATATTATTATATTGTTATATTGTTATATTGCTATATTGTTATATTGTTATATTGTTATATTGTTATATTGTTATATTGTTATATTGTTATATTGCTATATTATTATATTGTTATATTGTATATTATATATTGCTATATTATTATATTGCTATATTATTATATTGTTATATTGTTATATTGTTATATTCAATATTATTTTAGCACTTAAAGACAAAATTCAATCTAGATTATTATTCAGTAGTATAGTATTTTAAATATAAAATCGAAAGTCAAATCTATACCTGCATACATCATATAGAACATGAAAGCGGTTTGAGTGAAAATCGAGATCTCGAGGAGGAGACAAACACGGAAGAGGTACCTGAAATGCAAAGGAATACGTTAAAAGCTGTCCCAAATTATCTCAGCTTTGTTATTTGAGATTTTAGAATCTTTTTATCTTTAAATCTTTTACTCACCATCCCGATTGTAGCATATCATCGAGTCTTTTCGGTTTTGGTGGCGCCTGTTCAACATCTCCCGCCATTTTTCAATTACTTTTTATCTAAAATTTAGATTTTTATACAAATAAATTAAAAGAGTGTAAAATGGGATCTTTAAGAAGTTAATTGTTAAATAATTTCAATAAAATAAGAAAGGGAACAAGCTTGAAACGCAGAAAGGCAACAAGCTTGAAACGGAGAAAGGCAACAAGCTTGAAACCCAGAAAGGCAACAAGCTCATTAAGTTTATGCTTGGCTTTCAAAATGCGACAAAAAAAGTGAATAAAAGTGAAACTTTTCAAATCGAATCAATTGATGAATGTGGTTTAAACGTTTCCCCTCTGCAAATCCCATCAATATTCCCATGCACTCAACGGATCTCTCAGCTTTCCATCCCTTGCCCCTTTCTGTTCTCTATTCAGGTGCCAAACCAAAAAAAAAGCAAAGCTTTACGTCATTCACCACGTTTTTTTTCCTCAGCAGATTTTACTTCTTAACCTTTAGAATCCAAATTGCATCATGAAATTAAGTAAAAATCACTTATTTTTTGAGTAAACTTCTAAACAAATTTTAGAAGCAAAAAAGCATTCATTTGTGAGCATTTTTCATTTGCTATTTTATTAAGCATTGGAATCAATTCTTACATCAAGATAAATTCATTGGAAAAAAGATGGGACTTCTTGTTTACTGAGTCTTATCTCTTCCACATTCTGGAGAAAAGAAAAGTAAAAGAAACGCGAAAACAAGAGGATTTTTGAAGAAGTTTTGTTTGGGGAAAAGGCCAAGAATCAATTGTAAATGGAAAAAGAGGAATGAAAAAATATGAAGAGCTTGTTTTGAAGAAAGTTTTCACAAGAAATTCAAACTCTGATTCGAGTTTAGAGAGAAATCTTGCATTTAGCTTTGCTATTTTTATAGATTTAAATCAAAAGAATCGAAACAACTGAACAACGAAACAAAGTTTTCTCATTTTTCTTTCATTTCTCCCATCGATTCCCTTCATTCCATTTTCTTTTCTCGATCTTTTCCCCTTGCAATACGGGTCACTGTTACACATCAAATGAACACTTTTTTCCCCACCATTTTTGCGATTTTTCAAAAGATATCCAAATGAGATAGAAAAAAAATGGCGGAGAAATTTGTAAGACTGTCTGTTTGGGATCAGAAAGGCGCAGATGGCAAAAAATGGAAGGAGATTGGGGGAAAGAGTTGAAAGAGTTGGAAGAATTAAAAAAGGGATTGGAAAAGAAGAAGTTGAAAAGAATTTCTAGAATATGAAAAATATAATCAAATAGAAAATAGTTGAATGTAGAGATTTGTCAAAAGATGGAGTTGACCCGGTAGTGCAGTAAAGAGAGATGGCTTGGGTGTTTTTTTGGGGGTAAAGAGGAGTGACCAGTGTGCGGAGAACATAGGAAATGCCAAGAAGGAGAAGAAGAAGAAAAGAAGAAGAAGGGAAGAAGGAGAAGAAGGGAAGAAGGAGAAGAAAAGAAGAAGAAAAGAAGAAGAGATCATTCTATAGAGTACACAAAATGAGAGGAGAGATTGAGAAACGAGAGGAGATCGGATGGGTCTCGAGGGGAAAATCCGAGAATGTGTTCATGGTTTCGGGACTTGTTAGGTTTTTTGGTTTGTTTGAAATTGCTTTTTTGAAATTTCATTTCTTCAGAATGTGTTGTAAACATTTTAACGATATCTCTGGCAAATAAACGCTCATAAATTATTGAATGGGGAAATGGATATTGAGTGAAATGTGTGCACAATGACCTCTATATTGGTCAAAGAGCGATGATTTCCCCCGGTCGATCTCCCCTCTCATTAGCCATCGTTCAGTGCAGCGAAGCGTGAACATTTCTTTCAATTTTTCAATTTTTCAATTTATTCTTGTATATTCTTGTATTATAGAATGTAATATGATAAAATATTATAGAAAATGGTCTACTTTACTTTACTGTACTGCAGCATATAGGTATTGTGTTGAAAAAGCAAAGAAAACTGTGCTTGATTCTTCTGTAGCTTTTAGAAATTACAAAAATTACCCTAAAGTCTCGAGTATAAGTTCTGCCTTAATTTACATTCGCTTTAATTGCTTTGAATTTCTTTTTGTTGAGTTTTTATACATTTTTATTGTTATATAAACTTTTATTATTGTTCTTGGAGCGCGGGATACTACAGGGTGACAGCCTATCACCATTGCTATTTGTTATGTGCATGGATACATCCAGACGATAGTGTTGAAGAAGACGCTGGAAAGCATCTCTTTCGACCGTCGACGTGGACTTTGGCCGGATGAAGAGGCCAGGGAGGGATCCATAAGACTGAGCACCGGAGAGGAGCAGGGCGGACGCGCCGAGCCACGCCCGGAGCAACAAATAACAGCATAAAATTGCTATAACCCTCAATAAATTTACTTCTATTATTGTTCTTAAAAAGCAAAAAAGTTATGCTGCAGCGGGGTTCGAACCCTCGACACACCGCACCGGAGACAGCCGTCAATTTGCATGCGAAAACCAAACAGAACTTATACTCGCGACTTTAGGGTATGACTTATAGGAACTTATAGGAAAACAGAAGATTCTTTGCTTTTACATTTTCATAAGTCCTCAATCTCAATCTCATTGTAGTTTCATTCATTTTGTGCCCATTTTCTTTTTAAGAAACCTCAGTTCTTCGTACTCCGCCCACTTGCGCCAAAAGCGCGTCGATTCGGGCCTCTTGGGCCGCTTCCACTTGCTACAAATTTTTTCCACTTGCTACAAACCGCACCGGAGACAGCCGTCAATTTGCATGCGAAAACCAAAAACAGAACTTATACTCGCGACTTTAGGGTACAAAAAATAACTGAATTCAAAAGCTTTACTAATAAGTTTATCTATTTTTCAATAAGTTCTTGATCAGGTGGAGTCTGATAATCACTATTTTTCGATCGTTTCATCGGCATTTGTTCAGGCATCGAATGTCCTTTGGTTTCAGGAACAAAAACTGGAATCATATTGATATAGGACAAAGAAATTTTTTTTTCAATTTACCCGCAAAAATAATAAACTGTATGGCTGCAATGACAGTCATTATGAGAAGAGGCAATTCTTCCCAGTATTCGCTCAATAAGAAAAGGAATGGGGCAAAGATTACGCCTGAAATCATCACTTGTTACTATGACTGGTTTCTCTTTCTTTATATGTTCTGCAATTTGGATAAATGATCTATTTCTAATGATCTATTTCTAATGATCTATTTCTAATGATCTATTTCTAACTGTTAGAGCTTTCCATTCGACAAACCTCCTCTGCTGAAGACTTGCACCAGTGAGTATCCAATTGTCCGAATCGGGGTTGGCAACATTTCAGTGGCCGTCACCGAGATGGCCAAGAAAAGCTGAGAGTTGAGAATTATTTTGAAAGTAGATTTTGGAAACTGTATCTCAAAAATGATTAACTACTCACTTGAGAAGCCATCGAAGCAGCAAGAATTAAAATAAAACTCTCGAATTTCCACAGATACTTGTTTTCTAGATTTTTTTTTTTCTTGAACTTTTGAGTGCACTATTGTGCCATTTAGTGCAAGAAGACTAATTGGAAGAGTTGGTAAGTGATAAAGGAAACCTACCGTAAATACTGTAATAGTACCCCACCCCCATAATGACGGTGGGGAGTGTTGTGTAGTCTAGCTTTGAACGAGTTTTTCTCGATACTGGTTTATGCTACAATGCGCGCTTAGGTATCAAAAAATAGCTGAAATTCAGGGCTATTTTTTGATACCAAAGACGCATTTTTTGAAAGTACGGGCGCTTTGAAAAAAAATGAAATACTAAAAAACTTTTTGCGACTACGCGACTGTACGAGGGGTGGGGGGGGGCTACTATTACAGTATTTACGGTAATTGTAATGTATTACCTGTAAAATTCCCGTACAACACCATCAAAACCGAGAATAAAACGGTGAGCACCGAGATCGAATGCATCAATTTCCTTCCAAGTTTTTTCACTCTCGGCTCAAGAATCGCGAAGAAAACATTGAAGAAATAGCTGAATTAAAATTAAGAAAAAAGATTTAGAGAGAGATAAAGAAGAGATACCGTAAAAATCCGTTGAGTGCAGCGTTGAGAAAAATGATTCCGGAGAGTTTCTCGATGTTGAAAATGATACCGTAAGCATTAATCGCCGTAAACATACTGTAAAAATTAATAAAATTAGATAATAGGCAATGTTTAAAGTGTGTTTTAATGTTTTAATCCTCATGTGTTTTAATCTTAAGAAAAAAGGAACTTTATAGGAACCAAATAGGAACTCATTAGGAACTCTACAGTAACTATAAAGAAACTATATAGGAATCAAACAGGAACTAAATAGGAACTACACGGTAGCCAAATAGGAACTATAAAAGAACTATATAGGAACCAAATAGGAACTATAAAGGAACTATATAGGAACCAAATAGGAACTAAATAGCAACTCTACAGTAGCCAAATCTAGCACACTTTATCTCAGGCCCTGAATAAAGTATCTATATGTTGTGTCCGATTTCGATTTCCGTCCGATGTAGACTGTAATCTAAATTGGACGTCCGATATACAGGATGCGGCAAAAGTTCCGACACTTTTTGTAAACGGGCAATTTGACTTGGAAAAAACGCGATTTTTGAAAAACTAACACCGGATTATAAAAATTCAGATATTTTTACCCCCTAATATACTTTTTTACACAAAAATTGCCATCTAAACAACCTTTTGATGAGGATGTTTAAAGGTCGTTACAGCAGTTTTTCTTTTGCTGTTGAGATTTGGGTGCCCTTCGTAGAATCGCTTGAAAATCTTTCGTTTTTGAGATATAAAGTTTTTTTGTGGCTTGTTTTCAAGAAAAAAAAAAACTCAGTTCTATCAAATGGTAACAGCAGTTTTTGGAAAAAATTTCATTCTGCAAAGTTTAAGTCAACTTTCGCAAAAATCTTCAGCGACCAGACCGGAATATAAAAAATTCTCGTCAAAAAGTTATTGAGAGTTGAAATCTTTTTATGAAAATGGCTATATTGGGGTGAAACTACCGAAATTTTTAGAATCCGGCGTTAGTTTTTTGAAATTCACGGGTTTTTGAAGCCAAAAAAAAAAATTACTGCTTACAGAAAAAGTGTCAGAACTTTTGCCGCACCCTGTAGACTGTAATCTAAATCGGACGTTCGATATAGACTGTAATCTAAATCGGACGTCCGCGATAAGTTCAATCTAAATCGGACGTCCGATTTAGATTGAATCTAAATCGGACGGAAATCTAAATCGGACACAACATATATTAGGTTGATGCATCAGTGTTTTTGTTCCTTTTCGTCTGCCGTTTCAAGCCAACAAATGCACCAATTAAACTACGGTTGATTTCATTAGAAAAACCAATTATTTTTCTGCAAAATAACATTAAAACGGATTTAAAAATATTTAATGCCTGGATTTTCTTGAGAGTATGAAGTCGGGTAGTCAAAAAGGGCTAACTCGATGATGCGGTTTAGACACCTTAGCTAAAGAAAACCTATCTTCGTGTCAATAGATAAAAGATAGAGAAAAAAAAAGTTTGATATTTCGCCAAAATTTCAGAGAAATTCATTCAGCCAATTTTTCCGTAGAGTTTTTTATAGATTTTTACGAAAAAGGCGTTTTTCACTCTCGAATTTGCTTGAAAGTGAACCGAAATTCATTTAAAAAGATGCAAATTGAACAAAAAAACACTTTTTTTATAGAGCAAACTATAGATTAATTCGTGAATTTGTTACTTTTTAACAGAAGTACGAAAAAAACGAAAAGACTTATGCATCAACCTATTATATAAAGAGATCTCAAATTGACTTACATACAAATGCACAAACTGAGCAATGGCACAGAGACACTTCGATGGGAGAAAAGATCGGCAAAGGTGTACACATTTTTGAGGGTTAACGATTTCTTCAACTGAAAACTGAATGAATTTGAGAGTTTCGAACGCTAAAGTACAAAAGTTCTTGTACAAAAGTACACTTTGGTACAAAAACTTTTGTACTAAAGTGTTCTTCTAGTAGTTCTTGTACTAAAATGAAAAAGTAGAAGTGTTTGTTTTGAGTGAAAAGCTCGAAAAGAGACATTGCTCATAATTAAACCGATTTCTGGGGGTGGGACAAATGCGACCTTTTTTTTGCTGGAAAAAGCCTTGGGAAAAGTCGTAGAGCTTCAAAAACGTTTTCATAGAAGGGAATCGTATGCGTAGATTCCGAATTTCGACAAATCAGACCTCGCTGACACGTCAAATTTGGGCTAAAAGGCAAAAACTGCGGAAAAGCGTTAAGTTGCGTAGTTTTTGCCTTTTAGCCCAAATTTGACGTGTCAGCGAGGTCTGATTTGTCAAAATTCTGAATCTACGCATACGATTCCCTTCTATGAAAACGTTTTTGAAGCTCTACGACTTTTCCCAAGGCCTTTTCCAGCAAAAAAAAAGGTGCGCAAAAAAAAGGTCGCATTTGTCCCACCCCCGATTTCTGTACTCGACAAAATCGGAACTAAAGGTTTTTCTGTACTTGGATAGTGTTTTTTGTACCGATTCTTTTCTAGTACAGAAAATAAGGGAAATTTTCTGTACTCGACTGAGAAATGGGATAAAATGCAGAGATTTCTGTACTGAAGCTTTTTCTTTTCTGAACCAGCCTTCTTTCAAGGACAGAGTACACAAATGAGGACAAATCCCCGCCCAGCTCATTTGAAGCTTTAGTACAAAAAGCACCTCTATATTCTGTCCTTTTCCTTTTCAGAATATAGAAAATTTCTTTAGAATAGAGATCGGCAAACAAAACCAAAACCAAAACCAAAACATCAAAACAAACCAAAACTCAATTTGCATATAAATTAACATGTAAATTTAAAACATGTAAAATGCAAATTTGCCTTTCACTTTTTCTCACTCCACAAAATCTCGCGGCCGAAAAAAGGACCAAAACACGACCTCGAAATTTCGAAACAAAAAATGGCCTATGGGATAGATTTTTGGACGCTGATTTCAAATCTGGAAACAGATTTTCGCTAGCTTCTCCCAATCGCGAGATATTGGCGAGTTTTGGTTAGTTTTGGTTTTGGTTTTGGTTTTGGTTTTGGTTTGTTTTGGTTTTGGTGGTTTTGGTTTTGGTTAAGTTTTGTTTTCCGAAGCCTACTTTAGAATACTTTATTTTCTTCACTTGAACAACTCACGTGAATTTCATTCTCGAAAATCTCATCGACAACTTTTTTGCTTAATGGCATTTTGTTGATTTTGTAGATCTAAAATGTGTGATGTAAAATGATCTACCGTATTTCTTCGAATAGAAGACCGGGTAAAGAGTATCATAGCGTACTCCTGCGTAGCAGCCCTTTTAAAAAATTTCTTTTTTGCATAAAAGCTTTCAATCAAGTGCTATAGAGCTGGAAAATGGCTCAAAAATCTGTTAGCTCATGTGGTATTTTTGAGTCATTTTCCAGCCCTATAGCACTTCATTGAAAGCTTTTATGCAGAAAAGAAATTTTCAAAAAAGGGCTGCTACGCAGGAGTACGCTATGCTACTCTTTACCCGGCCTTCTATTCGAAGAAATACGGTAAATAAAGAAAGAGCGAATGGTGAAGAGCTAAAGCCATAAGAAAGATAGATATAGGCTAAAATTTCCCCAATCCTAGATGCCGCCGTGGCCGACTGGTTAAGAGCCTTGTATCTCAGTCAGAAGGTCCGGGGTTCAATTTCGCTATTGGTTTGAATCACTTTTTTTAGAGTTAATGATTATGACTCAATCATGGTGATTAGAGACAAATCCACTGTTTATTTGGAACAAATCTCGATTGAGAAAAACGATTTGGTGAGTTGAAAAGAAATAAAATAAAATATTGAAATTTTAGGTGGTCGACTCGACGCAGGAGTACGCTATGATACTCTTTACCCGGTCTTCTATTCGAAGAAATACGGTAAATCAAATTTCCACACCTTATACATGACTCTTTTCGCCTCCTCAACTCGTCCCTTTTGCAATAGCCATCGAGGAGATTCACATATTAGAAATCTAAAGGGATTTTATGATAAAAACAAACTGTTGATAGGTTACGATAGGATAAAAATAGCGGGTGAAGTGATGAGAGCCACCGCTAGACTCAAACGATCCCAACTCTGAGCCCAAAAAGCCACACCAGCAACTATAAAAAGCGAATTTGGGTACAATCTTCACACCAACAACTCACAAATGATGATATTCGGTGACCAAGAGATACACAATGTCATCCACATCCGCATTGATTTTGGCACTGTCTCAAGAACGAAAACCAGTGCCAAACTAAAGAGAGAATCGTTAATGGAAATCGAAATATTGTTTATTTACACGATTTGTCCTCCACTGAATATCCCGCAAATGAAACGAACAATGGTGAAAGTGACGAGATTGAAAGTGAATGCGGTGAGGAAAAAGGCGATAGTTGTGCCAATCATCGAGATCATCAAAGCCTGCGACGTGTTTTTTGATGGAATCGTACAAGTACTAAGTTTTTCTAAAAAGCAGTCAACCCATAAGCAATCTCTTGGTAATGTGCTCGCCAATTTCCCTCTAAATCAACTCACTTTCTTTCTCCCTAAACTCTCGCCCAATTGCCCAAAAAGTATCGATCCGACAAGCACTCCCACCATTTGATAGGCGATCGACGTTTTCACCGTTTTCGCGTCATTACAAACGTAGCTCCACTGAAAATATTGTTGTTGTTGATTTGTTCATTGTTCTTGAATTTTTAAGAATATCCAACTTCAACATTGATCGATTTGAATTGATAATCCAATCTCATCGTCGAGCAATTCCCAGCCTCATAAGTCAAACAATTTGTGGTATTTTGATCGTTGCAACTCGCCAGCGTTGGAGAGGCGCCTTGAGATGTGAATTAGAAATTGAATTGAATTTTTTTGCAAGATTCATTGGCCCTGGAATACCGAGTCTATTCCGAGTGTCACTTTTGATCGGATAAAAAGCCTGGCACAGATTTAGTGCTACTTGGGGAATTACGGTATACACAAACCAGCGTAAACCATGAAAAACATGTATGCCGCTTGGGAAAACGTCGAGAACTGCAATAAAAGAGCGGTTCGCCATAAATATCTGAAACGGTACCATTTTCTATTTGACTATTGAAGCAAAAGCCCTTAAATACTCAACTTCCCGAGACCAAAAGATCATCCAAACGCTCCTTGTGTGCCAAAGACTTCTCAACTTGCAATGTAGTCATTGCCTTGACGAACAGGTCATAAATTATTCGCAAATAGGTGCAGTGGCAAATAGTGCAAATAGGTTGCAATTTGTGTTAGAGAGCGGTTCTTATCGGTTTGGTGAGCGACTCGTTGTTCAATATTTACAATCAATCTCTCACCGATGCATTCAGTGTGTGGGTTTTGCATAAGCAATACGGGAAGGGAAGGAAAATTCTTTAGCCTGTAACTCTCTCGACTGGAATTTCGTTTTATGTTATACAATGTCCATTTTGTTCCTTTTATAAGAATTTGAATAATTTATAAGTTTTTACAAATCACAGCCGAAAATTTAATGCAAAAGAATAGACGACAAATAAAATTGATTTAAATAGCAAAACTCGGAAAAATATTAATCCTCACGAAGGGGCAAAAACGTCGACTCAATTGGTTGTCCGGCTCGAGCGACGATCAAATGAATCTTGTCTCCAGTTGAAATTTCCCTCTCAGCTGCTCCGCGGAACGCATCCTAAACGAGAATATTAAAAAGTTTGAGATTAACACAGAATAGATACTTTTGCAAAATTGAAGTCAGAAAAATTCGTTGTACTGTGACATTCAAAATTATCTGTTAAGAGCTTTAAAATAAACAAACCTTGATCAGCGACTTTGCACGTTCAAGAGTCAGCTCGGGCTTATCAGCGCTATCCGATAGAGTTACATGTCCAATCTAAAAATAAAAATGTATCATACTAAGCATGGATTTGAAATCTTTAACATCTACACCTTTAAAAGCATACCTGACAATCCAAGAATGGGATAATCATCGGTTCAGCGGCACCCGAAGCGGTGTATGTGAGACGTTCGATGCATCCAATTGGATCGTAACTGAACACGGCTCCTTTTCCTAAACAGAAGTTCTTTAGTCAATATAGGATTCATTACACGTGTTACAACCGGCAGTTAATCCCCCGCTAAACGCCGGGGGTTAACTGCTGATTTGATTTGGGTTGACGCACAGTTCACATGAGTCAAACTTTAGTATTAATTGTTGGCACATTTACTACGGTTTACTAATTTACTACTAAACATGAATTTCAATAACTAAACTGGGTTTGGGAGGCTAATTTTCCCGTTTACCCAAAATCCCTTTGACTGCCGCCTCCGAATTTTTCGTCTTTGTCGTTTTTTTGTAAAAAAAACCAAAAATTTTCAAAATGTTTTTAGTGCCAAAAGATAATCATATTTTTCCCAATACATTTAGAAAAAATGAACCTAAAATTCACTTTTGAAGTACCTCTAGGCGACCTTTGATTTCGCCGCTAATTTCGGTTTTTCTAACTTTACTCAAAAACGGTTCAAGGTTTTTCAATTCTGATTCGACAAGCCAAACCATCGGGGGCGATTGCATATTGTCCCCCACAAATCAGCACAAAATCTCTACTGGGTCTCGAGTTATGAAGTGAACGGACACAGACAGACTTTGCGTCCTATAATAAGATTTTTACAAAATTTGGTTACCATTCTCATCGACACCAGCAAGGATGGCACCGGTCAAATAGGGGAAGAAACGGCGGTAATAGAGATTCCTTGAACAAATCAATCAGTAAATTTCAAACGCTTAAATCGACTCACCTAGCCAAGAGCTCAGCACAAAGATCCACGGTCATTTCGCTGCGGTAGTCGAAGCGATATTTGTGCAGACGTGACTAAACATACGAAAATAATCTCTCGTTTAACTAACTAATCAACTTTTAAAGACAACATAAACAATACCTGCAATACACGCTTCAGTTGCAAAACGTCTCCATAAAATCCTGAGGTGGCCAACACACAGTTGTCATTGAGAACGTGCCTAAAAACAGTTTTAGCTTGCACAAAAACTGCACAAACATTTTCTCAGCATCACGAGTGATGATGTTGACCTCGTGTTGAGACATTCGAGTGTCTGATGCAAGAACCACAAAATCTGCACCGGCAATTGCACAAGTCGAACTAAAATAAACATTGATAGAGTGAAATCTAATGCCTAGAACCAGCAAGATAAACAAAAAAAACTTACCCTCCCTCGAATGAGTAAGGATTCCATCGTTGGCGTTCAATCAAGCGAGCCGTCTTCCAATCAGGGTTTGCGACAACCTAAAGCCCTGTTTTCTCATAACGTCACAAAATGATACCTCGGCAAATGCGCTCTTGAACGCTCTCATCGTGCCAGCCGGATCCATCACCGTTTCGTAAGGCATCTTTTGTCTACCTGGAAAACTTATGACATTAATGAGAACGCATTATCCTCTTTTTTTCAAAAACCCAAAAATAAATCAAAATAATGTCATGTACTAAACATGTATTAACCATAAACAGAAATAAACAATTAAAAACAAGGCTTTATTCTTATACTTGAACACTGAGATCACCAAAAAAGAAATAACAACATTGAAAAGTGGGAATAGATAACAAAATAACCCAATGGAAATAAAATTATATAATTTTTAGACGATCCGCTCTTTTGGCTCCATAATAACGACACTTGATCCTCGAACAACGATCATTCCCATTGGGAGATCCTGGCCATTCTAAAGAAAAACAGTATAATAATGCTAAAGGCGGGGTTATATTATCATGTGAAAATTCGAATTTTATTGTTCTGACTAAAAATCCAGGTGCTACCTTTGTGTGCTCAACGGCGTCATCGATGACCATGTTCATGAAAGGGTCGAATCCTCGGAGAATTCCTAGAAATGAAATACATAAGTGAAAAAACCTCGACTCTTACCGGAAACACGTCGATTTCCGTTCAGCTTGAGATCCATCTCCTTGTCCATGTACTTCTTCAACTCTGGTGGATGGGCCTTGCTCATTTTTGCGTGATCTCTGAATAAGAAAACTTTATAACCTAATAAACTCTGAAATAAAATAAGAAAACAAATTGAAAACAACCCGTAAGCACAAAATCGTGTCTATATTTGCAATGCCTAAAATTCTCATCTAAAAAGTTCAATTGGTTTTTGATGTTCTTTATGCAAACGAGCAGTTGACCCAGGCTCAAGATCTCCGCATTTCTCTCCTAATTGGAATAAAAGCTCTTGCGCTTGATCGGTCGCCAATTTTCGTTTTTGTTGTTCACTCCATTCGGGTCGATAATCGTTCAATGTTTCCCTCAATTCAGTCGTATCCCATGGATCGCCTATTGTGACTTTTACCGTTTTGCCAAAACTTGGATAATATGGAGGGTGATTTGGCCAAATAGTTTCCATTCCTTTCATCCAAATCGGTAGCACGATTGGCGCATTTTTCGGCTCCATCACCAATCTCCCAACTCCCCATTTTACTCGAAGCGGCGTCTCAGTGACTTTTCCTTCGGGAAATATGTGCACCCATCCTCGTTCGTTTAACTTATCTATTGAGAAATCCATTCCTTTCTGAAAGACACCTTCACCGCGAACACACGGCACGCAATTCCCCAAGGAGAACATTGTGGTATGCCATTGTTTTGAGAAGCAAATGTTGTGAGCGGCAAGGGTGTATCGTTGACGATCAATGTTTCGAAAATATTCGGGCCACGTCAAAAGCGTCCACATCAACGGGTCATCAACATTGCATCGGTGATTCGTCATGGTGATGAGTGGACGTGATCGATCTTCGAGCGCCTTGACGAATTTCTCTCGATCGTCCACTTGCAATTTGTTGATTCCGGCGAAAAAGAGGAGTCTCGAGAGAGATCGAACAAACGTCAACGTGGCATAGCTGGCAATCTTGTATCCGACAGTCGGCGATCCAACGGGAAAAGGCCACGGGTATTGGAAGCCGGTTCCCGTTTTCGCTCGGTCCACATAGCTTCCGGTCATGCAGCAGAGATCTAAAGCATCAACAAATTAATAAATCTTTATAAAGAGAATGGGGAAACAAATACCCACTACGGGGAACATAAACAAAACTACTTTAGGTTATACATTAGCAGAACAACAAAAAATGCTAGAATTTTCAAAACAGGCAGTGATTCTTTAGTTAGCGCGAATTTCGAAGAGATGATTTTGCTAAAATACGGTGAATTGTGCGCGGGTGAGGGCAAGAGCACCAAATAGAATGGATAGAAGAACGCGTAAAGGCCAAGTTTACCCGATTAGAGCACTAACGAGAGGGTGCGCATATGATTGGATTGCTCAAGAAAATCTTTTTTGAATGGTTTACTCTACGTTGACATTGACCATAATATGGCCAAAATATTCAAGCGCTTTATTGAATAGCTTCAGCTTTAACTATATAAGGTCAAGTAACTTTCGACCTTCGTGGCAAAATTGCGAAAAGTTCCAACGTTTCTTCGAACTTTAAAAATTTGTTTTCTACACTTTTCTTGTTAACTTGAATTCTTCATATTTAGAATGAAGGGCCCGATGATCATCCTCAATCCGTGTGCCCAATCGCATCCATTCGACGAGCGGCGATGTCGGGTCGGAAACGCGCAGGATCCGCTGAAGATTGGACGCTCGGTGGCCCGACTCAAACCCGCCACGGACAACGCCATTTTCGACTGCAAAGTTTTATCGAGGAATCACGCGATCTTGTGGTACTCCGGTGGCGCTTTCATGCTCAAGGACACAAAAAGCAGCAATGGTAAGGTATTCTCTGTTAGGATTGATTTGGGGAGGTTAATCAGAGAGTGAGTAAAGGGGGTAGAACCATATAGAAATTAACGTTCTCAAAGCAAGTTTCTAGAACATTTATTATACGTATCGTAACCCATCATCACGAATATGATATTAGAAAATGTCGAAAGTTTTACAGTTTTCGAGAAAAACACTGATTTATGAGCAAAAGCGTGTTCCATGGAACGCTTAAATAACCCACGAAGCGCCATGCTTTAAAAAGATATTCAGTTGTAAACTGTGGAATTTGCATTTAACCTTTGTTCGCCGAGTATATAAGCGCGACAAATCCCCGCTAGGTAAACATTCTCAACAAACGTAAATTTAATGCCAAATTTTGAAAAGATTTTGATTTTCTTCAAAACGAAACCAAACTGACCACTTTTCCTAAAATCTGCACTGAGTTACGGCCATAATTTCTCACGTTTCCCCCAAATCTCGAAAACTACTGAGCCGATTTTCTTCAAAAGGCTTCTTAATAAAAATTTTAATGTTTTCGTAATAATATTTGAAGAGATAATGGAAAAAAGTTAAAAAGGACTGAGCTATTAAGTTTTAAACTTGGCCTATCATAATTTGTTTTCGAAAGGCCTTTCTTTGGTCCCTCATAATTGCGTATTCATCGGATTGTAATAATTTGATTTGAACAAAAAGATGCGCCTAGGCGTTTTAATATAAAAATAAAAAGCGACTACGACTATTGATTTTGAGCAAAGTTATGAATTTTTAAGTGGAAGAAACCAGGCAAAATCTGATAAGATTTAGGCCCTTTAGAAAAATAAAATATTAAATGTCAATGTTATTGTTTTCGTTTTATTTTCGGACGGCCCCTTTAATGTTCTGGTGTTGAATAACATTTAAAATTTAGGGACATTCGTGAACAATGAAAGGCTGGCACAGACGGGAGAAGATTCAGAGCCGAGACAGATCAACACCGGAGACATCATTCAATTTGGCGTGGAAATTGTGGAGAATACGAACAAAAGTTGGAGCATTTTGTTTTATTAGAGCATTTATTTCTTTAGTATCACATGGATGCATTTTGGCAATGGTCCGACTTTTCGATGAAAATGGCGAAGAAGTAGAGAACCAAACGTTAGTGCCTAATTAGTATTGCGATATTGATGTTTGATCATTTTAGAAACACACTGGAGCTATCGCCTGCCAATCAAAGCTACAGTGGATCACTTGTCAACAGTCAACAGCTCTTCCAAATGCAACAGTTCCTCAAGGAGGCGCTGTTAAGGTAGTTTGGTTTAAGTTTTTAAAGCCAACGTTTTGTCTTTAGAGAGAAGTACCGTGATGAGAAGATTGCTCAACTGCAAGCTCAACTTATGAGCGCGGAAATAGCCACAGACCAAGCGTGGAAATCGTTTCTGACTGAGGATCGCCTGCTCGCAAGGTTTGATAATTTTTTGTCAACTTTGTTAATTTATTTATAATCAGTTACTTTATTATTAGAATTTTTCATAACTTTTAGAATTGCCGTACTGGAGGAGCAGTTGCTCCTCTGTGGAAAAAGCAAGAACAACGACATGATTCGCATCGAGATGGATCAATATCTTGAAGACAAAAGCAAATACTTGGCTCGAACACGCGAGGAAATTACGAAGGCGCAAGAGGAGCGAGCCGAAGCGGAACTCCGATTGAACGACACCGAACGAAGCTTGATGACACTCGAAGAGGAATTTCAGATCATTAAGCAAAGAGTACGTTTGTTTCAAGAACTATTTGCCTCACGATTGGGTTTTTTTTAGTACGAATCGCTGAGCAACTACAACGCGACGGTGGTTAGCGCCTTAGAGGAGCTGCGCGAGGAAAACAAGAAACTCGTGTACGAGCTTGAAGTAAAGGCGGAGCTTTTGAGTAAGTCTTTTAACTTTTTAACTTACTGAAGCTTTTGTTTAGAATCTGAGTCCGAGAACCAGCCACAACCAATCAACGATTTCTCGTCTCCAAGAAAGCATGAAGATGATCCAGAAACGAGCCATCAACCGACGTCCGACATCCCAAGCACAATCAAAGATGAAGCGTCAAGGGAAAGCGGCGAAGAAGTTCCAGAACTACGACGCGATGGTACAAATAATTCTAATTTTGTTAATTTTAGCATTTTATTTGTGGGTTTAGGACCGGGTTTCAATGTCAAAGAGGAATCGTCCGACGAGGAATTGGTCAAAGAGCTGGCACGACTCAAAGAAGAAAATACTAAGCTTCAAGGTTTGTTGTGTCTTTTAAAAGATGAAAGTTGTTGAAAATTTAGCTACTTTGGACGATTGCAAAGCAGAAATTTCGACGCTTCGTATAGAAGCCGCCACCCGCCAAGTTGGCCTCGATGCGCCAATCGATCCAACGTCACTTAATGAAACCGCGCTACAACAAACGATGCCTTATCAAGATAATGTGGTAGATAATTTTGCTTTATTATTATTCTAAAGCAACCTGTCGTTGAGTAATATATGTTATTCTTTCTTTCAGGTTTTGCTATCGATCATTCCAATCTTCTCAATCATCATACTGTTCATCAGCTACATCTACACTTGGATCGCAAGGAAAATCGGGTTCAAACAGGATTGATTTGTATACTATACTGGTTGTTATTATTTATTTTTTGCGAATTATTATTTTCATTAAGTTAATTAAATATACCATATAATGCTAAACGTTGCTTTGCTTTTAATTTAATTGATCTCTTGCATGTGATATTTACGTTTAAAATCATTTTTTATTTTTATACCCGGTTTGGTAAAATAAATCTTGAAAAAATATCACAATATAGTGTTGAATAAATAAGCAAAACAAATAAAAAAAAAGAGGAATGCTTAAAGCAATTGCTGAAGACAAAGACCCGAAATAAAAATTGAGGATGCAAAGGAAAAAGGGCTGACTTCAAAGACAAAACGATAACCTATGATCACAACAACATTTGAGCGTTCATTTGGCCACTTCAAAGAGGCACATCAAAAGAATGTAATCGTTTAGATTGGAGTTGCGTTTTCGATTTTCGAATTTTTCTGAGCCCCGTAGTTAATGCGTGTGTTCCCCGGAAATTCGAACGAAAAATGAGAAAATACACAAACGGTTAAATTTTGCTGTTAAATGAGAAGAGATTTTACTTTTACAGCTGCATCATCCATCCTTTTTTTCACATAGGGTATATGGGTATTCTATTATTTGGTCCAAATTCGTGGAATTTTTCGTAGAGTACAATGGGTAAAAATTGAGGTAAAACAAAGAGTAAATAGGGTAATAGGGGATTCAAAAAAGGGTTTTTTGGGTTTTTTATAGCTCGTCTTTTTTTATGGGGAAATGCCGTTTTGGCCAAACGCGCAATTTCCTCAATCTCTCCGCATCGGCCACCATTTTTGTGAGTTTATCGATGTGTGGACCGATTGTCTCAAAGACGAACTCCTCGACGGTATTCTCGAAGAAAAGAGGATTCAATTGATTCCTGAAATATGATTAGCATTTATGGGTTCATTTAGTCTACCATAATCTATAGCTTGATATTTTATGCAAACTTTTGAATGACATCTTTTTAAATGTACCGTAAATACTGTAATTGAACCCCACCCCTCTAATAGTACCCCTCCCCTCTCTAATAATACCCCACACTAGAGCGGGAGGGGGAAAATAATACCCCACCCCTTTAATAATACCCCACCCTAGAGGGGGAAGGAAAAATAGTAAAAATAGTAATAGAGTTGCATTTGGGCGACATGCGTGATGTCGCGAAGATACCTGAGGATACGGTAGAGTTAACCCCATGAGGTCCAATTACAGCATTTACGGTATGTAAAGCTTTGCTTTTTGAAAAATAGAGAATTCTTTTTGTCTTGTGATACCTGAGCTGTCTCTCAGCTTGTTGAAGCTGACCGAGTTGCATTTGGACGAATTGCGTGATGTCGCGAAGATACCTGAGGATACGATAGAGTTAACTCTCTCTGTGATAAGCGAACTGCCTTGTCGTGTAATGGTTAGCACAGTTGGCCGGTAAGAGAAAGGTCACGGGTTCGAGTCCCGTGGCGCGTAATTTTGATCTGCCCTAGTTCCAACTGTAGCTTAATTTTAAGCACAAAAAGTAGGGCTCCTTTTACTGCAAAAGGGATTGTTTACTCTGAATGTTCAACGCGATAAACAAACTGCTCACCAATTTTGTGTCATATCGTGCTTTCTCGCGTAATCATTGAGCCATCCAATCGTTGGATGATGCTTATCCATTTCACTTTCCATATAAGTGATAGCTTTTCGGACACCATTTTGAAAAGCATAATATGCACCAAAACCTGGAAGATTTTCTTTGAATTTTTGTCTAGAAGAGTTAAAATAACATAGTTTTCATAGTCTGTAGTCTGTTTAATGTGTTTAATGTATCGATCTAACTAACCCGTAAAGTTGCATTGAGTGTTGATCGGCTCCAAGCCAGCCACATAGTAGTTATCGCCTGTACAGTTGAGTTTGTGACCGGCACGGCGACGAATCCCAGCTTGATCTTCCTGAAAAATTGATGGATATTTGAGTAAAGGAATCGTTTATCCACCACAATAGAATGTTTTCAAATATTTAGATATCATAAAAATCTTTTTTCTAATCTTTTCCTCACTTTATTTGGTGCTGAGAGGGCAGTCTCAATTTGAAGAATCATCGACGGAGTTCCCATTGGGAGAATCTCGCATAATCCAGCCATATGATCGTATCTAGAATGGTATTCAGTGAGAATTTTAATTATAAACTATTATCTTTTAAGCTTTATCAAGAAAATCTATCTCTCTCACCTCTGCCATCCAGTGATGATGATCCCTTTGAAGCCGCGCTTGAAACGTTGCTTGTTGCTCTTCACAATCTCGATCCACGCCCGATTGTTCATTTCATAATGCCGAATATCAATGTATTTAGCTGAGGGGAAATTGGCTCCCTGAAAATTGCATTTATAATTTTGTATGCTTTAATTAATTCTAATCTTTAAATTTGCATTGAAACAATGGTTTACCTTATATGCGGATGAGGCCCAAACGGCAGGGAAACTGTCAGCGAGTGTTTGAAAGCTCCACTCTGAAATTGGATTGACTAAACTTTAGAAATGCTATAAACTAAAGTTGACTTTACTTAAGAAGCCTGAATACCCTAATCTAGACTAAGTGCCGTAATCCAGCTAATGTCGACTGAATACCCTATTCTAGACTGAATACCTTGTCCTAGACTGAATATTTTAATCTAGACTAAATATTTGACTTTACTTTACTTAAACCCAACAAACCATTCATCGTAACGATCCCCTCAGAATAATCCCAAACGACCGGCTCGATCAAGTCTTTTACTTCGGCTTTTTGGATGATTTGTGGAGGGAAATTCTTCAACATGTCATGCCAGACAAGGACACTAAAATTAATAAAATTATATGAAGCAAAAGAATAGAAAAAAAACGAGTATTGTAGTAAGCCGAGACTTTTGTCCATTGTTTTTGTGACCTTTTTGTCGTTTAAGCTTATTTTTGTTGTTTAAAATAAGCTTTCAAGTTCAATGCTTGGTCATAGCTAAAAGTAGAGTAAAAATGCTCAAAAATACTTGTGACAACTTTTTTATAGCCTCTCGGAAAGGTTCCTAAATTTGCGTTTGAAAGTTGCCACCCAGCCGCCAAGACTTTCGTCCATGACTGTAGATAAAATTATATCAAGCTTCAGGATTCCAAAACTGATTAGCTTTAGCTTTCATTGAAGAATTGTTCTTCTTCTTCTTCTTCTTCTTCTTCTGTAGCAGACACAAGATCTTTTAAAAGCTCTAGAACTCACGTTGTTTCTTGTCCGACTTTTCCTTTCACATAATTTGCGATATCTTTCATATGCAACAAAGCCAGGAGTTCCTTTGATCCATCCGGTCCTGAAGATAAATATTGCAAATTTTGGTGATTGTACTGAAGTTTTTTGAAACGTTTCTTATTTTTACTAACCTTTTTGCTTCATCCACTCCAAATCCTCCTTGCAGGCGCCAAACTGAAATTACTTTGACTATTGAAACTTTTAGCTTACACTCACCAAGAAAGCCTCATCACATCCGATATGGAAATATGGGATTCCATATTGTTTGTGCACGGCGATCACCTAAAATTTGAGCTACAGTACCCTTTGTTTCCTCTCACTTGATCGAGCGTATCTTTGACCAGATCGACGCCTTCTTTGTCGGCCAAACATAGCACCTGAAAGTGGATTTGATAAAAATGGTTCTAGAGGATTCTAGAGGGTTCTAGAAGGGTCTAGAGGGTTCTAGAAGGGTCTAGAGGGTTCTAGAGGGTTCTAGAGGGTTCTAGAGAGTTCTAGAGGGTTCTAGAAGGTTCTAGAGGGTTCTAGAAGGTTCTAGAGGGTTCTAGAATGAAGAAATTGATTAGAATTTAAAGTAATGTTCTGCTAGTTTGTTTATAACTGTTGGCACAGTACAAAACTCACCTGTGGGAACTCGTCAACGGTTCGATACTTTCGGAATTCCTCCAATTTGAGGATCCATTCAAGATGAGCAAATGTTTGCACCAATGGGACGATGATCAGGCCAAGGGAACTAAATGGTTTTTTTATAAAAAAAATCAGTGTACGAGTAAAGCGGTAAGATTTCTAATCACTTACTGTGCTTTTGAGAGTATCGCATGAACATCATCCATCGAATAGGCATCAGTATTGACGGCAGTTTGAAGACGTCCTGTATAGGGGAACATGTCCTCCCATTCGATCATCACACCTGGATATTAAATGAAAATACCATGATATAGTAAATAAGAAGTTGAAGATTTTGTGCTATTTCAAAGCTAGATAGCTCACCCGTGGCTCCGGCCTTTTGAACCAGCTCGAGAAGTTGCAGAAAATAGGGGACTTTTGGCGGAGCTCCTTTCAGATCAAAGTGTACGAAGATTTGTTCGTAGAATTGACCCTAAAATAGACATTAATCATTTAGAAATAAGATATTACCGTACCTTTCTATTATTTTCTCCAGTAGGCACTTTCTTGTGCAGGATATCCTCAAGAGCGCCCAAGTTTTGTCCACCAAAGTCATTCGGTGCGTTTTGATTGACCGCTGGCGGTTTTCGAGGCTGAAAGCGAAAGATGGGATTAACTTATTGTTAATGAACATCTTCATTCGATTACCTGTTGTTCTTGTGGCTGTAGTGGTTGTTGTGGTTGTCGTGCATCATCGAAATCTTCTTCTTTTTGATTGTTTTCTGGTAGAATTCTCTGATTTTCTTTTCTTTTCACACTATCCGAGAATTGCAGGGGTTTCTTGTTGAGTTCATCTGGAAATCTAGTGAATTAGATGAAGAATCGATTTGATTTAGACTAAACTCGATATCTAGATTTACATAAAAAGTTTGCCTCAAATTTTATGCCTCAAGTTTTTGCCTCAAATTGTGTATTTATTCGCTGACCTCTTTGCGGTGCTGAACTAGTTATTTGCAGAAGAGTGATGATCACAAGTGCGACGCCAAACATTTTGCACATAGCGGAAATTCCGCGGCGGCGGAATTGCCGCAATAACCACACCATTGCATCGGCTGGAATTCAGGGAATGATTTGGGATTTGGGATTGGGATAATATTGAAGAAATATTGAAAAAAAGAGGAGAAAGAACAAGCTAAAAGAGCCCGTTCCACTCAAATATCTTCACTTAGCCTTTATCTATTGATTATATTGAATGAATGGGTAAAATGGAAAAGAAAAGCACACAAAGCTTATGTGAAAAGCGATGAATGGGGACGTGCATTCGAAATTGGCATCTCTTTTCTTTAAGGAGAGAAAGCGGCGGAGAAGAACTCAACGAATAGTTCAAATGGGGGAAAAAATTGAATGAAATAGCCAATGAAATAGCAAAAAATTGTTTGGAATATTCTGAAATGTGGAAAGATTTTGATTTTTATATATATATGTCGTAACCGATTATGAATTTCAACCGATTCTGAATTTCAGCCGATTATGAATGAGCGGGTCCGGATGCGTCCAACCATCAAGTATTTGGTATCATTCAACGCAGAATCATTAATAATTATGTTAAATTTTTAAAATTAGAAAGATTGGATAAAAAGAAAAAAAATTATGGGACCTCAAAGTTTCCTCTTGAACAAACAGTTTTTTTGCTCTAATTTTTTTCCTTTTTATCAAATCTTTCTAATTTAAAAAATTTAACATAATTATTAATGATTCTGCGTTGAATGATACCAAATACTTGATGGTTGGACGCTCCTAGACCCACTCATTCATAATCGGCTACGGGGGTCCCGCCGATTTTGAATGAAACGTTGTAGCGCCGGCAATTTTTAACCTAAACTCACAAATTTGGTATGAATCGACGCAGAATTGAATTCGCTACAAGATGATATAATATTGTCCTCATACATTAAAGGGTTGCTCTAGAAAGATTTGCCAAAAAATTTCATTCATAATCGGCTACGACATATACATATGCTTTATTCATGGGGCGAATAGAAGCGAATCAAATAATCATGACTGCATATAACATATTGCTACAATACTCCCACCGAAAAAAAGAGAGAAAACTAAAGATAGTACAGTAAGAGTACAGTTAGGAAACACAGATAAAAAAAGATTAAATATAGGGCAGATTTGACATGGCAATAAGATCTAATTCGTTCACAGATACTTTGAATTTTCCTACAGACGAGAAGATACCAGACGGGAGCTTATTCCAAACCCCTACTAATACGGTTCGCAAAAGAATGATAAAGGGAAAGATGATGGGGATGAGAACCGACCGAAATTTGATAAGGATGACTACGTGAATTTCTATAAATTTCTACAATTTTCAAGAGGCTTTGAAATTCTGGATGTGACTTAGGGTGGAAAAGAATTTTATAGCAAAAAATAAGATCAAAGTAAATAATTTTGAAACGTTTTTTTTCGAATAAAAGTGTTAAAGTCAGAAAATTTCATTTTTCAATTCAGCAAATGCTTTAAAAAAGGGAAACTTTTATGAACTTTGAATCTAATTGAATTTGGTTTTGGATTGGAATCGATGTTTGGATGGGAAATGGTTAAAAATCAGTTCATTCTTCAAGCAATAGCAGGGAGGAATCAGAAAATGAAACAAGAGAATATTTATGGTAGATTTCTACGGAAAAATGTTTTTTTTTTTTGACCAATTTATGAAAAATAACAATAAACAACAAATGAAAAACTGTTTTGCTCAAAAGGGAGGAAAATTGGACAATAAGGTTGAGCACAAAAAAGGAAATACTCCTTTTTACTCAGTCAATACGACTGAAATGTTGGAATTTCAATGAAATCTGTAATTTTTCAAATTTACAATATATAAAATGTTCCAAAACGCTTGCTATTACTAAAAAGGGAAAAAAATGATGTGGTGAAACTCGTAAAAAGGAAAGAAAAGCTGGGTGAAAAGGTGAAAGGAAAGGAAAAAAAGGTGAAAGATTCGATTGGGCGATAAGAAAAGGAATATGGGGAATTGGGGGATATTTTGAGAAGCAAAAAAACAAGCATGATAGCTGGGATAAACTATAAACTTTGTAGACTCTCGACGCATTCAACTATTTACCCCCAATTGTACTAAACCTTTGCGATGAGCTGCTCAAAAGAGATTTAAAAACAAGAAAAACGTATGTCGATGACCTAGAAAAGGTTAAGTTTATCTAAAAAAAGAAAACTTTAATATTGTGATGAAAATATTGTGATGGATTTTTAAGTAAAATTTCAAAGTTTCAAAGTTTCAAAGTTGATGATTAGATTTTGTTTAAAAAAGGAAAGAATGCCAGGAATAGTCATATCGTAAATACTGTAATAATATTCCCCCCTCGTACAGTCGCGTAGTCGCAAAAGTTTTTTAGTATTTCATTTTTTTTCAAAGCACCCGTACTTTCAAAAAATGCGTCTTTGGTATCAAAAAATAGCCCTGAATTTCAGCTATTTTTTGATCCCTATTGGCGCATTGTAGCATAAACCAGTGTCGAGAAAAACTCGTTCAAAGCTAGACTACACAACGCTCCGCACCGTCATTATGGGGGTGCGGTACTATTACAGTATTTACGGTATGTTTTTTCGTGAAAAGGAAATCACATCTACCAGTGTTCTTTACAAAATACGATCATCGGGAAATGGACACAAAAATACCACGTCTGGGTGAAGGGGAATGAGATGGGGAAAGGGGAATAGACCGGGGAACAGACTGGGGAACAGACTGAAGACAAGAGGCGAGTGGTGGACCTCTCTTGGCAACGCACTCCCCATTCAAACACCTGCACTTTTTTTTACGGAAAATTTCATTTTCCACCGCTATTTAGTTGTTTGATCTTTTGTTTTATGTTTCAAGATTTCTTTGGAAATTTTTGAGCAATGTCTAAATAAATTCCTTCATTTGATAACAAAAGATCTCTTCTTTGACACTAAAATGATACAAAATAAGAGTAATCCAGTGTGCTAGACTGTGAATGTTTCTGTTAGCGACTCTTATCTTGAATTTTCGATTTCTCTGAATAGCAATATGTTTTACTAAAATAAAACTTCATCAAAAAGTTTAATTCATCACAGAATAGCTGATAATAGAATGAATTATTGAAGAAATAGAATGAAGTAGAATGAATTATTTTAAAGAATTAATGGGAAATATTGAGGAAATGTTAATGGAATGGATAATGGAATGGAAATTGTGAAAGTAGTACAATCGAATTGGGGTAAAGAGAAGTTTTCCCTTTAGTGAAGGTTAAGAAATCGAAGAGAAACTGCATAAAAGAGATGTGGAAAGGACAAAGATGGAATCGGAGAACGAATGGATTAGGGAAACAGAAAGACATCTTTAACAAGGAATTAACAAAGAAGAAATGTGTCAGGTCAACAATGGAGTTAGCATTGAGCTGAGTTCTTTCATCGATCATTTCTAGGATTCTAAGCAAAAACAAGACCAATTGTTAGGTTTGAGCTAGCTTTTCAGAGCAAGGAGGAATCTTGGAGCAAGGAGGAATCTTGAGAGCAAGGAGGAATCTTGGAGCAAGGAGGAATCAAAAACAAGACCAATTGCTAGGTTTGAGCTAGCTTTTCAGAGCAAGGAGGAATCTTGGAGCAAGGAGGAATCAAAAACAAGACCAATTGTTAGGTTTGAGCTAGCTTTTCAGAGCAAGGAGGAATTTCGGAGCAAGTAAGTATTACAGAAAAGTTTGAAAAAGAAAAAAAACTATACATAGTATGTACTGGACTTGTTTTAGGATTCGAAAAAAAATAGCTTTTTGTTGACACTCGAGTGTGGATCTTAAACCCAGAGAGTCGACAATTGAAGGAGGGGACAAGTCTTTTTTCCCCTTTTTTTTCTTCTTTCCCCAAAACAGCTCAATTTTCTTCATTCTTTTCTTTTGTTCTCTTGGCTTACACCAAAAAAAAAAATTTGTGGTCGTTTGGGAAAATTACCCACTTGCTTATGTTTTATTTTTTCTTTTTACCTTCAGAAGGAAAATGAACTACAATTTTAAAATTGATTTTAAAATTAATGATCAAATGAATTAATGATCAAATGAATATTGTTATATTAATATCTTAATATAACAATATAAATATAGATGTTATCTTGAAAAAGTCAAAGCTCAGTTTATAGCTTATATAGTAATATCAGACGTTGAATAAGAAGTATTCAGTTAATAGGACTGAATATCTTTCATTGTTTAGTATAGGAAATGAAAAGATTTAAAGAAAAAGAAGAAAAGAAGAGAAAGATTTGATTTTTAAATTAAAAGAAGGGGGTGGGCTAGTTTCCGCAACAGGGTCATTTGCACAACAGGGTCATTTGCACAACTGGGTCATTTCCGCAACTGGGTCATTTCCGCAACTGGGTCATTTCCGCAACTGGGTCATTTCCGCAACTGGGTCATTTGCGCAACTCGCCATAACTTTCTTCTAATTCGACCAATCTTTATGATTTTGGTTTCATTTTGTTGCACTTATTGAGATCTAAAAAATGAAACCAAATTCATAAAGATTGATTCGCTTAGAAGAAAGTTATGACGAGTTGCGGAAACGACCCAGTTGCGCAAATAGCCCTATTGCGCAAAAAAAGTTGCGGAAACTAGCCTACCCCGAAAAAGGAGAAAAAGATTTGATTTTTAAATTAAAAGCAGTCTAAAAAGTTGATGCATTGATCGGTTCTCTATCAAAGTTCATAGCAAATCATTGCAAATCCAGAAAAAAAAAATGTTTGTATAAAGTCTCCTCAAGATTTTCTCAAGTGAAAAAAAGAAAACGAAAGAAGATTGATTTCTTGGGTTGATTTTTAAAGATGGGAAAAGAAAAGGGAAAGGAGAAATGGGGATCGATGGATGGATTGGGGAAAGGAAATCGACATGCACTTCGAGGAAAACAGGGGAAGAAGATCAAGAAAAGCTCTTAAAGCAAAAACTCTTAAAAAAAGCTTATAAAGTTCTCGATCGACTTGTCCATTTCTATGTATTTCAATCGGATTTCCCTTTTTGTGTGTGGCCTATTTGGAGTCTTTTCCACTCACCCCACCCCCATTTATCGACTCATTCTCGCGGATTCCACCACGCTTTTTTCTGCAATAATTTTTGGAGTACTTTTTTTGGGGGAAATGTGTAAAGAATGATTGAAAAAATGATGAGAAAAGGAAAATTTTAAAGTAAATGAGGATGGAAATGAAATCTGATGAAAAAGCTCATCAATTAGTGCTCATAAATTGTTCACAACTTTGAGGAGAGGATGATTTCTTAGAAAATTAGGGTATTGGGGACTTTAGTGATCGGAAAATTTGAAATTAAAATGGTAATCACTTTCTGAGAGTCAGTCAGTTTAAAAAAAAATGACCCAGTGGCGCCACTGGGTCATTTGCGCAACTCGCCATAACTTTATTCTAATTCGACCAATCTTTATGATTTTGGTTTCATTTTGTTGCACTTATTGAGATCTAAAAAATGAAACCAAATTCATAAAGATTGGTTTGCTTAGAAGAAAGTTATGACGAGTTGCGCAAACGACCCAGTTGCGCAAATAGCCCTGTTGCGAGTACTTTTTGGAGTACTTTTTTTTGAGAAAATGTGTAGAGAATGATTGAAAAAATGATGAGAAAAGGAAAATTTTAAAGTAAATGAGGATGGAAATGGAATCTGATGAAAAAGCTCATCAATTAGTGCTCATAAATTGTTCACAACTTTGAGGAGAGGATGATTTCTTAGAAAATTAGGGTATTGGGGAAATTAGGGTGGTCGGAAAATTTGAAATTAAAATGGTAATCACTTTCTGAGAGTCAGTCAGTTTAAAAATGAAATCAGTGACAAGATTTAGGTGAAATTTAGCAAGTCGTGAAAGTAGAAAGTCGGTGAAAAAAATTTCCATAGAAAGGGAATTCGATTTGAGGGGGGAAACTTGGGGAGAATCCCCGAAAATCACTACATTCACGTGAGAAAAGAAAAGATTTTCTTTGGGGATATAAAGAGCAAAAACATTAGACTCCCTTCACCAACTTTTGTCCGGCTTCAATCAAATTTTTGAGGACTTCAACTGAGGATTTCTTCATCTCGTTATTATTGTTCTCTGGGATCTGATTGATTCTAGGGTTTCTTCGGGCAATGCCGGAGACGAGATTTTGACAGAGAATCATTTGAGTCAAGTGATTGGTATTGGAACCGTATTGAAACCGTAAAAGGAACCCGTATTGGAACCGTATTGGAACCGTATTGGAACCGTAAAAGGAACCCGTATTGGAACCGTTTTGGAACCGTATTGGAACCGTAAAAGGAACCCGTATTGGAACCGTATTGGAACCGTATTGGAACCGTAAAAGGAACCCGTATTGGAACCGTTTTGGAACCGTATTGGAACCGTAAAAGGAACCCGTATTGGAACCGTTTTGGAACCGTATTGGAACCGTATTGGAACCGTAAAAGGAACCCGTATTGGAACCGTATTGGAACCGTTTTGGAACCGTAACAGGAACCGTAAAAGGAACAATATTTTGACGGAGAATCATTTTAGTGATAACTTGAGGTTTAGACGATGATCAAAAGATTGATGATCAAAAGCAGTAGGTAAAAAGAGAGTAGAGTAGCCCTTAGCACTTGTTAGAACATATAAGATACAGGTCAAAATAGTGAATCGATAAAGTGTTCATTGGGGTGGAATGGGGAGAGGAGAATGGGGATAGGAAGAGTGAAGGGGAAAACACAGATAGTACAAGAGGGTGGGGGTAGGGGATAGATAAAGACCTTAGACCAGAAAGGGAAGTTACAGGCGAACACCTGGGGGTGAGACGCTCAACCACTGCAAATGCCCCAGGCCACCCTGCTCAACAACAAGACCAGCAATTGTGTGCTTGGTGCTTGAAATTTGAGCCCATCACTTTCTGGAATCCTCTTCACTTTAGCATATGCTGACATTGGATCTTTGTCTTTAGTTTTTCTAAGATTGAGCTAATGATGATTGGAATTATAAAAGAATGAAATAAAGTGTCATACAAGGAAATCATTGTCATACAAGGTTGATCGAATCCCAATTTGTACAAAAAGAAACCTCGATCTTTATGATCTATTTCTTTGAAATAGGAGCTGATTGAGAGTTATTTAAATAAAAGAAAAGAAAAAGAATGTAAAGAAATCATATTCGAAAGATGAGAATTTGAATTTGAATGAAGAGAAGAATCGATATGATTGTTGGAAGAGAAAGGAGAATGAAAAGCAATGCATTCAATCGAAAGATAAAAGCTATTGAAAGTGAAGTGTGTGTGTATATGTCGTAGCCGATTATGAATTTCAGCCGACTACGAATGAGTTGGTCTAGGAGCGTCCAACCATCAAGTATTTAGTATCATTCAACGCAGAATCATTAATAATTGTGTTAAATTTTTGAAATTAGAAAGATTGGATAAAAAGAAAAAAATTATGGGGCTTCAAAGTTTTCTCTTGAACAAACAGTTTTTTTTGCTCTAATTTTTTTTTCTTTTTATTCAATCTTTCTAATTTAAAAAAATTTAACATAATTATTAATGATTCTGCGTTGAATTATACTAAATACTTGATGGTTGGACGCTCCTAGACCCACTCATTCATAATCGGCTACGGGGGTTCCGCCGATTTTGAATGAAACGTTGTAGCGCCGGCAATTTTTAACCTAAACTCACAAATTTGGTACCAATCGACGCAGAATTGAATTCGCTACAAGATGATATAATATTGTCCTCATACATTAAAGGTTTGCTCTACTAGAAAGATTTGCCAAAAAATTTCATTCATAATCGGCTACGACATATACATAGCTTTAATACAACCTTAAGATTCTAAGGCACTAGTAGAATGACATGGATTCTATTAGAATTTCGATCTGTATCGGACGTCCGATATAGACTGTAATCAATAAAAGACCTTTGAAAAATGCAGAAAACTACAGAAAACGCTTAAGAACATAGATTAAGCATGTTTATATTATCGTTCAATCTATATAAGACGTATTATTGTTCAATCTATATAAGATTTAGATTGAATCTAAATCGGAAGTCCGATATAGACTGTAATCTAAATCGGAAGTCCGATATAGACTGTAATCTAAATCGGACGTCCGCGATAAGTTCAATCTAAATCGGACGGAAATCTAAATAGGACACAACATATACATAGCTTTAATACAACTTTAAGATTCTAAGGCACTAGTAGAATGACATGGAATCTATTAGAAAATTCACGGTAGGCCGATGAAATGTATTCAGAAAATGGAGAATGGGGATAGGAAGTAAGATTTCCGAGTAAGATCGATGGATCAATGCTTGAACTAGTAGTAATGAGGCTAGTAACGAGTAATGAGAGCTAGTAATGAGGCTAGGTATAATCAATAATTCTTGCTAACTCTAGAATTGATGTTCAAGATATGAAAGATCGATCGAAAATCGATGAATTCACAAAATTTATTCATTCGGCGAGATGGAAAATGAAAGCAAAGGGAGAATGGCTGAGAGAGTAAAAAGGGATGAACCGTGATTCAGCTCTCTTTTCCTTCTCCTAAATACGAGTGTTTGCTCAGGTCATCCATGTTTAGGCCAATCGATCAAAAGGATCAAAAAGGACTTTGACCTAACTGAGCAAATCTATGATACGATCTATATTTTCATTTTGAGTTTAAAACTGAGAGTTAAAGAAGAAGAAAATTCTGAATGAAAGAGAAAACTCGGAAATGATCGTTTAACTTTCACTTTTTCTTTTCTTCCTTCTTTTCTAGTCATTCTAAAAGTATTCAGCGAAAGAAAAGTTTAAAAATTTCTTATCACCAAACATAGAAACCCCTCTTTTTATCTTTCATTGATTGAGAGAAAGAGAAAGAGGAAATTTGAATCGAGGCCAGTTTGTTTTTTACAAATTAACGAATCTTTTTTATTTAGTTTTCAAAAAACTAGAAAAAAAAAATTAGAAAAAGGCACTAACTGTACAAGTTTAGAGTTGATGAAAATAAAATGAACTTGAGAAATCACAAATGAATCGAGAAAACAAAAAGCATACCGTAGATACTGTAATAGTACCCCACCCCCATAATGACGGTGCGGAGCGTTGTGTAGTCTAGCTTTGAACGAGTTTTTCTCGACACTGGTTTACGCTACAATGTACGCTTAGGTATCAAAAAATAGCCCTGAATTTCAGCTATTTTTTGATACCAAAGACGCATTTTTTGAAAGTACGGGTGCTTTGCAAAAAATGAAATACTAAAAAACTTTTGCGACTACGCGACTGTACGAGGGGGGTGGGGTACCTTAAAGTCTCGAGTATAAGTTCATCCGAGTATAAGTTCTGCCTTAATTTACATTCGCTTTAATTGCTTTGAATTTCTTTTTGTTGGGTTTTTATACATTTTTATTGTTATATAAACTTTTATTATTGTTCTTGGAGCGCGGGATACTACAGGGTGACAGCCTATCACCATTGCTATTTGTTATGTGCATGGATACATCCAGACGATAGTGTTGAAGAAGACGCTGGAAAGCATCTCTTTCGACCATCGACGTGGACTTTGGCCGGATGAAGAGGCCAGGGAGGGATCCATAAGACTGAGCACCGGAGAGGAGCAGGGCGGACGCGCTGAGCCACGCCCGGAGCAACAAATAACAGCATAAAATTGCTATAACCCTCAATAAATTTACTTCTATTATTGTTCTTAAAAAGCAAAAAAGTTATGCTGCAGCGGGGTTCGAACCCTCGACACACCGCACCGGAGACAGCCGTCAATTTGCATGCGAAAACCAAAAGCAGAACTTATACTCGCGACTTTAGGGTACTATTACAGTATTTACGGTAGGTGAGATTCGGCAATGTTTGGTTTGATAGAATTCAGAAAATTTTCCTTTATCTCAGAAAATTTAGTAGTCATTTCGTGGACTGTTTCCATTCTTGAGCACTCCTCGGGGAGTTCCGTCGGGGTTGAAACGAACCTAGGAAAAGATCGATGAGTTGATGGAATTCGATTGAAATCCGAGAAAAGAATGAGCTTTGATTAGCTTTGATTAGCTTTGATTTGTACTTGTCTTTTGCTATTAGGCAATCAATATTACCCTTTGTTTACTGGATGGTAGACTTGATGTGCTACTTCCATGGTACATCTCATTTTCTTCGCGATATTGTGGTGGATGAGTTGAGAAGACAACAGTGCCCATTGGAATACCGAAGCCGCCTAGAAATTTTGTGGTTTGGATTGGTCTGGTCTTATAAAAGGAATCAATTTTTAATCAACTTTACCATAATCAGACAAGATTACGGTAGTTTTTTGAAAGTTGGCAACTTTTAGAAAACGTATTTAGCGCATTTGATACACTTGATACGCGCCCGCCTCCTTTCCCGTTGCCAATCCAACTTTGAACTCACTTATCTTGGTGTTGGGCTGTCCAATTGAAACAGTTTTTGTACTAATCGACAGAGAAAGACTTGGCGCATCTAATGATACTAAGAATTTATAAATTGGACAATCCAACGTCAAGATAATTGAGCTCAAAGTTAGCCAATAGCAAATGAGCAAATGAGGCATATCAAATGTCCTACAATCCTTATAAATTGCTCTAAATCTTTCTAAATCTTTTCCTTAAACATTTCTATTCAAAACTCACAACATATTGGATAGAATCCACTATCGTTTACTGTCTCATACATATGAGGATTCCTTCGTCGATGCAACCAACAACCATTGCAAAGTAAACAACAAAAGAATGAGAGGAGAACTGAAATGAAGAAATGAAGAAATGAAGAAATGAAGAAATTAGAAGAAATTAGAAGAAATTAGAAGAAATTAGAAGAAATTAGAAGAAATTAGGAGAAATTAGGAGAAAATGATTTGAATATTTGAATATTACCTGATAGAACAATTGAAACAATCAATCCAATCAACAATAGAGTGTAATCGATTCTAGAATTTCTTAGCTTTAAATAAAAAATGATTTATTCACTGGAATGAGGTGCCGGTTGTGCCAGCGAAGAATCGCTCGGGTCGGCCGTGATTTTGTGTGTGAACCTCGCGAAGCGGTGTGTCGCAACAATAAAAACCCTGGAATCGAAAATATTCGATTTATTAGAGTTTAATCGTTCTTGATAGAAAATGTTTTTTAAATTACGCTTTTAACAGACTTGTTCCGATCCAGGTCCCTCTAAACTCTCACAACACGCTCTCGCACACCTCAATTCTCGTCCATTTGGGCCTGCTGGGCAGATTTCCTGGAAATATCTTTAGATCATATGCTTTTCAGAGATAGAATTGCTTGAATTTTGTTTTGGGTTTTTTAAAATAAACCTCAGAATATACAAATCCCAGTAATATCACCAATCCGATCTCATATCGCCACATTCTTAAAGGAAAAAAGGTTTTGATTGATTTAAATAAATTGAAAAGAAATTAAAAACAAATGGAAAACATATTGAAAACAAATTAAAAACAAATTGATATAACAAATTGATATAAAAAAGAGAAAGTTATTTTGATAATAGAAATAGAAAGCAATTGATTGATGAGAAAAGAAATGGAAAAAGAAATAGAAAAAGAAATGGAAAAATTAAAAGGAGCAAAAGAGAGAGAGAGAAATAACTATGTGTGAGAAAGGAGTGATGAAGATTTGAGTTCAAATGAAATGAGTTGATTTGAGTTGAATGAAATTGTGTTGAAGTTGAAATGTTTGAAATGTTTGAGTTGAAATGAAATGAGCAAAATGAATTTTTCAAGTCTAACAGCTTTAGGTAACAAAAGTTTTGTTTGTTTCAAAGCTTTTGTTTCAAAAGCTTCTTGTGAAGGTTGTGAAGAATCGATTGATTTGATTGGGGGAAAGAAATGAGCTTTGCGAAATTTTGGAGAAGAGCTTGATGAGAAGTGGTGAGTAAGATGGGCAAAAGAGATCAGGAGATGAAAGAAATGAGACTGTAGAAAATGGTGAGGTGAAGGGGTCACTGGGATGAGTGAAGGAAAAGAGGACGACTCAGCCATTCTCTCACCTGCTAAAACAACAGAGAAATGTTTGAGAGCTTCTTCTTTTCTCTTTTCCCCTTTTTTTTTCATTTTTGTACCGATCGAATCGGGACACTGAATTTCTTTTTCGACTTTCTAGATAGGTTATTCGGTGGATGAATTCTGGGAAAAGATTCTGGGAACTTGGACAAATTGAACTGAAAAGCTGAATTTCGAAGTGTTCAAATGAAATCAAGCATTTAAACAGATCTTAATTGCATTTAAGCATACCGTGATTGAATTTAAGCACACCTTGATTGCATTTAAGCACACCTTGATTACATTTAAACACACCTTGATTGCATTTAAGCATACCTTGATTGCATTTAAGCATACCTTGATTGTATTTAAACACACCTTGATTGCATTTAAGCACACCTTGATTGCATTTAAACACACCTTGATTGCATTTAAGCATACCTTGATTGCATTTAAGCATACCTTGATTGTATTTAAACACACCTTGATTGTATTTAAGCATACCTTGATTGCATTTGAACACACATTTTCCTTGAAAAGAATCCAATCTCTCTTGATCATTTACTGTTATAAAACTTTTGGGGGAAAATATCAAAATAAATCAAAAGTAGACAAGCAAAATTAGCAAAAAATATATATTGGTTAATCGATTAAAAATCAATGATTTTCGACACACAAAAACTGCCAATTGAAAGAAGGGATTCGATTTTTTGAGAAAAAGATGATCATTCATATAAACAGCTGAAAAGAAGAAAAGAAGAAAAGAAAACCATCTTTGGAAATGAAAGGGAGACCTGTTTTCAGGGGGAAAGATGAGAGGATGTTCGAAATGGATTGAGAAACACAAAAATAAAAAGGAGATTTTTGGAAAGGAAAATGAAAGGGGGCAACGCCCTGTTCCTCCTTGATGACCCGCCTTTTTGGGAGGAGGTTTTTGATGGTTTGGATGGATAGTGGAAATGAATAGTGAAGATTTACCTTACATCAAAATTTAAATTGATAATTGTTGGATTGGAAAGCATAAAGATCTCCTTTGAGCAATTTCTCCTTTGAGCTCTCCTCTATCATCGCTGAACTCCGTTTCAAAAGAATAGGCACAAAAGAATAATTTCACTGATAGTCAATACTTCAACATAGTTCCTAGGATTGTAAGCGGCAGACCAGATCAGGAGCTAGGTCAAGACCAGGTTAGACCTGCAGTTAAGCCAGGCTTAGGAACCAGACTCAGGTTGAGCCAGATCCGGTCAGGCCAGGCAGTTCTTGATCCTGAACAAACTATCATGGGGCATTCCCGGTGGATTTATTGTTTATTAGTACATAAAATATGGGTGGATTTTGGGCAGAGTTTTGTTATTCTCGTGTTTTTCTGATGGCTTTCTGATGGCTTTCTGATGGCTAAATCTACTTGGATTCAACTTGAATAAATCCCTCCAGAGTAGAAAATAGGTTATGATAAGAAAGTACGGCAAATACCTGCAAAACTGGAATATTCAGCTTATCTGTGTTTCGATTTGGCACAAACTTGATCGCTAACTATAAGCAAGTTCACTTTACACCATAAATCACTACTCAAAATGTTTCCAATTAGGTTTCTCTGAAAAGTTTCTAGTTTGATTGCTGTTGTATTTGTGTTTAGTTTGAATCTAGATTGCATTTTGCTATCTTTATGTTCAGATTTCTTTTGTCTAATCAAAAGGGTTCTTTCCCCATTCCACCAAACTCCTTTGCACAATCGAAACCTGTGCTCCTCTACGTTGTCTCTTTGTATTTTTTGCCCTCATTCCAGCAAATATTGGCATCAAGACTTTTGAATTAACTTTGACTAACTTTTTTTTTACAGTATAACATTCTCAATTGGATATCTGAAAGACTCTTTACTTGTTAAGACTTGTTACTCGAATACTTTGGGAGACTCTTTACTTGTTAATCTGTTTTTTGTACTTTTTAAGCGTATTTTGCACTAATTTCTATCCAATTTTTATCTTATTTCTATCCAATTTCTATCCAATTTGTATCTAATCTCTATCCAATTTCTATCCAATTTCTATCCAATTTGTATCTAATCTCTATCCAATTTCTATCCAATTTCTATCCAATTTCTATCTAATCTCTATCCAATTTCTATCCAATTTCTCACATGCATGCTCTCTTTACTAATCCTTTTTCAGCAATGTCCTCACCATTCATCAAACTCTCGAGTGGCTTCAAAATGCCGCAATTCGGATTGGGAACATGGTTGGCAAAACCCGGTGAAGTTGCAAATGCTGTGGAAATCGCTCTTAAAGTCGGATATCAGCATATCGATTGTGCTGTCTCTTACGAGAATCAACACGAAATCGGTCCCGTTTTCCAAAAAGCTTTCAAAGATGGAGTGATCAAAAGGGAGAACTTATTTGTTTGTAGTAAAGTTTGGAACACAAGACACTCTTTCGATAAGGCAAAGCTGTGTGTGAGCGAGATTTTGCGAGATTTGCAGCTAGATTACTTGGATCTTTGCCTAATCCACTGGCCAGTTGGTTACGACGAGGAAACGAATGAAATCTGGCCAAAACATTCGGATGGTCGAATGAGATATTCAAATGTTCACTACTCAGAAACTTGGAAAGCTTTAGAAGATTGCGTGGAAAAGGGTTTAGTCAAATCGATTGGACTATCCAATTTCAATCACAAGCAAATCGAGGAGATTTTGGGAATGGCAAAGATTAAGCCAGCCGTGTTACAAGTGGAGATGCATCCATACTTTCAACAAAAGAAAATGCGAGATTTTTGTGGAAAGCACGGGATTGCGATCACTGCCTACAGTCCGTTGGCAAATCCAACAATGCCTTTTAGAAAAGACGGAGATCCGACAATACTTACTGATTCGATATTCTTGAGAATCGCCGAGAAACACGGGAAATCTCCGGCACAAGTGGCACTACGGTGGGCAATTCAGGAGGGGATAATCGTGATTCCGAAATCAATTTCTGAGAAAAGGATCAAAGAAAACTTTTCGATTTTCGATTATGAATTGGATGAGAAAGATATGGATGAGATTAGAGGAGTGGACAGGAATTGGAGAATATTGAATACAGTCGAAAGAGATGGGAAACATCCGTTCTGGGGATTCGGAGAAGAATATTGAGGAAATAAAGGATTCCCTTGCTTGTTTTAGATACCGTAAATACTGTAATAGTATCCCACCCCCATAATGATGGTGCGGAGTGTTACGTAGTCTAGCTTTGAACGAGTTTTTCTCGACACTGGTTTATGCTACAATGCGCGCTTAGGTATCAAAAAATAGCTGAAATTCAGAGCTATTTTTTGATACCAAGGACGCATTTATTGAAAATACGGGCGCTTTGAAAAATACTAAATACTAAAAATAAAAATATAAATGAAATACTAAAAAACTTTTGCGACTACGCGACTGTACGAGGGGGGTGGGGGTACTATTACAGTATTTACGGTAGATTAAATGTTTGTAGACTGGAATAGATTCGATAGGATTACAATTAGAACAATTAGGTATCATTTTGTAGAATGGGATCGGTAATTTTAAGGTTAGGATATGTGAAATTCACTCTAAATTACACTCCAAATGAACTTGCTTTTAGCAAAACTTAAAACTGAATGTACTTTGTGCTCTTGGAACTATGTAAGCGCATACTTTCTAGTGCATTAAACACTTATAGTTGAACCCTTTGCTTCAAATTTTTATCTGTGATCAGTGAGCTCAACTTTGCCTTGCTTGCTAAAAACTAACCTGGGTTTTACGGGGATTTTTTTTTCACTTTTTCACAATTACTTACTCGTTAAACAACTGTGATAGACTAATAAATGAAATAAAATAAATGAAATTAGAAATGGAAAAGGCAAGGCAACAATTGGAAGAATTTCGACGAAGACAGCTGGAAGAGAAAGCGACGAGTTCGACGGAGAGGATAATCGACAAGGTTTGTCAGCTAGAAATAGTCACACTACTTTTACAAACTATTATAATATCTGAGCAATTGATGAAGATATGCAAAACTTCTAGCATAGAAGAGAAATGCACTTTTGAATTCAATTTCCCAGCTTTACTTCAGCTCCCACCAGTACAACCCCGACAAAATCTTTTCTCAAAACTCTTCTCCATTGATGTCCTCAACATTTTACCGTTTAGAGTGTGGAGGTTGAAACTTTCGAATTTTCCAAAAAAAATTCCATTCATTTCAGATCCTCTTATGATCGAAATCCTTGTCTAATCCTTTTCATCACAATTATTTTCTATCTACTTACACAAATATACTTTGTGTGGTTTGTTTCGATTCTCTATAAATTTCAACTTTACTTTTTCGGATTCAATTCGGCTTGGTTTTCTTCACGTTTTCAGCGCTAATCGCAATTTGTTTGGGACTTGGGCAAAGGAAAGATGGAGAGGTGAGGATTCTGATGCTGTAAAGGACACTGCAGTGTCAGTGCACTGATCTCAAGCAAAACTATCAAATATAAATATTCATTAGATTCTTTTCAGATCTCCGCCTATTCGGTGTTCAATGAGAATTGCGAGCGTTTGCTCGGACAAATGACCGCTGAACATTTTGAGAGAGATGTACTCCAGAAGAGAAGACCTCAATAATGAAAGGGTCGATATAAAGAATACTGAAGTACATTAAAGTCAAAAATTTTCAATTTTTACAAGCGCACTAGGATCAGCTGTGAATTCCTTTTTTCTCCAAAGAAACCTTGGGAATCTTTGATGTTCCATTGTCACGCTCAATTGCCTCCATTCAATGAAAAAATTCTCTTATGCAAAACGATCTCCTAGGAAATTTCTTCTCGTTTCGATTTTGTTTCAACAACTTTTTTAACAAGAGACTTTATTCTCTGAATTCTTTCAACTTGAATTCTTTCAACTTGAATTCTTTCAAACCTGAATTCTTTCAAACCTGAATTCTTTCAAACTTGAATTCTTTCAGCCTTGAATTCTTTCAATCTTTAATTCTTTCAGTCTTTAATTCTTTCAACTTCAATTCTTTCAATCTTTAAGCAGTTAGCAATTTATACAACCAGAGCTATCAAAAGATAGTATAGGATGGAATTCAAATGTAAATTTAATAATCTAGTCTTTTCTCTATTTCAATTGACACATAGCACAGAAAGTGATCGATTCTCGGTGTGGCTTGGTGCCCAATTGAGTTAGCGATGAAGGGAATGGGATACATAGAAGGAAGAAGGGATGGATGGGGATTCAAGGAACTAAAAGGAGAAGGAAAGGAGTGCTTCAAGGAGTAAGGAGAGTAGAGTGCCTTTACGGAGGAATGATCAGCCAGCTGGTGCTTGTTGTATGGGAATTCTTAAAATTCGAGAACTTGAGCTTGAGAAACTTGAGCATGCTATTGATCAACAAACTTCCACTTTTCTAAACCCTTCTCAACTTTGTTCTCCTTCAACTTCTTTTCTTAGTGTGGCAACATCTAGTTGATCCTCTTCGTTAAGCCCTTCTTTTCCTTTCCTCTCTCCATTCATTCTTCTTCGTTGAGCTCAATTCCTAGTGGGACTTTTCCCCTTTTTTTTGTCAGAAATTGATTATTCTCATCCATACATTCTAAGGCATTCTGAGAACAAAGAAGATTTCGCAATTCTTGTTTTTTGGGGGAATGATCCTTAGGTTCATGAAAAAAAGAATCGTGAGAAAGAAAAAGTTTTGAGTTTTTATAAACACACATTCTTTGACACACGAGATCCCCAGCTTTTATCGTAAGTAAGATTGTAAGAAAGGTATTGCTTAATACCGAATGAGATAAAGCTCTGGTAGAATGTTTTTTTCCTCAAAAATGTACACGATTGCAATCTCTTCCTCAAATTACCTCCGATGTCTATTTGTTATTTGAGGGATTACCCATTCATCTCCCCCTATTTTTTCTATCTCATCTCATCTCGTTTGTCAATAATCTGACCCCATTTTGTCCTTCTCTGATGGATTTCCTCTGACCACACATGGCATTTTGTCTTATTTCATTTTCTTTTCATTTCTTGTCTTCTTTTCATTTTCTTTTCCTTGTGCTTCCATTATTCACACAGACTCACACTCTAATTGCGGGCCCTTTTGGCAGTGAGGAAAGGAAAAGAAGACTTTTTCAGTTTCGACTTGAGCTTTTGGTGATTTTTGCGAAAAGCTATACAAGAAACGTTTCTTTGAACTTTTTGGACTTCCTTGTAATTTGAGAAAATTTCTTTGGCCTTGATTGGATAGGATTCAAAAATTGCATTCAAAAATTGCATTCAAAATTGCCCTATTCAAAATTGCAAGGAACTGATTGGAGTAAATTTTATAAGTCTTAAATATTACCCTTAAAACAGTCAACTATCTGAATGAGCTTAAAAGAGTCACTGCTCACTAGAATATGTCTTGTTATTGAGTACTTGAGCTTTGGCGTTTCATCCATCCACTTCTCAACGCAATATCCGCAAAATTAAAATTTTCCCACACATCGCAAATATTTGTTGGAAATTGCGTAAAATTTTTTTAGCAAATAGTGGATTAGAGCTTGTTACCGTAAATACTGTAATAGTACCCCACCCCCATAATGATGGTGCGGAGTGTTGCGTAGTCTAGCTTTGGACGCGTTTTTCTCGACACTGGTTTAGGCTACAATGCGCGCTTAGGTATCAAAAAATAGCTGAAATTCAGAGCTATTTTTTGATACCAAAGACGCATTTTTTGAAAGTACGCGCGCTTTGAAAAAAATGAAATACTAAAAAACTTTTGCGACTACGCGACTGTGCGAGGGGGGTGGGGTCCAGTTACAGTATTTACGGTAGATAGATTAGATAAACGTTTAAGACAAAGACACCTACTGTAAATACTGTAATAGTATCCCACCCCCATAATGATGGTGCGGAGTGTTGCGTAGTCTAGCTTTGAACGAGTTTTTCTCGACACTGGTTTATGCTACAATGTACGCTTAGGTATTAAAAAATAGCCCTGAATTTCAGGGCTATTTTTTGATACCAAAGACGCATTTTTTGAAAGTACGGGCGCTTTGAAAGAAATGAAATACTGAAAAACTTTTGCGACTACGCGACTGTACGAGGGGGGTGGGGTACTATTACAATATTTACCGTAGGTATGCGGGTGTGGGGTTTGATTTGATGAAAATTGTTCACTAATCAGTTACTTGTTCTAATTCACCAATGACAGAGATGATTATACCAAAAGTTATGCGCTTACAAGAGCACAAAGTTGAGTCCGTTTTTGACATCCCGTTTGACCACCGTCCATCAATTGGTGTGGTCGGTGGTCTCTCTGGGGGCTTCTCTCCACTTTTGTCCCTTCCCCGTAGGCTTTCCTCTTCTTACCCTTCTCATCGTCATCTCATTCTTTTTCTCTTCTTTCTTTTCTTTAAATGTTTGTCTAGTTATCAGGCTAACCCGCGTCCGATTCCCTAGGGAATGTCCGGACATCCTTTTCCTCTCCAAAAAGCTCCCTTTTCAAAAGATCTCCTCTATCAAGGCTTGGCCTTTCACTGAGCAACTCTATTGAATTTTTGTTTTCTTTTTTTGCTTTGAGATTGGCAACTTCTGAGTTCAAAGGTTTTTTTTGTTTGAGCAAGAAGAGGTCTAGATATTTTTGAAGTGGTAGGGTCATTTATGGAGCTCGACTTAACTGTGATCAATCGTAGATAAAAGAAAGTTTTTAGTTCTGCAAGATGTTATAAAAATCCACTCAATCAATACCCGAATATACTCCACAAATTCGGCATTCCTTTGTTTTCCTTATATGGAGGGAGCTTTTTGTGGTTCAATGACTCACGAGGCGGACCCCGATTGCGTACACCCGACCCGATAGGGGAATAAGGGGGAAAGAAATCGGCGAGGGGGTCCGGGTGGGTGAAAACCCCTTCAGAAATCTCCTCAATTCCTTTTCTTTTCTTTATTTTCTCCTTTTCTTCATCTTTTTCTTTATTCGTTGCCCCCGTTTTGAGGCTATTTACGATGCCAAAGTTCTTCAAAGCTTTTCTCTCTTTTCTTTTCATTCAAAAGGGGCCATCTATAGCCCAAAAATTTGGCCTTAAAAGGAGCTCCGGGCTTATCTTTTTTGAAAATCTTCGTATTTCTTTGCCCACACTTTTTTTGGATGATTCAACACAGCTGCATCGGCAAACCAGCTGGTCTTAGTTGAAAATAAACTTGAAAAGTCGAAAACTTAAACTTGTGAACTTAGGAGAATAAAACTCGCAAATTTTCATAAAAACCTTAGTTTGTACTTCAGAAAATCAGGCTTAAATGTTTAAAAAAATCATTTCAGAGAATCTACTTTCGCTATGGATTCAATGTCAATGCAAAACAATTTTTCATTCTCACTTTCTTTTTCAACTGTGATACTTTTTGCTTTGGGTATAATAAACATTGCGGGTGTTCTCCTTTTTTTTTTTAAATTTTGCTGTCAGTGACAGATTTCATATTTTTGGCCTCTAAACTCACGAAAAATTAACACAAAATTGCAAAAGTTTCCTCTAATACGCTTGGCAAATTAAGGAAATTACCGTTCTTTGTAAATTTCAAAGTTGCAACTTAATATCTCTGGCTTTTTACTATAAATAAGAGCTCTCATTATTTTCAAAAAATTTCCTTCTCTTTTAGGAAAAATTTGATGCCTAACTGCTTTGTTCTTGTGGATTTCTTTCTTGTTTTTGCAATATTAATTCATTTCTAAATATTTACCTATTTTCAGGGCGTACTAAACATGGAGGCCTCACACAGTCTTCTCCTCAACGAAGAGGCTCTCCAGAGTTGTTCCGAACCGAGCCGCCCACTCTTCATCTACGAATGGCTTCGATATCTCGACAAGATTCTTCCCGTTACGCATAATGTCGGTTCATTCTCTTTGGGCAGCTAATATTTTTTGTGTTTAGAACGAGTTGAAAGCGATACAGCCCCGCTTAATCGAACAACTGCATCAACGTTTATTGGGCGGAGTAGGGCCACCGACAAGGATGTTGTTGGCAAAATGTATCTCGAAAACCTACGATATTGGTGAGTTGTCATTGTTTTTAGGCTAATCTAAAACGTTACGTAAAAATAAATCTAGTAATACTTGTTAAATCATACCTACAAACCTTTACGTTTCTTGTTTAGGTGACATGTACAGCGTTTCGAAGACGATCAACTTGTGCAGCGATATCTTGGAGTCAAAAGACGAGTCCACCAATCAGTTGTCGATTAAATTGTGCGGCAATGTTTTAATGATTTTCTAAATTGGTATTTAGATCAGCTCTTTGCACTCTTGGAAGTTTATTCGAGAATCTGAAACGAATTGCACTTGGTTCACACGAGATTTTGTTCAACGTGATGTCAAAATGGTTAACAAGGGCTGAAGTTTGTATTGAAAAGTGACCACGTTTAATAAATCTTATATTTAGTCTCAAGTACGGGGTGAAATCATGAGCACGATGGCGAAAATGGCAAAAGGACTTGGCTCAGGAGGCTCTAAGGTTGGACTACTTGCTTGAAAATATAGAACAGTTTTTAGATTCACAAGGACATGTACAAATTAGCAAAGAAATACGCGGAAGATCGAGTGATGGTTGTTCGAAATGCTTCACTACAGGTTTTTACATTTTTTCTTTAGAAAATGTTTTAATTTAGTGCCTACTTGCTTTGGTGCCCGCTCATGTACCAATTTTCACAACGGACCTCGAAGCGACAATCACTTTATGCACAAAGGTAGTATTTTTACCGTTAACTGCTGGATGGTATGGCTGACGACTGGTACCCCTGATTGATACCCCTGGTTGCAATTTATTGTCAGCAATTTATAAACCTAGTTGTAAGATTTGTGGACAATTGTACTTTACAATTTTGATTTAGAATAACTAAATTTAATCTGAGACTTAAAATCCCCCTATGCTCAAACTTTTCTTTGACCTTCGCCGCCGACCCCCTGAAATTATCCGCCTTCGCCGCTTTCTTAAAAGATAAAACTTTTCAAAATGTTTCTAGTGCCAAAAAAATAAGCCTATTTTTCTGCGTAGATTCCCAGAAAATAAACTCAAAGTATCTCTAGGCTATCTTTGATCCCGCCAGCAATTTTGGTATTTTCAACTTTCCTCAAAAACGATAATTGTAATTTTTGTATTCTAACTTGACAGGCCAAACTGCAGGGGTCGATTACTTATTGTCTCAAAAAATCAGAATGAAATCTCTACTGGAACTCGAGTTATGGCCCGGACAGACAGACAAACGAACAAACACACACACAAACAAACTTTGCGTCTGATAATAAGTGAGGTATGCATCTTATTTAGGCCCTCGACAATAGCAATTACGAGTGTAGAATCAGTGTGGCCAAGTTGCTGGCTGTCGTTTTATCAAATGCACATCAGCCACCACCGAATTGTATGATGCCTGGTATGTTAAATACGTCTAATGCTATGCTATATGGTCATACTTTAGGTAAATCAGTGCCACCGATCCCAGTAAAACCCCTCCCTGCCGGAGAATGCCTCCAACTCATATCGATAGCGTTTTTGAAAGGAGGAATCGGTGGATGGAAGGTAAATATTCATGTTTGTCTCTTACAAGCCTTGCTTAGAGTGGATCAAACAGTGCGATGGCTGGTGGGCAACGTGAAGTACGAATCGGGGCAGTCATGGTGGAGAAAATGAGTACGTATTTTCAATGAGTTAAATTTAGGCTTATGTCGAATGGGTTCGCGAGATGGGTGCGCTGTGGCTTGAGCGAAATTTGGCTCTTTTCCTTCGGCATTCCCTTGATTTGGCAGCAAAATGCGGTCCATTAGCATATACATCGTACGTTTTATCTTGCAAGGATAGAAAGTAACAAAATACTAAAAAAAAACTATACACATAATATCTTTAGAAGCTCAACGCAACAAATTGAAGCCGTGCAACTACGACGATGCGTATCTTTTATCCTACGAGAAACGGTATTTTATAAACGATTTTCAACGTTACTTTCTTGTTTTTAGGTTGGGCGAATGCTTTCTGAGAATGTGCAATTAACAGCGTGCAAATATTTGGGACAACTGCTAGCTGAATACATCAATTCGCTGGGTTTGTTAAGTTAAATGATACTAAATGAGTGATGAATTCTAGACTACTCGGATCCGACAGTTGACAGAGTGTTGAGCGCTGAGGACTACTCTTCATGTTTTGCCGCCGAGGTCGCACTGCTGGAATTGAGCTGTCTTGTAAGACAGATCAGCACTCAAGTCACACCATTATTCATTGAGGCCTCAGGTTAGTTTCACATCACATCATAAGGATTGTAACTTTTGTATTGAAAATAAACAGATTTATATACTTTAAAAAAAATTATTTTTTTCAATGTTTACAATTTTTAGGTATCATGGAACCAGTGTTCGCCTGTCTTCTCCATCCGTTGAAAGCCGTGCGAATTGCTACTTCTTGGTGCCTTCGTTGTGTTACTCTTGCTGTTCCATCACTTTTGACACCACTGATCGATCGATGTATTAGCCGGTAACTGTTTGAAACTGAACTCAACTTAATAATTTATTTAGACTTGAACACATGAAAAGCTCGAGTGATGCACTCTCTGGATATTCACTTGCCCTTTCCGCATTGATAGCAGCCAGCGCCGATTGTAATCTGGGAATCCCGAGCGTCAAGTACTCGCAGGTACGTAAATTCTAGCCCGATGATTTAACTGAGCACTTGCATCAAAGTAAAAGAAATAAAATTGAAATTTTAGGTGTTGAATGTTGCCGAAGATATGCTTCGCACGGCTTCCCAACAAAGTCGTCTGGCTGTTGCGAGAATAGAAGCGGGCTGGCTACTCATTCATGCGTCGACTGTATTGGGAGTGAATGTGATGAAAAGCCAGATGGGACGAGTCGTAGCATTGTGGAAAGCCGCCTTCCCGAGGAGTGTCAAGGAGGCCGAGACTGAGAAAACTAGGTTGGAGAAAAGATTTTGTGCCTTAATGCTCAAGTTATAGAGGAGATGCGTTTTCTTGGCAATGTACACTGGAATCTCGAGTCGGAGCTTTAGCAGCAATGTGTGCGGTTAGTTTTTTTTGTTTTTATGGTTGATCAGGCATCATTTATTTTTACTTTAGGTGGCAAGTCATCCCGAGCTCCTCGACGAACAAGAGATAAAGAAAAGCATGCTTTTACCCATTGAAACGACTCTAATTCTCATGTCAAGGTTGGGTTTTTTTTACCAAGAAACCCGGGATCTCATTTTAGTGTCGGCGTTTTGATCAAGAACTTTGGTGTTCGTATGCGACCTCTCGTGGCGATGATTCGAGTCCGTTTGTACACCCTTCTCGGCCATTTGAACACGAAATGTTACGAAAGTAAGGGATTTTTAAATTGTTCATTGATTTTGTTTTTTTAGATTTATTTGCTCCACTTTTGCGAGAACTTGTTGCCGATCTTACGTTGAGTGATAACGCGCAGGCAACCCATTCGACGAGCCTTGCAAGTAAGAACAATTTTTTTTGATGAGAAAGATAGCTTCTTTAGTTTCTTTGTGCACTGGAGCCGAAACTACACTTCTTGCGCCGTGGCACGATTTGAATGATCAAAGCATGTTGGAAAATACGGTAGCAAACTCGGCTGAGCATTTACAAAAACCTAATTTTAGCTCTCTGCTGCACATAACGGAGCTGTTGGATCGCCTGAATTCGAGAGTACATCTATCGTCACGTAAGTTTAATGCTCGATAGTACATATTGCCATTTTACTAATTACATTGCTTCCATCTAAACCTTTCAGAACATCCGCCACCACACAATCAACCTTTTGGCCCGAGCCTCTTCCCGCTGAGGTCCGATGCATTGATATGGCAGTGACAATCTACGGCAGACTTTTTCCTTTTATATCAAGGAAGCACCAAGTACAGGTGAGTAAAGAAACGAGTTTTCCTAGAACACTTTAATTCAACTTTCATTGTTATTTAGATCACTGAGCACTTCGCAAGCGTAATCAAAGAGCAAAAGAATCCGAATCGACAAAGTGTGGTGAGTGCTTTGAGATTTCTGCATTTGATGACTCACCTCTTAGATTCAAATGAATGCCCTTTGTGCGATTGTGTCAGCACTTCGATCGATTAGCGAAAACAAGGGATCGAAAGTCGAGCAAGAGTCCCTAGCAAAGACGATCTTCGATTTTGTGAAAAATGGTAAGCTAATTTTATTATCTAACAACTATCAATTACTACTGCTTAGGGATTACATCTTCATCGGTGACTATTCGATGTGTTTCGGCGGAAACCCTCGGACGATTGGCGCAGACTGTTGGCGATGCTCAAGTATGTTTGAGTCATTTAATTTTTAGTGATGGTACTTATTTATTAGCTTGTGGTTACTTATCCAACTTTATGTTTTAGTATGTTGCATCGGTTGCTCAATTTTGTTTCGGAAAGCTCGAAGCGGCCAGGGATGTGCAGAATAGGACAGGGTATATTGATTAGAGCTTTTAAAGGTCTGATGATATATTTTAGCTACGCTCTCGCTCTTGGCTGTTTGCACAAACATGTCGGCTCGCTTGGATCACCTCATCATCTGAAAACGGGAGTCGAGATTTGTCTAGCGTTGGCCCAGGAATCAAGCAGTCCTATAGTTCAGGTAAGAATACAGAAGTTTCATCTAGAAAAATAATTTTAAGGCCTGGGCTCTGGTTGCTCTGTCGCTAATAGCGGAGACTGGTGGTGGAATGTTCCGAGGATTTGTCGACTCTGTGTTATCCGTTTGCCTTCGTCTTCTACTCAACACAAGCAGCAGCAACACCGAAGTGGTCCTATGCATTGGAAAATTGGTGAGTGTTTGAACATAAAACATTTTATTGTTTTTTTTGAGTCTGAAATTAAATTTTAGTTGAGTGCATTGATCACCTGTGTTGGACCAGAACTTGGTCTTCCGGGAAGCATTGAAACGACACGAATCTCTCTTCTTTCTGCGTGCGCTCTACAATTTGCATTCCCATGTCCTCTTGTGAAAGCCGAAGCCATTCAGGTTTTTTGTTTTGTGTTTTTTATATCAAATGTTACGATTTAAGGGTCTACAACAGATGCACCTATTTGCTCCACGTTACGTGAATCTCCGGCACCTTGTTATCGATATTGCTAGGTTTGAGATTAGTTGTTAAGTGATTTTATTGTAAATTTCAGCTTGCTCTCATGCTACGATTTGTGTCTACGAAGAGCCGCAGTTTGTTGTTTGCGTCAACTTGTACAACGAGAGGCTCGAGAAGTGAGAGAACATGCACAAGTATTAGTGCCACAAGGTTTGAAACATTTAGACTTGATTCATTCACTAATTTTGCTGTCATTTCAAAGTTTACGTCAAATTTTAAGGTGTTGTTGACGAAGGAAAGAAATTACCGCTACCCGATACAGGATTGGAGGGCGCCTTGTTCTCCATGTTGGACGTGGAGATTGATGCGCTTTTGAGGTGTTTTTTCTGCGAAATAAGTTCTATTGAAATTTTTAGATCCCACGTAGAAGAAACGTTGACATCACTTGTTCAAGCAACGAGTGGAGAGCTGCTTTCAAATTGGTTGCTTTTGTGCAAGGAACTTTTGGCCTCGAGTGCGAGTGACACCACAAGAAGCACGCTGATTGTGGAAGAACCAAAAGATGAAGATAAAGAAGATGATGAAGAGGTAATTTTATGACAAACAAAGCACGACACGGAAAAAACATTTTTCAGGGAGCCGATGACGTTACACTAGCAGGTCCAAAGGGAGCGGTCGCAGAAAAGGGAAAAGTGATGCCGAGATGGCCTACGAGGGTATTTGTTACACAGGTAAATTTTGGAGATAAATGAAGTAGTTCGATTTTCCTAGATTGTACAACGATTGATGACCGTTTGCGATTCGGAAAGAGCGCATCTTGATCTTGCTTTGGCTAAAGAGCTGCAGGTGTGTTTCAGATTTCGTAAGCAGTTTAAAATGTATGCTTAAGATTTCTTCTCATGGTCGCGGTGATTATCTTGTGCTTCACCTTTCGGATTTGGTGCGAATGTCTTTCATGGGAGCGACGAGTGAAAATACGGAATTGCGATTAGCGGGATTATTCTCATTACAGGTACAATAGTCGCATGGTTCTTGATACAATAATTTCTAGGATGTGATCACGCGTTTCTCTGCGGTTCCTGAACCCGAATTTCCCGGCCATGTAATTTTAGAGCAATTTCAAGCGCAGGTGTGCTACTATAAGCAAGTAGATGTAATTTTGTTGACTTTAGGTTGGTGCTGCCTTGCGGCCGGCATTTACGGAAGATACACCCGCTCATGTCACAGCTGCGGCTTGTCAAGTATGCTTTTGGTGTTTTTTGACAAATCATTTATTATTTAGGTATGTTCAACGTGGATAGGAAGTGGGGTAGCTAGAGATCTGAACGATTTGCGGCGAGTTCATCAGGTAGTTTTATGAATTATCTGGAAGCACTAAAGTGTTCAACCTAACTTGTTTAGTTACTCGTCTCATCGCTTGGGAAGTTGCGTCACGGTTCGATCAACACACAACTATATAGCGAGAGCGCCGCCACCTTGGAAAAACTTTCAATTTTGAAGGCGTGGGCTGAGATTTATGTGACTGCAATAGAACAAGAGAGGACTCCAGCAGCCAGAAAAGAAGGTAGTTAATCAAGGGTAAAAATGCAGTTATGTAACTTATAGATGATATCTATCCGTCGGGCTCAAATGAATCATTGTTGTCGCTGGTGCAACCCGAATTGGAGTCTCTTGTTGGATATTGGTTGGCTGCTTTAAGGTAAACACTTTAAATTTCTGAACAATTGAGGACTAGTTGCGTTTCTTAAACCGCGGGGATATAACTACATTTACTTTTACGAGCATTACTTAACATTCAGAGATTCTGCTCTCCTCGCATTACCTTCACAGTTCTCCGAGCAATTGCCAACTGATGGTGGCGCTTTTTATCAGGTATGTTTTTGGTAAATAATCATTTCTTCATTTCACACTTATAAAGTAAAATTTAGGCTGATAGCATAGATGCGTCTCGAGATTACTACAAACAAAGTTGGCCTCCTGTTCTTCTCGCATCTGCTACTTGGCTAACAAATAACAATTTTGAGATACCGAGCAATGAGGAGGTATGTCCGGACAAATTTATTGTTATCTTGTTGCTTTAGGCTCCGAAAGTTTGGCCGGATGATTTGAGGGCAACGCGTCTCCACGTAATGCTTGGACTGTGTATTGAAGCTCTCTCAAGTCGGACAACTAGCATTCAAGATGATGCCACTGTGCAGGTATCTTGATTTTCGATTCTGATCACGATTATCGTTTAGCAATGTGTCCGTGCGCTAAACGCTTTCTTCTCGTGTGAATGGGTCCAATTACAATTGATGGGTGATGTTCGAATTGCGATCGAGATTATCAACGTAATGCACAGGTATTCTATATTGTAGGCGATGAATTTTTCACACAAGAGGTTTAGGCTTGTGCTAACTCGTGATTGTCCATTAACTCAGCAAGTTTGCATCGATTGTGCTTTCACCATTCTCGAGGCAGCTCAATCGGCGATTCGAGTGAGCACACAAAAAGGTACCAATAGTAAAAAATATACAAATAATCTATGGATTCATCCAGATATCGAAAATGGAAACGTTGAACCGATAGCTGCGGATGTTCCCGAAACTCTTTTTGCTGGTGGAGATGGGGCGGCTTTTGGAGAAACACCGAGTGGATACGAAAAGGTGCATTTGATGTCGGTGAACTTCTAACTTATCTTTTTTAGGGAAAGGGTGCCGTTCCTCTAAGTAACACTCTCAGTTACGCTTTCTTGGAGTTATGTCTTTGTGTGTTGGTCAGACAGGTTTGAAAAGTTGCATTGATTAAGCAAGCAATCACTTTAGATGCCCCAGTTGAACAGTAGCGCCGTAATGAAATCTCGATCGACGGCTCCATTACATCAACGACGTTTCGGAAGATTGTCAGCAGAAAGCGCTCGACTTGTTCAGTCTGCTGTTCGTCTACTCTCACAGGTTAGAACTTGATACGTTATAGAGGCTCGTAAGAAAAAGTATTGTCGAAGCTTTAATAGTACTCAGTTTAGGTGGATAATAAGACCCGCTGATGTGCTACTGTTTGAATCAACTTCATTTTTACAGGTTCCCTCTCTCCTTCATCCATCGGCACTTCCTCCCACTCTGCCCGTCATTCTTCATTTGTGTCTCGGCGTCCTAAGAGAATCTTCTCGTATTGATGAGTCATCGATTGTACCCGATTTACCACCCGGTCATCTGACATCAATTGCAACTGCGGCCATACAAGTAAAGCGTTTCCAATTTTCAACTCAAATCACTTTCTAGGCAATCCGCACATTGTGCTCGTCTCCGCCCACCTCGCAAGCTGTTTTGAGTCTCTGGTTGACGGTTGTTCGGAGTGGAATTTACTCGACTTTGCTGATGATTGAAGGTATGTAAAAATTTGATGATTTCAACTGATAATGTTCCAGGACCTGAACCCGTTGACGAATGTGTTGTGTTGGTGGCAGCCGCTCTTCTTTGTGCTTCGGTTCCAAAAGCAGCAGTGCTTGGACATTCAGAATCACTTCAGCGACTTTGTGCCTTGGCAAAGCGACAACTGATCAGCGAGCATCCACAGGTAAATATTTTTTGTATAAATAACACGTTAACTTGTCAATTGTAGGTTAAAATCCGCACCCTCCAAGCGCTTTCATCTCTCTTTGGACGAAAGGACGTTACAGCTGTTTTTGCCCGTCAAATTGGACCGGACATTTATGCGCTCATTAAGCCTTATGTGGTTGGAGAAAATGTGGGTTAAATGTAATGTAAATGCTTTGGAAAAACTATGTTTAGGCAAACAAACTAGCACAGGATCTCTCGGAAGAACAATTGTGTGTGCTAACGGAAGCCATCAAGGCTCTTGAAATCATTGTCGGAGCAGCTCATGCTAAATCAAGTTTGTTTTGGTCGCAAACTTTTATCTTCGTTTTTTAGAATTGTCGATTTTGAATGTGCTTGTTCAATCACTTTGCGGCTTGATCATGTGCACAAATCAAGTAAGTTCTCGGGGTTAAAACAAAAACATTCTTTACATTAAGGAGGAGTGGCGAGCACTCTCATCGACGGCTCGGAAACTTCACGAAATGACTCTGCAACGACTGAATGCAATTGCACCTCTTCATCCGGTTGATTTCAAAACGGTTAGTGAAATCGTCTTTACATATTCTCTGTAATCAAATATTACCTAAAACGTTTTTTGTTTATAACAATTTTTTAGGTTCTCTCCGCTCATCCATCTCTGAAGCGACGATTGGAAACCGCGCTTCTCTTCCAAACCTCGAGAATCACGCAAACAAATCAAATGCAGAGGCAACGACAAGCTGAAATGGCTAAGGTATCGCTCAAGACATTGATGATGATAATAAATTTCTCATTTAAGGTGAATGCTTCCAATGTGACTCAACCGACGATCAAATTGACTATGGACTTTAACTCGTTCAACAGGGCCACCGCCGCCGAATAGACGAAGAAATTTGTAGGTTTTTGATTATCATTCACTTTTCGCACTCATACTGTTGCAATATTTCGTCAAATCTCAGTGTTTAAAATCTCTTTTCAGTGTCCAGCTTTATTGCTTCACTTGGTTGATTGTGTGTTTTCTTTTCTCTCATTTTTATCCATGGCCTCAACTTTTCGCTCAATCATTTTATTCTTTAACTTAATGATAATATCCTTAGATTTTTTTTATACATTGGATGATTCTTATACTCGCTTTGAATTCTTATAGGTATTTATGGGTACAAAAATGTTTTCTTTTCTCTTTTTGACTGAATACCCTATGTTTTTTGTTATTGGCCATACCCTGGTAGTTGTTTGTGATATTGATTTGACGAAAAAGTGGCTTTTCTTGATGGTAAAAAGGTTAATTTCATAGATTTTATTGTAAATATTGTTGTATCCTATCTATGCTTTGCGACCCTATCAAGACATGCACGAGAAATAATAAATTATGGATTCTAATGACAGTTTTATTTTTCGGTGAATTTTATTAGAGTAACGGTATAATTCGATATGAAAATTTATCCTCAAACGCAAAATGAGATCATTGAATCTGAGAACCGAAAGATGGCGAATCAAAATTTGATCAATTTATCGTCTTCTCCTTCATTTCCTTCAGCGAAATCGAGCACATTCACATCTTCCTCAACCACACACGAAAAGACGTGTTGGCAGAAAATTGTAGATTTTTCTAAAAGGCATCATTTATGGATAAATTGGGGTTAAAAAGAGGAATCATTTTTTGCTTTCACTCACCATCAAGCCATTGCAAAAACGGGGACCGATATCGGGGCCAAATAAAAACGAAATAGAGAGCAAAACAAAGAATTAAAAGACCACAAGAGATACTTGATTCCTGAATCGGTTTTTAGTATTTGATGACTTTTGAAAACCCACTAAGATATCCTGCACAAATGGCACGACAATCAGAGTGACACAAATGACGAAAGCTATGATGGGCATGAAAATTGGGAACTGAAAATGAATAGTGGGATATTTTGTGGAGTTAAAAGGTTGGGCTACTTTGATGGCCGTATCGGAGACGGGAAGACGGCGATATTTGATATAGATTAAAGCACCCATCGCACAAGCCTTAAATAATATAGTTTCGATCTCTTTCTTCACTACAGTAAGCCGGAATGATAAAATATTAGGCTCGATGACTTGGCATACTGCAATGAGACTAGAGACCGCTAGAGCTTTACGCTATTTTTTTGAAATTATCAAGTTGACCAAGTCTTAACCTGTCTTAACATTGAGGCCACATTCACGTAGTTGAGAAGTGAATCAACATCTTTCACAAAGGAAAAAGCCATTGCGAGAAACACCTGAAAATATAAAGATTGAATGATCTCCGGAGGCTCCAAGAACAGAAACAACTCACGTGAAACAAAACGGAAACCCTTGGCGAGTCGGTTTCGGGATTCGACAGCGCCAACATTGTCGGCATGAAACTTTTCCGAGCGCCAGCCATTGTGAATCTTAAATGAAGTTTTTTTTTCCATAAAAAAAAACTTCAAATCACCGACTCCACTGGAAAATATCAGAATTGACAGAGCCGACCATCAGAAAACCGACAATTGCCTAGAATCTCATTGATTAAAAATCAAAAAATCAAACAAACTGGCATTGCATAGCGGAAACTACCGAGGGTTTTCTCGGAAAATGTCTAAAAAGGATGTTGATGATGTTTGAGGAGAAACGGGGCAAAATTCTCTACCGTAGCCACAGCGTCTGAATCCAATAGCGCTTGCGGGTTGAGGATTGTAAAATAGGAGATATTCGCTAATAAATAGATTATGGAAGCCATAGTGAGACCACCAAAAACGGCTCTTGGCAGAATCCTGAAATGGTGAGACGCAGGCTTTTTTGACAGTGTTCGATTTTCCATTTACCATGCGAAATTCTTCAACTCAATCTCCTCTGTTCCATAATTCAATGCATCATATCCAGAATATGCCCAACTTCCTGAATAGATTGCAAGCGAGATATGACCGGCATTCCATGACGATCCATTGAAGAGAGCCCCGCCCGTGAAGTTCTCCGTTTTACCTGAACAGTTTTGAGGTTTAAAAAAAAAGTGAGACCTTTCAGCTTTATCTTATCTGAAGAGCTTTCAGCTAAACCTTTTACGATCAGAAAATAGAAGCCGGTAACGATGATGATTGCTAAAGCCAAGAATTTCAGCCCCATCATCGTGATTTGTATCCTTGCTGCCCATTTCTTTAACGAAAAGAAATTCACCCAAGCAAGGGACACTGAAAAGTTTTTTGGAGCTAAAATGAAATTGAAATTGAAATTGAATTGAAATTGAATTGAAATTGAAAACGAACGACAAACAATGAAGCCGAGACATTGCTCAAGCCGAAATCTCGACTCGTCACTCATATTTTCATTCAATGGTTTCAATGCTTCGGCTATGTATTTTCCAAATGTCATAAATAGAATTGCACAGCTACAAGATCTGGAAGAAATTATTTATTATTTATTTATCATTATTTATTTGCAAACTGATATTTCCCCACCCTTCGATAATATTCGAAAGCCATAGAAAAGCGAAAGCCAACGGTCTCCAGCCGACGTAATTGATGTACGAGAAATCGGAGCCACATTCGGGAATTGATGTTGCCAGCTCGATGTATGACTGGAAATCGTTTCTTTTCTGTGTTCAAAACGGGTAGATAGATGAATAGACTTGCTGATTAAAGTAACAAGTGTTGGAATGGATGTTTTAACGCATTCACAAAGTCTTTTTTTGACTTGGCTGCAGTTTGGGATGATAGATGATAGATATTTAGTCTTTTGACTATCTAGGTCCTATTTGGTTCCTTTAAAGTTCCTATTTAGTTCCTTTATAGTTCTTTAGTTCATTTATAGTTCAAACATAGACATATTCTGTCGATATCTATGTTTGTAACCAGAGGCATTCTGGGATAGAGAATCTGAATCTGTTATTTGTTTTTGAGCAACAGCAAGCAAGCAAGCAATTTCCAAGTCATTACGTTCATCGCAAAACTCTCTAAAGCTTGGATGATTAAAGAAAAATTGGAGAAATCAAATTGGAGAAAAAGGAGCGAAACCAAGTTTTGATTCTGTTCTTTATCCCTAGAGGCTATGTGCCAGAAGCCGTGCGATTACGTAAACATAAAAATTTTCACTTTTTTGTAATCGTGCACCTTCTAGCACACTTCTAGATGTTGGATTGCACTTGGGGAATTAAACTCAATGAAATATTCAAAAATAAACCGTTTTCTTTAAAAACTAATAACGGATTCGAATTCCTCACTCTCGAAAACCCTTGATTGCAAATTTACAGCCCAATTGCTAAATTGCTTGCTACGTACGGCCCACAATAGTCGAAGTCGAAGCTAAACAGTCGAAGCCTATACTAACCACTCCAACATGGCTCTGCCGTTGAAATTTTGCGTTTCAACAATTCATTGAGACAAAGTTTAATGAAAATCAATCTCCTGATCAACTCCGCTTGAAATTTTCAATAAAAGAAAGTACCATTGCAACGATTAAAGCGATCACCGCACAGAGTATCCAAACGGTGAGCGAGAGGCCAATTGAGCCGGCATGTTCGAGAATTCCTGAATGGGAGAAACTGGATCGTCAGTTTGATTTGAGAGACAGAAGCAGAGCCGACTTCAGAAAGAGCTTCAAGAGTATGCTGAACCTTTTGGTGAGACGAAAATCCCGGATCCGATGATTGTGCACGTGAGATACGCGGTCGCTCCAAAGAGGCCAATCTTGTTCTCTTCGGATTTACCCATTTTGGCTGAAATGTCAGGTACTCAAGAAGGAAACGAGCTTTAGAATCTTGAAAAATAAAAAATGCAACATTTCAATCAAATCAATGAGAAGAATTTATTGGGAATTTTTGTTTCAAACAAGAGTCCAAATGATCTTTCAATTCTGTCGATATCTCGTTTTCCAAGATCTGAAAAAAACTCAGAAACAGAAAAGGGCTCAAAAAAGACAAGGAATTTCATTGATAAGCCCATAAAATCTGATCGAGAACCCCACATAATCCCCTTGTTAAACAAAAAAAGACAAAAAAAAGACAAAAATCAATCAAATTCTTTCTTTTCTGTCCAATGCACTTTTCAAAAAGCTTTATTTTGGGGAAATTGTATGTTTATGAGCTTTCAAAGTAAGCGATTTGTGTTTACTTTAAAAATCCGAATAGTTTTCCTCATCGGGATCAGTGCTTGACGAGTCGTTGGCTGATGAGAAAGGCTGAAAACGGATTGTGAACGTTTGCAAAACGTTTGCATTTCACTTTTGAAAGATAAAAATATATTAAGCCATTTAAAAGCAAAAAATGATTGCATAATGGGGGATTTTTTGTTGCATCTAAAAGAATCACAGAGGAATTTCGATCAACGGGAGAAAGCTTGTTTTTTTTATACGGTAAATACTGTAATAGTACCTCACCCCCCATAATGATGGCGCGGAGTGTTGCGTAGTCTAGCTTTGAACGAGTTTTTCTTGACACTGGTTTATGCTACAATGCTACAATAGGGATCAAAAAATAGCTGAAATTCAGGGCTATTTTTTGGATACCAAAGACGCATTTTTGAAAGTACGGGTGCTTTGAAAAAAATGAAATACTAAAAACTGCGACTACGCGACTGTACGAGGGGGCTGGTGTCCAATTACAGTATTTACGGCCTTTTTTTCCTATTTCATTGATCTAAATACGAATGCCAGTTATGGAAAATAAGGATTGAAAGAAAATTTGCATAGGCTTAGGCTATGCAACGCGTCCAAAGCTAGACTACGCGACGCTCCGCATCGTCATTATGGGGGTGGGGTCCAATTACAATATTTACGATATCTCTTTTTTTCCTATTTCGATCTAAATACGAATGCCAGTTATGGCAAGTAAGAAAAGGAAAATTTGCATTTAAATATATCTAAAAGGCAACTAAAACGAGTCTTATATTTTAATTCAATTAATATCAATTTTCTAAAAAGTACATAGGAAAAAGCAATCGTAATTCGAGTCTTATTTTAAATAAATCTATTTTTCTTTTCCAAAAGGCATATTTTTAGAAAAACCTTTAACGCAAAAGCTATAGATGAAGCAGCTAAACAGTCAGCAACAATACAAAAAAAAAGAAGATCACAAATCAGAGAAGGCACAACAGAGCACACAAAAAAGGGAAACACACAAGCGGATTCAGGATGCAAGCTTCGATCGTTCTCTTTTTCTTCACTTCACAATGATCAGACCTCATTGAAATGACTGACAACTTGTTGAAGACCCAATTCGACTTTACTTCGCTCGCGAATTTCGAACTTTTTCACCTAAAGTTTGCTTTTTACAAAGATTCTGAGACTCAAAGATTGACTTAGAATCGGGAAATCATTTTGAAAGCTTTGAAAACTTTGAAAGCAATCGTAATTCGAGTCTTATTTTAAACAAATCTATCTTTCTTTTCCAAAGCTTTGAAATCTTTGAAAGCTTTGAAAACCTTAAACTTTGAATCTTCCTGAAAACCTCATCCTAATCAACCTAATCAACCCAATCAACACCAACCTTTCCGGTGACAGTCAACGGGAAATCCTTTTCGGTTTTGAAGAGAATGTAGCGAGGGACTTTGAAGTGAGCAATCTAAAAATTGTGTTATCGTAATTATCAAGAGGAAAATAGTCAAATGAAAGGTGAATCTGAAACCGCCGTACCTTTCCCTTGCAATAATCCTTGAGCTCTTGTTCGGTGACTTTTCCAATAGCCGTCTCGTGGAGGCGAATCCAAGCGCACACCACTTCCCCATAGCGCTCATCCGGCACGCCGACAATCTAGATTTTGATGTTAATTTCGATATTTATCTACAGAAATTAGTATTTTGTCTTTTAATGTACAACTTACATGCACATCCTCGACTTTTGGGTGTTTAAAGAGGAATTGCTCGACCTCGGTTGGGTAGATGTTCTCACCTGAAAGAAGGGGTACAAATAGAATTGAGTAATACGATAGGATATGTTTTTGAAAGCTTAAGCTGATCTCTTAAGCTAAAGCTGATCTTTTAAGCTTAAGCTGATCTCTTAAGCTAAAGCTGATCTATTAAGCTTAAGCTGATCTATTAAGCTTAAGCTGATCTATTAAGCTTAAGCTTAAGCTGATCTTATCTGAAGCCAACCTCCTCTAACAATCATATCCTTGCTTCGACCGACAATCGACACTGTTCCATCCTCGTGCATCACACCGATGTCACTAAAAGTTTAAGGGTTTTATGTCAAAATATCAAATATACATTTAAGTGTTCAATTACAGATAACATCTACAAAATGAAGTCTTCCCCACAAACCAACCCTGTGTGATACCATCGATCAGCGGTAATCTCTTGCCGACTCTTCTCCTCATCATTCCAATAACATCTCATCACCTGAAAGTTCATTTTGCGATTTGTATCTAGTACTTTAATCGAATTAAAAATTAACTTGTGTTGCGCCAAAATCTCACCGAATATCCTCTCACGATCACTTCTCCTTTCTCCCCTCGAGGAACCACTTGACCTTGTTTATCGACGAGAGAACTCTGGAAAGATGAAGTAATTTTGCAAAGAATTTGAAACCGAGCAGGAGTTGAACCCTCGAACGTCTGCTTACCGACCAGATACTCTACCACTGAGCTATCGGCGTTTCGTTAGTCTGAGCAGAAATAGAAAAGAAAACGACGAAGAAAGGAAGAAAGAGAGGAAAATACCCAGGTCTTCTGAACCGTGGGCTAAGGGATAAGGCCCTACTCTGGCGGCAATGGGACAGCTGTCGATCTGGCTCATTGGTAGAGCGTTGGGCCGGTAAGCGGGGGTTGGCGGGTTCGAATCCCGACGGCGGTTGTGTTTTGTATTTTGCATTAAGAGAACTTTCACTCTCAAATTGCTTACCTCAAGATGATCCATGATATGGCCAACGGATCGAATCCGTCTCTCCGGTGGATCATCTCGAATCGACATATAGGAGACAGGTGAGGTCTCGGTTGTTCCATAGCACACCTACAAACAACCAGAGATTTTCCCTAATTTAGTTTTTTAACTAACCTGCATATCTCTCATATTCATTTCGGAAACGAGTCGTTGACAAAGAGTGATCGGACACGGGGCACCGGCAATGAAACCTGAAAAATATTATCGGCTTCGTCAAATACCTGATCGTTCTCAAATACCTGATCGAATCGTAGTGTAATCGTATTTGTGATAGTCAGGATGATTGAGCATATCGATGAACATTGTAGGCGTCCCGTAAAGAGCTGTGCATCTGAAAGAGAGTTTTTTGTTCATTTTTGGATAAAGATAAAGTTTACCCCTCCTCATCAACAGCTTGCAAAGCGGCGAGAGCCTCGAAAGATGGAGCTGGGAAGACACAAGTCTGCAAGAAGTTTGAATTAAGGGATTTTTCTAAAAGTCATCTTTTAGAAAAACGACTATAGGTTTTATATTCTTTGAAATAACCTGATGATGAACCAAAGCCGCCAAGACGCCCATCACACAGCCGAAACAATGGTAGAGTGGATTGGGGATGCAGATGATCGTTCGCTAAATGAATTTCGATAAAAAATTAACTACCTATAGTTCTATTTCAACAGAAAACTTATCAACGCACTTTCTCATGATATCCGGCTCGTCTTCCCACAAAATAGGCATTATTGAGCACGTTGTGATGGGTTAAAGTGGCGCCTTTTGGTTGACCGGTCGTTCCCTGAAAGATGCGATTTCTATGGGAATAGAAAATCTCAAAATCTCAAAATCTTCACTTACACTCGTGTACTGGATATTCACAGGATCATCGGGTTTATTCTCGGCTTCCATTTGTCTCAATTTGTTATAGTCTTCATCACGTCCAAATTTCATCACATCTGTGTACTTCCATGCACCCCTGAAGTTAACAAAAGATACTGGATTTGAGGACGCAAAGTATTCAATTTAAACTCACTGATATGCTTTGTCCTCTCGATCGAAGATAATCAAATGCCGGAATTCGGGAAAAGCATGAGTGGCGAGACCGGATCGACCTTCAGCTTTTGTAACCACCTCGGGAATGATATCCTGAAAAAAGAATAAAGAATTGTCAAGAAAGAGTAGAGGGGATTAAACCCTTGACCTTTTGCTTTGCAATTGTTCTAACCACTGAGCTATCCGGCACCTTAACTTGGCAAGAGAAAGATGGAAAGACAAGAAGGAAGATGAAAGGAAGAAAGACAAGAAGGAGGAAGAAAGAAGGAAAGACCAGAAGGAAGAAGAAAGGAAGAAAGACATGAAGGAAGATGAAAGGAAGAAAGACAAGAAGGAAGAAGAAAGGAAGAAAGACATGAAGGAGGAAGAAAGAAGGAAAGACCAGAAGGAAGAAGAAAGGAAGAAAGAAAGAAATACCTGGATCTTCAGAACAGTGGGCTAGGAAAGAGATCATTAAACTATAGCTTGATTGAGCAGCATTTCCCAAACCTTAACACTTTGATAATAGTTGCTTTTCTTGAAGCCCGGTGCCATGATCAATGCCTTGATGCCGACTTTCTCGATGGCGAAACGGAGTTCCTCGGATTGATAGGATGGATTGATGTTCACCTGAAATGATTGGAAAATGATTTTTTCATCACTACAGATAAACTCACCAAAATGTAGCCAGCAAGCGCAGCAGCCATCATTGTCACGACCCATTCGTGCGTATTCGGTCCCCAGATTCCGACCCGATCTCCCCGCTCAACACCAAGATGAACAAGGCCAGCAGCAAGGCGTTCAGACTAAAAAAAATCTTTTAACTCCAATTGTCGACTTGTCGACTTGTGAATTGTTATTAGTATTCTATCTTTAATACCTCAGCCAACAATTGAGCATAGGTTATTCTGATGTTGTCACGCTTGAAGATCACGAATTCACGATCGGGAACCTGGAATAAGTTTTGTTTTAACAAAAGCTTTAACAAAAATTGACAAGATTAGATTTTAAATGCCAATTAGGCTTTTTTGAGGATAAACCTTTTCGACAGCGAACCGCAGCCGCTCGGCGATCGTGTCGAAGAGGAGTGGGACACTGAAAGGATAAGAAAATTGATGAAAAAAAGCAAGAGATTCTCTGTTTAACCTTCTTTATCTATAAATAATGCTCTTGGTCATAAGAAAAAACTCACTCAGAGATTCCATGAATGTAGCTTCTCATCGGGTTGATTTCAGGATTCGTCGCCCCGTCAGCTTCCTTTGAGTGTTCACCTAGAAAAAAAAGACTTATAAATTTGAATAAAACCTATGAAATGAATCAAAAATCTATATCTAATCGTATGCTCTTCAAAAGAAAAACAAATTTTTTTTTTAAAGCATTTTCACTCTTGTGTACCGTTTTCGTCTCGTCGTGGCGCCTTATTTTTCATTTTTTTTTGTGTATGAGCCCCCACTTGTGGATTTTCACCTAAGTTTTAACGTTTATAAAGCAAAAGAAAATATAGGTATAAGGATTTGGAAATGATTTGTAGTTCATGAAAATCTCGTGTGTGACTGGGCATTTCCGAGAATTTCTATAAGAAATTTGTGACACAACAAGAAGGAGAAAGAGAGAGAGAAAGAGAAAGAGAGAGAGAGAAAGAGAGAGAAAGAAAGAGAGAGAGAGAGAAAGAGAGAGAAAGAGAAAGAAAATTCAAGGTCAATCACCTCTTGCTCACAAAAACGAGATTTGTTGACCGATTTAAAAAAAAATTTGAAGTTTATTTGGAAAGATATTGTTTAGATAAACAGGATAACAATAAAAGTTCAACTCATTAGAAAAGCTCATTTCTTTCATCGAACGATTGGTTCTTGGAAGAATGAGAGCAAGAACTGATCAAAGTAACACAGGGACTGAGATGAAAGCTTTCAAATCTTATTCAATAGATCCTAGATCCTAGAAGTCCCTGAGGCTTGAGTCAAGGTTTTCAACCGAATTGGCTTTTCAGTCTTAGATCAAGAGCGAATCCCCTTCTCCTCCGCCCAATCACTCTGTGACTTCCCTCAAATTATCACCTGATTTCCTTGATTTTAAAAAAAAATCTCGCCATTTCGTGTAGAATTACGAATTCTCCGGAGGAGAGTCTCGAAGGAGATAAGGAGAAAAAGAAAACAACAAAAAAAAACAATGAGGGAAAGGAATACGATAGACAGGAAATGGATAGAGAGAAGACATTAGACGTTGAACTATGAACTTGTAGATAGAAGGCTACGAACTGTAGAAAGGGATATTTCAAAAGAAAACCTAATCAAAGTTATTCGTTGATTTTCGTTGAAGTTCTGCAACATTAAAAATGAAAGGATGAAAGGAATTCGATGAGATAAAACAAAAAAAGAAGATATGAATCTGTAAAGTGGGGTGAAGGGGAAGGGGAGGATCGAGAAGATTTCAGAAACCCTCGATTTCTCCATCTTCCTCCTTTCTTTCCTCATTCCCTCTTGATCTTTATCTCCAAAATGGTTCTTTGCTCAAAAATTTAGGACTTTCAATGAAACTTTTAATGACAGAGAACTTGTCGATGTTTTGATTGAAGAAAGAAACGAATTGAGGAAGTGGTTGACTTGACTAAGTCCAAGGTAATGGCTATATAAAAGCAATCATATCTATTGCTAGAGTGTGTTCCTCGCGAGTAATGCGTTTTTTAACATGCACACTTGGGAAAAAATTACCGTACTTTTAGCAAAAATTATTGCAAAAAAATGGGGGTGGGACAAATGCTACCTTTTTTTTGCGCACCTTTTTTTTGCTGGAAAAGGCCTTGGGAAAAGTCGTAGAGCTTCAAAAACGTTTTCATAGAAGGGAATCGTATGCGTAGATTCAGAATTTTGACAAATCAGACCTCGCTGACACGTCAAATTTGGGCCCAAAAGGCAAAAACTACGCAACTTAACGCTTTTCCGCAGTTTTTGCCTTTTAGCCCAAATTTGACGTGTCAGCGAGGTCTGATTTGTCGAAATTCGGAATCTACGCATACGATTCCCCTATATGGAAATATTTTCGAAGCTCTACGGCCTTTCCTAAGGCTTTTTCCAGCAAAAAAAAGGTCGCATTTGTCCCATCCCCAAAAAAATGACGCAAAAATGACGAGCCCCGCATTATATACGACACTTTTTAAAGATTCTCAGCCGTTTAGCTGAATTCTCTTTCTGATTTTTTGGGAAATTCCCTTCCAATGTAAAAAATGTTTTTTTTTGAAAAACCTGCGCAAAAAATTGCTTTTATATTTTTATCGCGCAGGCGCACTTTTTAGAAAACGCATTACTCGAGCTAATTACTCGAGCTATTACTCGAGCTATTACTCGAGCTATTACTCGAGCTATTACTCGAGCTATTACTCGAGCTATTACTCGAGCTATTACTCGAGCTATTACTCGAGCTATTACTCGAGCTATTACTCGAGTAATTACTTACTCGCGAGGAACACACTCTATCTATTGCAGTTAATTGAAAAAAATCTATTCACTATTTAATATTAATATAAAAACAATATAGCTTTTTAGATCTATCATTGAATAACAAGTAAAAGTATCCAAATAAAGACCCACTTTCTGTATGGGAGAAATGGGGGAGATGCTCGGAAATGGATATAGGCTATAATCGGTATCACCTTTATGGATCTTCTCTAATCTCTTTCTTTATCTTTTTCTGCCTTTCACAATCACTTTCGTATCCATTCCAAAAGGGAAAGGCAAAGAAATTATGATTCTTTTTTTTTAGAGAGAAATGATGGGGAATAAGTGCGTCTTTCAATGTTCAATAATAAGTACATATTAGGATACTAGAAAGTTGCGAGAGTTCAAAATCAAGTTCGTAAAAAAATTTCAACAATAAAACGCAAATATTTTTGTTTCGATGAGAGATCCAAAATTTCCCTTTCGCCAAATTGGTTTCAATCTTTGTGATGCCCCGTTTTCCCCTCCATGAAACTCGTTTTTCTTCAAAATTTGTGACATTTTGTGCAAATCTAAGAGAATTTATGTTTTAAAGTTTAGAAATTGAGGTTATGAAATGAATTTGATCAAAAAAATGAACCTCATTGTGATTGTTTCGATTTTGAAATGAAATTTTGAAATTTTGCATGCCTTCGAAACTTCGAATTACCGTATTTCTTCGAATAGAAGACCGGGTAAAGAGTATCATAGCGTACTCCTGCGTAGCAGCCCTTTTTAAAATTTCTTTTCTGCATAAAAGCTTTCAATCAAGTGCTATAGAGCTGAAAAATGACTCAAAAATGCCACATGAGCTAACAGATTTTTGAGCCATTCAGCCCTATAGCACTTGATTGAAAGCTTTTATGCAGAAAAGAAATTTTAAAAAGGGCTGCTACGCAGGAGTACGCGATCATACTCTTTACCCGGTCTTCTATTCGAAGAAATATGGTCTTCAGTAAACAGGAGGATTTCATTTGAAATGGGAATTTAGATTTCTTTTATTTTAATTGAAATTTCATGGAGGAAGTCGTTAAATAGGGAATTGAGCCCACCAGGGTTCCAACGAAAAAAAAAAAGAAAATGGAGAAATGATGAAGATCCAATTTGGTTTCATTTTTCATGGCAGCTAGTGAGTTTAAAATTGAAAATTTTCATTTACCGTATTTTCTCTAATAGTAGCATCGCCCTGAGCATTCCCTGAGCATCGCCTAAATTCCTCGAAATTTCGAGAACCGCTTATCAGAACCTATCGATGTGGGGTCGGAAAATGTAGCTGACGATGAGATCTTGTGGGGGATTTGAGTGTTGAGCTTCTTGGAAAACTTTGGAAGCCGTAAAATAGTCATCAACTTGGCTGCAGTTGATGCATTACTATTAGAGAGAAAGCGGTTTATCAAATCGTTATTGAGCCAAGAGAAATCTGATATACAATATTTCTAGATTTTACAAATGCACAACTTATTCTAACAGCTTCAGATTCTTTATAAGAAGGCCTAAAGAGCTTTGTCTAACTTCAACTTCAACTTCAAAAAAACAATGCCAAAAGCAACTCAACTCTCTGACGGAAAACTAAAGAAAGTTTCACGCGCAGTGCCGAACGTCTAGACGCAAGTACGGTATCGGACAACAAGTACCGTAATACCAGCGGAAAATGTAGCTGACGATGAGATCTAGTGGGAGATTTGAGTGTTGAGCTTCCGTAAAAGCTTGGAAACCGTAAAATAGTCACCAACTCGGCTTGTGCAATACTATTAGAGAAAATACGGTAAGTTGTTTTTGAAGTGAATTTTGTAGCTTTGGTTTGCCATAAATGGTAATCAGTGAACGGGGAACTATTAGGAGAGTAAATTTGTGTTTTTTTTTATTGATTTGTCAATTTTGATTGCTTCTGTAAGCTTCACCTTTCAATGACGAGAAAATATCCAGACAAAGAAAGAATTTCATTAAGGGGAATTTTGAGAAGAAAAGCTGAAGAGAAGAAGAGAAGAGAAGAAGAAAAGCTGAAGAGCAATCGCTTGTAAAGATCGTTCTTTTGTCGAAAAAATAAAATAAGAGGCTCCGCCCCTTATTTTTTTTTGGGTCTTATAGAAAAAAAGTTTTCTTATAAAATAAAATTCAAATCAAATCAATGGGCTAAACAGCTGGATGGTCTAAATTTGCATTTTGTAATCTGTAACAACAATAGAGACAAAATACAGCAATCAAAAATGAAATATGCAAATCTTTCACTTAAACAAATTTTGCACAAAGCTCAAAAATCGAACATTTTTTACGAAAATGTTCTTTGATGAAATTTCTGATGAAAGAAAATGAAATGTGGCTTTTCTCTTGTCTTCTCATTTTTGCCATCAATCCATTTCAAAAACATAAAGCACTTATTTCCGAGAAGAGATTTTTCAATATTTTCGTGAAATATCATTTTTATTCATCACCGGAAACACTTTTTTTATCGATAAAGCACAAAAAAGAACACACAAATATCAAAGATCCACCTCCACAAATCCAAAGTCAGACCAGCTAGAAGCCGACCAGCTAGAAGCCGACCAGCTAGAAGCCGACCAGCTAGAAGCCGACCAGCTAGAAGCCGACCAGCTAGAAGCCGACCAGCTAGAAGCCGACCAGCTAGAAGCCGACCAGCTAGAAGCCGACCAGCTAGAAGCCGACCAGCTAGAAGCCGACCAGCTAGAAGCCGACCAGCTAGAAGCCGACCAGCTAGAAGCCGACCAGCTAGAAGCCGACCAGCTAGAAGCCAGACCAGCTAGAAGCCAGACCAGCTAGAAGCCGACCAGCTAGAAGCCGACCAGCTAGAAGCCAGACCAGCTAGAAGCCAGACCAGCTAGAAGCCAGACCAGCTAGAAGCCAGACCAGCTAGAAGCCAGACCAGCTAGAAGCCAGACCAGCTAGAAGCCAGACCAGCTAGAAGCCAGACCAGCTAGAAGCCAGACCAGCTAGAAGCCAGACCAGCTAGAAGCCAGACCAGCTAGAAGCCAGACCAGCTAGAAGCCAGACCAGCTAGAAGCCAGACCAGCTAGAAGCCAGACCAGCTAGAAGCCAGACCAGCTAGAAGCCAGACCAGCTAGAAGCCAGACCAGCTAGAAGCCAGACCAGCTAGAAGCCAGACCAGCTAGAAGCCAGACCAGCTAGAAGCCAGACCAGCTAGAAGCCAGACCAGCTAGAAGCCAGACCAGCTAGAAGCTAGCTGACCATGACCTGGCCTGACTTTTTGAAAAATTTTGATCAATGCAGATTCTAATGCATACAATTGACTTGTCAAGTCTAGTAGACGTAATAGCTTCTCAGCTTATCCTTCAAGTCATTGTTACCAAATGAAATCAGCTTCTCTCGTGAAGTTCAGCATCATATCGATTCATTCAAACTCATTTCCTGGGCGTTCAAAAAAAATCCCATTTTCTTGATCGTTCAAAATCACAAAAAAATTCCTTTAGTTTAAAGTGTGAACGCTCAAATCGAAAGATTGCCTAAAGATAAAGACTTTTGGAATTTCATAGAGATTTTTCGAGAGCAAAAAGATTTGCGATCAAAATGAAAAAAATGAGGAGTTTTCCCGTTAGAACTTTAAAAGGTAAATGGAAAAAGTAAAAGGTAGAAAGCACTTGTTGTTGGTGCTCAAAAGAATAATCAATGATTTGTGATATAGAAAAAGTTTATTATTGAACCGTAATTTGGACGAATACAAATCTATCCAGTTTTCTCATTAATCTCGACTCGTCTAACGATTATCTGTAGACTGGCCTCGATTTCCTTTCGAACTTCTTCGGGTACCCACACTAAGCGGGCTTTCATCTGAATTTTCACGAATTGATAAGAGATAAATTTTAAGAGGTGGCAGTGGGAGTGGGAGTGGGACAAATGCGACATTTTTTTGCAAACCCGACAAAAAGCGCACCGCGAAAAAGCGTTAAGTTGCGTAGTTTTTACCTTTTAGCTCAAATTTGACGTGTCAGCGAGGTCTGATTTGTTGAAATTCGGAATCTACGTATAGGATTCCCTTATAAGGAAAGATTTTGTAGATCTACGGCCTTTTCCAGCAAAAAAAAGGTGCGCTTTTTGCCGGATCCGCAAAAAAAAAGGCCACATTTGTTCCACCGCTGCAGAAGTTTAAAAAACTTTGTACTTTGTCGTACTGTGGTAGAAATTACAGGGACTTTACAGTATTCTTTGAGTTGAAAGAGCTTCTGTCTCATTTCTCAATCATGTTACCGTTTTCACTTTATCCTCAGCACTTTTCGATGGGTCCATCCAAAGGTCATCCATACGGGCAAAAACGTTCTAAAAAAAGTTAAACTTTATATAAAAATTGCCCAGCATATTTTGTTTCAATAATTTTAGCTTTACCCTAACAAACCCGTGCTGCATCAGATAATCCCAAAGAAGCGATCACGTTCAGCGATGAAGACATATCGTTGATAATATCAAAACTGGGGTTTATTAGGAAATAAAATGTAAAATATTGCTTGTTTTGCTTGATAGTTGAGGAAATGAGAGCTTGTTTCCCACCGAATTTTTATTTATAAGCTTTCATTCATTGAATTGCCTTTCCCTACAAATCCCTTCGCATTCATTTTTCTACTCCATCACGTGCTAATTAGCTTGATCCGATACTCGGCAAATGCTTGTTGAAGTGGAAGTTGGAGGATTGAGGCTTAACTGACCCGAATCCTTGGCAACTTATTGTTCTTTCAAACATTCAACCGTATCAAAAGGTTCATTATTCGAAAATCGCACATAAAACTGATCACAACCAAGAAATGAATACGCAATAAAGCAAGCAACAAAGATAGAAATAAATTAGATACAAATAAACATTTACTTAGCATGCAGCGGTACATTATCCAAGTCCGTGGTCTTCAAAGAAGCCTTGTGGAGTCTCTTCCTAAAAGTGAAAAATGTAGGGTAGAAATATCGATCAATCCATTCATTTAAAAAGATTAAGAACCTCTTGCAATAAGTCTTGAGCGGCGATCGCCTTCAGCACTTGTTTCTTGCTCGTTTCCTGCAAAAAAAACAATACTTACTAATTACTAAATTACAAACTCTTATTTTCCTATGGATCAAATTTAAACAGCGAACCTGTATTTCTCCGGCTAACAAGAACTCGTCCAATATGAAATAAGCCTTCTCGAAGTTGAAGATAATATCAAGCTCGCAGACCTGAAATAAAAAGCCATCGTTATCGCATCGTCATAAAAAATAAAGGAAACCATTCAGTTTATAAAAACAAACCGATCCAAAGTATTTGTCAAGAAGTTCGACGTATCGATGAATGATTTCTAAAGCCAGCAACTCGTTGTCACCCTCCTCGACGGCACAGCAAAAATAGAGCGACGCATACCTAAAAAGAATAGGTAATTAATTTTGTGCAATAAATTATGTTACGATCCAAAAAATAATTAAAATACTGATGATCAGCATGTTTAAATCACCAACTCACCTCTTATAAACGACCTTCAAGTCCTTGTACTCGAGAAAGGCGCACATCTTTGGCTTTCGGGAAAGGATTTGTGTGATCAGCTCGCGACAAATCTTCTTCTTTTGCTAAAAAAGTGAATATTAGTCACATAGATCAGTGTATATATTTTTACAATTTTTACGATTACGATTACTCAAAAACATAAAATCAAACCTTGTCCAAATACGAGAAGTACCACTTCTGAAGTCGAAGCTTTCCTTGTCGAGAGAAGAGCAGCATAAATTGCATCATTTTCTTCCTGAAATAAGAAATTATTAAATTTGACGAAAAAATGGCCAAAACGAACAAAGCTTTTTCGCGAAAATGACGGTTTTATAAATAAAGTTGCATAAAGTATCCAGTTGAACCATTGAAAAGCTATTTTAAAATCAAAACATTATTTATCGGCAAATAAAATTAATAATTTCAATCCTTTACTGCAACTTTACCTCCAGGTAATGCGCATTTTGTGCACGTATTCGTCTTCAATTCCTGCTATTTGTTGTCCTTTTCTCTACACACAGTATACTCTCCACATAGTGCAGCATAATGTACACGATATTTTAAGGGGAACACTGCAACAATAGACTCTTATTGTTTTGCAAGCTTGATGTTTATCCTCTTTTTAGTGCTTTTTAAATTTGCAAAAATTTTGCTGCTTTAGATGAGGAATCCACTGTGGAGGATACTCGTGCTGGCCACGTGTCTCTTCTTGGTGTCAGCCTTCGATGACGATGAATTGGTTGGTTTTTGATTACGCTTCATTTGATATTTAATATATTTAGGCTATCGAAGTGGACGAAGGAATGGATGAGGAAGAGACGATTTCGGGATTAGGTAATCGCTTTCGTTTTTCTTCAAAACTATTTACTTGTTTAGCGAAAGCTGGCGTATCTATCGATGAATTGAGCAAAATCCGGACTACATCCAGTTCGGCCGTCCGAGAAATCCGACATCACCCGGGAGAGGAATTCACTGATGAAGTGAAGAAACCGATTGTGTAAGTATCAAACTTTTTCTTATTGAAAGTGACTTTATTGAGAGTGTAAAACATTTTTTTAGAACTCCCAATGACGTCCAAGCCGAGGAATGGTACCAACAAGCTTTGCGATTTCTGGAGAAAGGACGCCCACAGGTAACTTACTCCTTTTTACTGATACAAATTTGATTTTAGGGAATTGAGGCGAGAAAGGCGGCATATCGATTACTTGAAGAAGCCAAAGAATATGGACATCGAGACAGCATGAAATTAATGGGTTCGTTGCTTGTTAATTTCCAATTAAACTTTTAAATCGTAATCAGCGAAGACCATTTAACTTTAGCATTTGCTCATCTATTCGGGGATCGGGTACGTTGGTCAATTGATGAATCAAAACGTTTATTCGAGGAATTAGCACAAACTGGTAAGTTCCTTTTAATTTAAAGAATTTGATTAAAGAGTTCATTGATCGGTACGGACTTATGCGTTTAGGCTCTCCCGATGCCCAACTTGGACTCGGCTTCATGCATGCTACGGCGGTTGGGATGACAAAGAGTGATCAAGCAAAAGCCCTCATCTACTACACGGTTTTAAATTTGAAAATAGGCACATTTATATTGATATTATAGTTTGCGGCTCTTGGTGGACAGGTTAGTTTTGGTGGATCAACGGTGTTTTTGGCGATGTTTTTGCACATATCCTCGAGCATTTCCCCTCGTAGACTTTGTCTTTTTTGTGTAATTAATGGAGAAATTATTTTGGTTGTTTTGTCTTTACTAACCGATAAAATTTAGCCTCTCGCACAGATGGCCGTCGGATATCGCTATTTGTATGGAATCGGTGTTCCACAAAACTGCGAACAAGCGTTGACATATTATCAGAAGGTGGCAAAGAAGGTTTGGAAATGTTATTATTTATTTAAAATTAATCTCTTAGGTGGCGGATGCAGTGAAGTTCTCGACAAGTCCATCCATTCAACGATTACGTCTTACTGATGAATTGGTTTGTGTTAAGATTTGATACAATAAAACTTACAAAATAATATCTTTATAGGAAGGATCGGTGAGTGCCTCCGGAGGCCCGATGGACCAAAACCTCATCGAGTATTACAAATTTTTGGCGGACAAAGGTGATGTCGCTGCTCAGGTACAAATATGATAATCTTACCATTCAACTTTGCAAGTTCAGGTTGGACTCGGACAACTATTTCTCACTGGTAGTAAAGGCGTTGAACAAGATTTTGATGAAGCTCACAAGTATCGTTTGGCTTTAATTAGTTCATACATTTTTTTTCCGGTTTTTCACAATTGCCGCTGAAGCAGGGAATGCGGCAGCCTTTGCGTATTTAGGCAAGATGTATCTAGATGGAACACAGGTAACGGACTGCTTTTTGTGTTTCTACTTTTGTTTTTGTTTTTAGGCAACGCCACAAGACAATGCAACTGCTTTCCAGTTTTTCTTGAAGAGCACTGATAAGGTACAAATTTCAAGGGTTTATTACGAACCTTGTTTAGAACAATCAAATTGGACAAGCCGGCTTGGGGATCATGTACTTACAAGGACGAGGTGTTCCGAAGGTTCGTAATTTTCTCATGTGATTTTTAATATTTTAATATTGTAGAACTACGAAAAGGCCCTTCGATTGTTCAGCCTTGCTGCAGAACAAGGATGGGTTGACGGACAACTTTATCTTGGGCTCATGTTTTACAGTAAGTAACTTTCTGTTTTTGAAAACTATATACCTCTTAGATGGACTTGGTGTGAAGAGAGATTTCAAGCAGGCGCTCAAATATTTCCAAATGGCGAGTCAAGGAGGACACGTGCTGGCTTACTACAATTTGGCTCAGATGCATTCCACAGGTAGACCTTTGAATGATGTTAATTAATTCAAAATTCTTTTAGGAACGGGTGCTATTCGCTCTTGTAACACGGCTGTGGAGCTATACAAAACGGTGGCTGAGAGGGGACGATGGACAGAGAAATTGATGCAATCATATCAAGCGTATAAGGTAAATTAATGAATTGGATTAAAAATAAGCCGGTTTTAGGATGGCCGCACTGATGAAGCAGCTCTGAAGTATCTCTTCATGGCCGAACTTGGATACGAACATGCGCAGACGAATTTTGCATTCATTCTTGACAGAGGTTGGTGACTTTTCAACAGTTATGCTGTGACTTTGTGAAACTACATTTTGAGTTTTCAGGTGAAGTTTCGGCGCTATTCCCAGAGGAGAAACATGAAGTTCTCGAAAGAGCTCTTGTTTCATGGCAACGTGCAGCGAATCAAGTAGTCCTAAAGGTTTTGTTCTAACTTTTCTTTCCATTTAGGAATATCCGGTGGCTCGAGTTAAGCTTGGCGACTATCATTATTATGGATGGGGAACGGAACCGGATTACGAATTGGTAACATTTTGTTTTTTTATACACTTAAACGGAAATTTAGGCTGCGGCTCAATATCGACTCGCAGCTGATCGACACAGCACCGCTCAGGCTATGTTCAATCTCGGATACATGCACGAGAATGGACTAGGAATTACGAAGGTAAGTTTGTAATGTTAAGATTGACATTTTTCCGGTTAAAGCATTTTGCTAAAATTCTGTCGCTTAGGATATCCACTTGGCCAAGCGATTCTACGACCAGGCGGCTGAACAATCGCCTGATGCCTTAGCTCCTGTCTACCTGGCCCTCATGAAGCTCGGCTTCAAATTCATCATTGAATATATCAATCAAGTAAGACCAATCTTTTGATCCACATTTACTTTGCATTTCTTTTTAGAATCAGTTGGTCAAATTCTTGGAGGAGTCGATCGGCGAAAATTGGGATCTCTACGCGATGACGATTGCCGTCGGAGTGTTGATAGCTGGTGCTTTTGCGATACACCGAAGGATTCGAGGACATTAAAAGAAGTTTTATTGTATCATAGCCTATTCTCATAGTTTCTTTTTCAATACATATTCGTATTTTTCTTGCCTTACTTTTTATCGTTTGGTTTTTCGTATACATTTGTTCGTTTCAATGTGAGTTATTTTCGGGTGTTTTTTTTGGATCATTCCTTGTCACTTTTATGTGTTGTTATGATTTAAAATGTATTGGATTTGAGACTGTTTTCGTTATTTTGCTTGCGTTTATTTATGCCAAAATGCCTGATAAAAGTGCAATATATGGAAAATTTTTTAATGAATGAACTTGCTAGGTTTTATAACCTAAAAATAATTTGAACTTAAAGCTTGAACAAGATAATTTATGGGAGTCGCAGGGAAACACAGAGATCTCTACAAAATATTTTTCAGAATGACGACACTTCGAGCTTTCACGCAGATTCGCTTCAACACAGTCAATTTCTTTCAGCGACGTGAGTAAACTTGTAAACTCCCAAATTTTATCAATTAAACTTTAAAAACTAGTTTTTTAGGAACACAACAAGAATTGTGGAAGACGATTCGCTCGGTGTCGAAATCGGGAGAGAAAAAAGGACGTCGATCAACTCGTCAGCCAGAAAGACCGCTGCATAGATTCTACAGAATTGGAGCCGGTAAGTAGTTTAAATGGTTTAGAACTTTTTATTATGGCTTTTTTCAATTTCTTTTAGGACCACTCCGCGTGCAATTCCCCGGCTTAAATGCTCCATTAGAGGTGAAAGAAGAGCAACCGATGAAAATCATTGAACAAACTCCAGAAGAAATGAAGGTAATAAATTTTTTCATCTTTTATTTATTTTATTTAAAACAATCGTAGGACGGTCAACTGGCAATCAGAAAGCAACTCGAGGAAAGAGGGTTGGTAAAAATTTTCTGTATTTAAAATGTTAGTTTTTAGAAAAACAAAGAAACGCAACAAGGAAAAGCTACATCCACTCGAAAGAGGATTTTCAGGTGAATACCCGAAAACTAGTTTGTGAAACGCAAGTATTTTTAGGAAATCAAGTTGTTGGTCAAAAGCTTGGCCCACCTCCAAATGTTGAAGGAGCAAACCTTGAGAATTTTCAATCCTACTGCTTGGAGGTAAATATTACGAAACTCAAGTTACTTCGAACTTTGTTTTGCAACTCAAAATACATTTCGCTTGCTCTGCTCTAATTAATATGTACCCATCGATTTTTTTAAGCAATCTTCATCTAGATTAAACGAACCTCAAATATGACGGGAGTCTTCGGACGTGTTCATACGATGTCTGCATTGGTTATAACGGGAAATGGACAAGGATTGGCCGGTTATGCTGTGGGTTTTTGATCATAAAAGATAAATGTTTTAATGTAGCGTTAACCTTCAATGCTGTTTTTGTATAAAATGTTTTTAGGTTGGAAAGGCCCCGTTACATCGTACTTCAGTTGCCATCATTAAAGCTATGGGAATGGCCTCGAGAAGGCTTTTTTTTGTGGAGCTACTGGAAAACCGCACAATTTATCAGGTTTTGATAAATTTGTGCTTTAAACTATTTATCTTTAGGATTTTTACGCCGAGTGTCGAAACACACGCGTTTTTGCTCAACGACGACCACCGGGCTTTGGGATTGTTTGCCATCCACGATTGATCAGGATATGTGAGGTGATTTATGTGTGATAAAAATACTCTCCAAAAAAGGAATCTCTTGGCGATGTGTCGATTTACATAGGTTATTTTAGGTCATCGGCATTAAGGACATTTACGTGAAAGTTGAGGGTTCAACAACGAATTATTTGGCGCTAACTCATGCTTTTATCACGGGACTTCTCAATCAAGTGATTTTTTTCGAAGTTTTTATTATACTTTTCTTTTTAGGAAACTCATCAACAACTTGCTGATCGTAAAGGATTGCATGTGGTGGAGATGGATCCCAATCGGCATTTTCTTCCACAAAAGGTTAGTAATTGTTGATGCAAGCGTGGAACTTTCTTTTGCGAATCTTTTTATCCCGCTAATAAGACAATTTAGGTGGCGTCACCGATGCAAAGTGCCGTTAAAGCCGAAGATGAACTGACTGAGATGGATGTGGGTTTTGCTTTTATAAAAGGCCGGCTTGATACATGGTTTAGTTTTTAAAAATCTTGCCCTTTAGCGTTTGAATTTGGACGATTTCTACGGAGAAGGGCGATATCCGCTGAAAAAACAAAAGCCACCTCCATTCTACGCGAATCTACCGGAACACCTTGAAGCCGAATGGCGGAAACATCCATTCAGAAATCAGAAAGATGTAAGTTTTTTTCGTTTTTTTTTCATATTGGCTTTGTGAAGGTGATGGTTCGTTTGTTAGCTGATGGAATGGTGCCTCGCTGGACCCGAACGGCCCGACGAGAAGTTGCTGAGGTGGGGTTTCATTTTAGCTTTTATCAAAACTATTTTCGTTCCTTCAATGGGTACATTAGATAAAAATTATTCCATTATAATACATGCAGGTTACATTTTAGGAGAAATCTCGATTGATGGAACAAGGGGTGATTCCCATTCCAACAGGGATCGGATTGTCACGCATAATTCCAAAGAAGGAAGGGAATTGATTGATCGATCGATAGTTTTCGTGTATATTTTAGAGTATCTTTGTTCTTTCATTGTTATGTTTTTCATTTTGTTTAGGATAAAATTTATTCTGAAAGACATTAATGGGTACCCGTAGCTGATGATGGACGCAAAGGTTGCTTTTTAGATTGCCAGTGAGTTTAAGTTTGTTTAGTAGTTTCCTTTCCAACTTCTACATCTTTTGGTGGATTGTCTGGTTTTTCCTTTTGTTCGTCGATTTCATGTTCAGTTTCACTCTCTTCATCTTCGCTTCCTTCACCAATTGTCTCGAGCGTTTGCTTTAGAGATGCTAATGATGAGGCTCTCTGAAAATTTTCTTGTTAACCTTTAGATTCTAACTAGAAGTTAGCATATTTGTCTATGTGGTCAAAAATATTCAAGTAGACATGCAGTATGACATAATAGTATGACATGTCCAGTTTCCGCAATAAAACTTTTTTTGCGAACCGATTTTATTCGGGTTTTTCTAAAAAATCCGTCTCATTTCTCTATTTTTTGGAGAAAATCCGAACAAAATCGGTCCAGAGGTTTGTGAGAAAAAAATCATTTAGTGCGAAAAAAACAACGACTACGCGACGCTCCTCTGAGCATGTAATACTATTAGGAAAAATACGGTATCAAAAGATAACTAATTTTCCCAACTTACACTTCTCCTTTGAAGTTTCTCCTCAGGATCGTTGTCACTTCTTGTTAAATCACCCGAATTTTTCCTCGACGACGGACTTGAGCCCGACTTTGACGAGTCAAAACGCGGTGGGAATTCAATATCAGCTTCTCTGAAATAAATTAGCATTCAAACTCAAAGTTTCTCTTTTTACATTGCATTCACTGATGGATGGAGTTGCTTCTGGGTTGTTCGTCGTCTCTCTTCTGGTATGATGAACATTAAAATGATTGGGAGGAATAAAAGACCGTGTAGCATACTAAAACTACTTGTAAGAATTTTTTCAGCATTTCTTTTACCTGAATGAAATGACAAGGAAAACGGTTTTGAAGAAGATTTGAACAATGTACGAATCGACTAAAGTGAGCACACAAATGCCGAGAATTGTCGAGGATGCACCCTGGAAATGTGAGTTTGGGTAGAGAACCATTTGAATTCATCAAATAAAGTACAAATATAGTAGTAGACTGTGTTGTTGGGATTATGGTAGCTTTTCCTAGTTTAAACATTCACCAGAAACACCGGCCATCCAAGCGCCTCAAGGGATTCGACCGCTCGCTCGTGTGCTGTACCGTAAGACTGAAAGTTTGTTAAGACTATAGATTGTTAAGTGCTGATAGATGTTTACAAAAACTCATTCCAACCTGTGAATACGCATAGGCGATATGTGCCGAGAGATCGACCGCGAATCCAACACACATAATCACGGTGATCACCGAAACTGAATCGAGATTCACTCCCCAGAAAGTCATGTAGCCAAGAACACCTAAAGAAAAGTTACTAATGGCCTTTTGAATAGATCATTTGATTATCAGAAAAGTCCATAAATTAGCATTTTCATTTCTTTTCTTAATCACTCACCAATATTTATACTCCCAATTGCCAAAACCACAGCCAGCGCTGCCCTCCAATCAGGAATCATGATCACTGTCACAATGAACATCGACAATAAACCCATCACGAAATTTCTCGTCAATGAGGGTTTCAATTCGAGGTACTAAATTGAATTGACACTAATTTCTCTATTCGTTAACCTGATCCGCAAATGGATAGTACTCATGGAAAGTGGTGACGTTGAATTTGACAAATTGAGCCGCAATTGAACGCATCAATTTACAGCTGTTCGTGTGATCGACCGGGGTGTTGTAGTGACGGAGACCGACTTGGAAGCGGAAGGCTTTCAATGTGTATTGATCCTATTCAAGGTATTAAATGATCTTTCAAAAGCGTAAGTGTGCCCGAGACGATGTATTTACACGAGCACAAAGTACGGACTAGGTTCAGACAGGCAACTCACCGCTCCGGCTCCCCAAACCATATCCATTTCCCAGAGCCGTCTCCCACCGGCAATTAACACCCATTCTTTGCATCGCTTGTACCATTCACTTTTACTAAAACCCTTCACGTATTCAGTTACTGTAAATACTCTAATAGAACGCCACGCTCTCGTACAATCGCGTAGTCTAACTTCTTTTTAGGAAATCATTTTTTCTCAGCTCCTAGATTTTTCCTAACTACACTTTTAATACCAAAAAATAGTAGATTTCAAGGGCTATCCTTTGATACCCAAGCGCACACTGTAGCACAAAGCAGCACGGAGAATGGGACGTTCAAAGTTAGACTACGTAACTGTACACCGGTCATTATCGGGGTGGCGTTCTATTAGAGTATTTACGGTAATTGGTATCCCTTTACTTTGTCGGTTTTTCGATATGATTTTCTTCTTGTTGTTCCCTCAAATATCTTTCATATGCTGTCAACCAGAGCATTGTCGCATTGTGTCCCATTGTGTACTCGGTGTGCTCGAATGAGCGGACTAGGGATGAGAATTCGGCTCTAGAAATTGGGTAAGTAGAATGAGAGGTCCAGTCGTTTCTCAATTAGTACCTTTCAGCCGGATCCGAGAAATCAGGCGGCTCCGAGACGATAACTTGCATTTGAAGACCTGCAATAAGATTTCGAAAATCGTTTTCAAAATTTGAAACAAACCCTCATTCCAAAATGTCTCATCGATCAATTTGTAGAAGTTGCTCAAGTAGAAACTATCTCGAACAAGGAACCTTGGGCTGAAATCGATGATGTTAGAAGAGATTTCAGCGAATTCAGCGAATATCAAGTTAAAGTATAGAATTCAAAGAAGAACAAGCCAAGAACAAGTATACAAGTCAATCCTCACCTCAATCCTTCTCGTATCTGACAACATCCAAGAATGGCGAAACCGAGGTAAATACAGAAAATCGCTAGCGCACACCACTTAAACAAATTTCTATATCGATTATCGAGTCGATTCATTTCTCTTACTTGAGTGGTTTTCTCGAGAATGAACGGCCCAATGATTTCTTTGAATAAGCGATTCACCATCGTGTCCTCTCGTTTGATTCCCTCGATATCCTGAAGAAAAATTTGCAATTTAAGCTAATCAGATTGATAATTTATCTTTTGCGTTTTACTGTACTTTTAAAATCATTTAAATTCTTTGACTCACACTCTCATGATGTTCCAATTTTGTCTCCAATTTCCTCAACGCTCCATTCACTTTCCCGATCCATCCTTTTTCTTCAGTTTTCCCTTCTTCATCTGTATGCAATTTGATGGAAACTTTCTTTTTAAACGAAGCCTTTCGAGACACTGATCCAGCGAGGAAATGAAGTTTCCAATTTGCATCTAAACAAAGAGATTTGATGATGAAAGTAACAAAATAAAAGCTTTTATTTCTACCAACCAGCTTGCGATGGTTCGAGAGCTTTCGTGAAGAAAAGTGAATGTTTCCCTTGGTCTTCCATTTCGGCTGAATAGGCTAAGATGGGTGAGAAAAATCTGCAATAATTTTAGTCTTTAAACGATCCATTTTACTCACGTCAATTGATAGATGTATGTGAAAATGACTTGAACACACGTGTACAAACAGAACATTCGAACACCCGGCAGAGGGGTGAACATTCCGATGGCGAAGGTTGTCTAGAAAAAGGGTACTTAAAATAATCTCAAAATCCTTACAATATCAGTGACTGAAGTTATTGTGATGGCCACAGCGGCTTCTTGCAGTGTTTCAGCCATTCGTCTTGCTGGACTCAATTCGGGATTTGTGCGATGCCAGACAGCCACCATAATGAACATATCATCGATGCCGATAGCTAAGGATAATGTTATTAGATTAAAGCCAAACAAATTCTCACCTAGCACAAGAAACGGGGATACGTTGACGATGGCATTATAGAGAGCGCCAAACCAGAGGACAAGGCCGAACGAGGTGGCGACAGCCATCAATGGACACATCAGGCCTAGGAAAAGGGGTAATTGCGAATCCCTGGTCTTACTAGAGTGTGTTCCTCGCGAGTAAGTAAATTTACTCGAGTAAACGAGATTAATCGACGTTTTTGGTCGAAAAACTACGAGTCCTCCTCTTTACACGTCGAGTAAATTGAATATCTTTACATTAGAAGGGAATTTGCCACCAAATCAGTTAAACGGCTGAATATTTAAAAAAAGAGTCGTATATCATCTGGCGCTCTTAAAAAAACGCCCCAAAAACGCCCTTTTTCGCGCCAATTTTGGGGTAGGCTAGTTTCCGCAACTTTTTTTGCGCAACTAGGTTTTTTTTTGCGCAACTCGCCATAACTTTCTTCTAAGTGGGCCAATATTTATGATTTTAGTGTCATTTTGTAGATCTCAATAAGTGCAACAAAATGACACCAAAATCATAAAGATTGGCCGAATTAGAAGAAAGTTATGGCGAGTTGCGCAAATGACCCTGTTGCGCAAAAAAAGTTGCGGAAACTAGCCTACCCGGGGTATACCCCCAATTTTTTGCGAAAAGTATGATAAAGGGAATGGCCAGAGGTGACCATGACCGTTTGGGATAAGTGATACCTCATTCGATAGATCTCATGATAAATATTGATGTTCTATTACATACAAAAAGATTATTCAAAAATATTGATTCAGTAAAAAGTTGCAGCTAAAGTCAAGGAGGGTCAAAAACATCCTTTTTGCTCCTTGTCGGCCCCAGCTCCTTTCTCGTTGTCGAGTTACTTTTCGCAGCTAAATTTTTTAGTCATCAATATTTATCATGAGATCTATCGAATGTGGTATCACACATCCCAAACGGTCACGGTCACTTCTGGCCATTCCCTTGTAAGTTTGCGTTTTAAAAAAACGCATTGCTCGTGAGGAACACAATCTAGGTTTTAAATTTGACAGTTCTACTGTTGAATTGACATTAATTTACCTGCAAAAGCGACGATCGGTTTACTTCTGACCCAATCGATCGCCAGCACTCCATTTTCGTGTCGAATCAGCACAATGGAGACCGAATAACAAAAAATGATCAGAATTGTGCAAGTGCCTAAAAAAATGGATTAAGATCTGGAAATTCTTTTTGCGCTAACCGATAAATTTTGGAGTGAGTGCATCAGCGACATCTTGTAGACCCTCAGGAAGAGATTCATTGTGGAACATGCCGATGTCAAGGAGTTCTAAAAAAGGAATTATAGCCAATAAATTCTATAGACTTTGGGCACAACTACAAGGTTCAATAAATGCAAATGGCTTATCAACTACAACAATTTGCAGTGACAATCATTCTGATAGAGTAATCTGAAATGAATCAAGATCGATCAAATCCCAACCTGATGGTGGATTTCGTTTACTCGTAAGGTAGTCGGTGAGCTTTTTTCTCCACAAGTAACTGATGTTCCCAATCTGTAATGGATGGTTTAGATCTTTGATTATCATTGGATAAACCTTTTCCTCTCGAGTGTTATAAGTGAGACGAATGGCTTTCGCGTAATCGAAATGACCTTCCTCGTCTAAAAAATGAGTAAAGTAAAGTAAAATCATTATAAAAGGAAACCTTTGAGATGTGGGCCACCGACAAGTGCACCGAAATAGATTGGCTCTGTTCCTTTCCAACCAATCGGATACGTGATATTCACCTAAACACAGCTAGGATACAAAAAAGGAGTTTGGCCAGTAATTTCATCAAACACTTACTTCTTTCGTGATGATATCGTGAGCGAATTCAGCGATCGCTGCTGAGAAATTTCCCCATCTCGATTTTGGCATTAACATTGTGAGGTGATCGTTGAAGAAGCATTTCCACTCAAATCGCATGCACAAATCAATGTAACCGGCCTGAATAAAGTGAAAAATTGAGTGAATTGAGCCGATCTTTCTTTTACCTCATATTTCTTCCCATCAATATTGATTGGAATGGTGAGATTGTGAATGATGTAATCATTAACCCTTGCCACTTCATCCAAATAGCGAAGACTCAAAATGTTCGGTCGACCCCACTCATCGATCACATTGCCGGCAACTGAAATCGAAAAAATAGAAACATATAGAACATATCGAGTACTAAAGCTATATTAGATTACAGTCGTTGCTTTTGTTGACTTATCTAGATGAATTCTTAACCTCTATAATCCTCACCTATCACATCAACGAATCCTTTCAAGTCGTAGCTCTTCCCTGGCCAAAATCTTTCCTCATCAAGCGGCCAATTTTGAGATAAAATCTAGAGAAAAGTCTACTATTTCACTAGCTAAAGTTTGCATAAATATCTATTTTCTATCTTGAACTCTTAAAAGTCTTTCATTATAAAAACCCACAGCTCTTTCTTTTCTCCATGGTGCTCCTTCAGGTGAAAAGACGTACTCTGGATCATTTGTCGTCTAAAGTTTAAAATTTCAAAGCATATCTATATCTAAAAGATCTTCAAAAGACTATCACATACTTGTTTTTCAATCCATATCAATCCAATTGATGAAATACATGTGAAAATGATTGAAGCGATCAACAATGGTAAGCGGTAACGATGACAAATCAAACCGAAACGAAAAAAGATCTAAAGGAAGGAAATGTGAGTGAAAATGATTTTGATCTTTTAAGGGAGTGGGACAAATGCGACCTTTTTTTTGCGCACCTGGACATTTGCGCACCTTTTTTTCCGCACTTAGCCCATTAGCGCACCTTTTTTCGCGTTTTAAAAAAGCTCTAAAAGCTAATATTCCCAAACTGGTATTTGGGGTAGAATCGAATTTTGATATATCAGGCTTGTGGAAACAAACGGACGGGTTATACAAAGGAAAATCGACAATTTTCTGTAATTTGATCTAGCCGTTTTGTCTTCAAATTGGTCCACAGCTCTGTATGCTCCGCCCTAAACCTGCACTTGGGCGGCTTTTAACGCGAGGTCGGGCTAAGTGCGGAAACAAGGTGCGCAAATGTCCGGGTGCGCAAAAAAAAGGTCGCATTTGTCCTACTCTCTCTTTTAAACCTGATGAATGTGATCATCGATCCACGTACTTGCACCCATGCATAGAATTTGATGAAAAGAGCTGAAATAAGAAAAGATAACAGTAACTTAACAATAAAAATATTTGTAAAATGAAAAACAAAAAGAGACAGATGATGAAACACCGTGGAAATCAATGTCGGGGTGATATTGTTGAATGAAAAAGAAAGGAAAAGAGATAAAAGCCTGGGGAGATCTTTTTAAGACTTGAAGGGAAACTGAAACGAGCTTTCCCCCCATCATCCACCAGATCTGCATTTTGAACTCTTTGCTGGATCCATCTCAAAGATCTTTCATTTTAAAAGACTCAGTTGTGCGTTCTTTTAGGGTTTAAAACCTACCGTAAATACTGTAATAGAACCCCACTCCCATAATGACGGTGCGGAGTGTTGCGTAGTCTAGCTTTGAACGAGTTTTTCTCAACACTGGTTTATGCTACAATGCGCGCTTAGGTATCAAAAAATAGCCCTGAATTTCAGCTATTTTTTGATACCAAAACGCATTTTTGAAAGTACGGGTGCTTTGAAAAAAATGAAATACTAAAAAACTTTTGCGACTACGCGACTGTACAAGGGGGTGGGGTACTATTACAGTATTTACGGTAGGTAAACATTTTTCAGCTAAAGCTGGGAATAGGAAAACTTTTGCTAATTCTAAAGAAAACCAAAACCCCATCAGTTTTCTGAAAGAACAATTCGATCAATAAATCAGAATAGTTTAAAAACGAATCAAAGATGGGTGGGAAAGTGGTATTTCCAAAAAAAAATCGGCATTTGAAGAGGTGTGGTCACCCTTTCGTTTCATGTTTGGGAATATGCTAGGAATTTCATTTTAAAAGAGATTTTAGTCTGGCAAAAGAGAAAAAGAGTTTTCGTCTGTTTATTGAAAATAGTAAAAATTTTGGGCACCGATCAGATTTTAGTAAAGTGTGGGAGAAAAAGCAAAAGCAAACAAAACAAGTAAGCAAAGCTCGAACTTTGAAAGCAAATTTGCTCGAAAATGAGAAAAGTTTAAATCAAAAACCAACTCATATGTTGATGCAATGAAAAACCTCTGAAAGAGTATCAATAAAATGATTGTCCAATAAATTGAATAGAAAAAGTGTGCATGTAGATATCTCAAGTAAAAAGGAGAATGACTTGAGAAGGATGAGAAGAGACCGGTTTTTTTTCTCTTTGAGCCTCGGGGTGAGATCAAAGAAAAATGAGAAAATGGAGACTGAATGAGTCACTGTTTCTTTATTGTTGAAAAAAATGGTGAAAGAGCTAAAAAAACAGTGGATTGAGGCCAGTTTGAAGAGTTGATCCAAAAAGAGTTAATCCACGAAAGTTTCCAAAAAGTTCTATTCATATTTCTACGAAGGGAATGACCCCAACCTGAAGTTTAGGATCGCGGGGGTGGGACAAATGCGACATTTTTTTTTGCGCACCTGGACATTTGCGCACCTTTTTTTTTGCTGGAAAAGGCCTTAGGCAAGGCCATAGAGCTTCGAAAATATTTCCATATAAGGGAATCGTATGCGTCGATTCCGAATTTCAACAAATCAGACCTCGCTGACACGTCAAATTTGGGCTAAAAGGCAAAAACTGCGGAAAAGCGTTAAGTTGCGTAGTTTTTGCCTTTTAGCCCAAATTTGACGTGTCAGCGAGGTCTGATTTGTCGAAATTCGGAATCTACGCATACGATTCCCTTATGTAGAAATATTTTCGAAGCTCTACGGCCTTGCCTAAGCCCTTTTCCAGCAAAAAAAAGGTGCGCAAATGTCCAGGTGCGCAAAAAAATGTCGCATTTGTCCCAGCCCCGGAATCGCTTCGCGAGACGGCGGATCTTATAGAATCGACCATGGTGATCACGAATCCGTAAAAAAATTTGTGTCTCCTGCAGCGCAGTCGGTTAAAGGCCGGCATCCAAAGCTAGAGCTCTTTTTTAAAAAAGCAACAATTTTATAAGGTCCATCCCAAAACAGCGCCAATGCAAAACAGAGTTTTTTCTTTTATTGTAAAATTGTACGATTCATTTTTTATTAGCAGCTTTTAATTTAGATAACTTATTCAAAAACAATATGACCAACAATTAAACGATAACATAGCATAAAAAACACCAAAATAACATAAAATTAATAATCCAAGAGACTCTGAAAAATCATAACACTAGCGATGATGAACATAAACGGCTAGAGCTTCCAAGTGATCCATAGTAGAAAAAGAATTCTGTTTTTTACTCAACACAGCTAATTTACGATTCAGATGCGACTTACGAGTATGAGGATTTTGCGGATTTAATTGTGCCAACGTTTTTTTCTTGTAGTTCAGTCATTAATTGTGTTTTCTCGCACAACTCCTCAACTTCCAACAATTTGGCCGCAACAAATTGAGATGCAGCCTTAGAAGATATACCTTTAAATTATCAAATAACAACAAAGAAATAAATCTATAGCCTTTAGCTTTGCATTATCAGACTCTCGTGAAGAGTTTCCAATTTGCTCATTCTTCGTAATTCAGTCGAACGGACTCCACATTTCAATTGGATACCACGGAAAAACGTAACGACCATATGCCTCCACATGATCGACATAATTCTTCTGGAAAAAGTCGGATAAAACTAAATGTACTTATTCCCATCATATACAAGAAGATTCACTCATCAAATGATTTTTCCGACTTGGAAGAGCAACCAGAACATCATTGACAAAATTATGAAAATAAGTCTTGACATCGATAATGTAATTGGAATTTTTATTATATTTTGGAATGCAATTTGGTTCTGCGATTGGACATTTGCTTTCCCGCCTGCAGGATTCAAATAAGTCTTCGCTTTCTACTTGGCAATTCTACAGCCGATGTTAGTTTTGGGAAGCGGTGACCATATGGGGCAGACAACGGATTGGTTACCGGATGACCCAAAATGGACGCTTCCGATTGGACGGATGAAAAAAAGGAAGATATCTGCTAGCACAGTATCCGAGATCGAGTGCGATTGTCTCGCGCACAGGGAAACACACAGTACACAAAAGAGGATCGTATGCCAGATCGAGTGCGATTGTGCTCGCGAACAGGGAACACACAGTACACAAAAAGAGGATCGCTGTGTGTTCCCTGTTCGCGAGTACAATCGCACTCGATCTGGCATATTGTGTTAGCAGATATCTTTCTTTTTTCGCCCATCCAATCGGAAGCGTCCATTTTGGGTCATCCGGTAACCAATCCGTTGTCTGCCCCATGTGGTCACCGCTTCCCAAAACTAACTTCGGCTGTAGAATTGGCAAACCCAGTTCCGGCTCATTTTGGCCACAATGGTGGGTTCTCCGCCGGTCGAAATGGGATCCCAAGTGCCTGTAAAAGGGTGCTGAAGGGAGCCGCTGTGAATTTTTGGATTCATCCCAAGGATTTCGGTCCGCAGGGGCAGCAAAAACTCATGAGACGACGCTACAGGCTCAGGTCCAAAAGAAAAATGCACTTCGGGTCAAGTTTTAAAAATATTTCTGGTGGCTCAAGGTAGTAGGTATGGTGTGAAAATGATTTTCCTGGGATCGGGAAATTTGGGTGTTTTTTCATGATTTTTACCATATCACGAGTCTCTCTATGCAAGAAATTTTTGGCCACCATGGTCACCACCACTTGATCATCTACCTGTTTTGTCTGGTCTTGATCATCCACCTGTTTTTTGCTTTCTGGTGGTAAGTGGTCGTGCTTTTTTTATTATTGGAAGACTACCGGTTGCTTTGTTTTGATGGGGGCTCGACCATAAAATTTCGTCTTTGAACACCTAAAAAGAAACAGAACTGGGTATTCCAAGATAACTTTTACTTCCTTACATAAAGCTGACAAAATATACCTTAACCTCCACGTTTGTCCTTTTAAAACAGGCATCAACGTTTCCTTACCTATAACACAAAAGTACACCGCATTTAAGTGCTTTGTCCTTTCTATTTTCGGATCCATTTGTGTCACAAATCATTGACCGTCCTTTTTGGTTCGTCATTTTACCTAGACAAATGAATTAATAATTAACCAACCAAAAAGCTGGTAAAACCATGTTAACAAATCATATTACCATAAAGTTGACAAAATATACCTTAACCTCCATGTTTGTCCTTTTAAAACAGGCGTTTCGTTCAATTTCTGGTTGTGATTGATCCAACGTTTCGTTCGATTTCTGGTTGTGACTGATTACCTGCAAAATGAAAATGCTAAATGGCTAGACGAACCAAGTATTAAGTTACACATACATAAAGCTGATAAAATATACCTCAAAACGTCACGTCGGTTCGTGATGATACGCGACGATAGTGAGCATGCGACAACGCCTCACTCGGTTTCAGATTGCTCTGTTACCTGCAAAAATAAAAAGTTAGTAAAAATGTTTAAAAAAACAGGCCGCAAAAGGAAAAAGTTTAGTGTTTTTGGTTAAGAGCGCCCAAAGAGCGCTTAAAAGTGGACCCTAAAAACTTTCAAGCCAAATTTCTAGCGTTTCTAGGGATTTTGGCAAAAATTTTTTTACGGATTTGTGATCTCCGTGATCGATTTTAAAAGATCCACCGTCTTGCAAATCGTCTTACAAATCGTCTTGCAAATCGTCTTGCAAAGTGATTCCGAGCTTCAGGTTCGGGTCATTCCCTTGTAAAATGTGTTTTCTTTGTCAAAAGTGAGTAGCGAGAGAAATATTACTGAAAAATCTATTCTGAATCTCTAATATGATAGTTGACACCAATATGATTGACCCTAGCTCTTCACTATCAGATCGCTCCATTGTTTCCCAAATCACTGAACAAATCACAAATCAGCAGTTTCATGCTCTAAATGATCAAATCTCACCAGTTCTGAATGTCTAAAATGGGTGAAAATGGTTGACAGCTGGCATTAAAATGGTTGATTGAAGCTCAATTTTGATAGTCAACATTAAAGAAACAGTAAAAATGATTGTTGCTATCTCAATCATTTCTCCATTTCCATTCAATTCTATTTCACTCATTCATCCATGAGAAATCTCGATTTCTTTGAAAAAAAGGAGAAAAATGGGGT